TATCTATCTATCTACCTACCTATCTATAATTGCAGAAGGCTCAGGTGTCACTTAAAGGCCACTTTAAGGCCACCCAAAGCCCCCAGGTTAAGATCTCTTGTCTGGAGTACAGGCAGTTTTCTCTGAGGAGTTCTAAAGTGTCCCTTCATAATTTCGGAATTCCTCAAATAGAAACTAATTCAGGAAGTAGAATCCAAAATGATGCCTGAGTGTATCAATAACAATTCTTTGGTTATATGTAGCAGAAACAAACTTTGGTTAATGGAAGGGGAAAAAATCATTGGTGATATATTTGAGTAGCTCACAGATTTGAAGAGAACTTCGCACTGGAAAGGACAAAAATGAACAAGATACTAATGGAATTGGGAATCTCGTTGAGATGCTCATGATGACTCAGCTTCAGCTCTTTCACTGCTGCTACCAAAAAATGGTGGAGAGGATTCAGGGCTGGCAGACCCAGAAACACCCATTACCGTATCCATGGTCTGCTGAGAAGGTAAGAATGGAAACCAGTGCTACCCGTTATTTCAGCTGCTTCTTAGATTTGCATTCAGGTGACAATGGTTCTTTTATTAATTTAAGTCTACACACAGCCTATCTATATGACATTTCAGGAACCAGGATACAAACACTGACCAGCCTCCAAGAAGGATACATTTTCAAACAGCTACTTCAGCTGTGGCCAAAGAGTGTAACAGACCAGAAGAATCCTCAGAAGAGAGACCCAGGGGTTGTGGAGTTCAGCGGAACGGAGAGGTCCTGCAGTACAATGTCTACCCTGAGGGATTTCAGCACTACCTCGGGATAGCCATGGCGTGTGTCTCCTGTTGTTCTCCTTTCTGAATGAAAGTGGTTATTGATTATTATCTGATCCACAATGGTTTAATGGCTTTTTGTAGGGAAGGGGCAGTCAAAACACAAGCAAAGCGATGCTCTTCTGGCCAAAGGCATCAGTAAAAGACATATACTGCAATAAATTTGTAACATTCTCACTTATGGCATGGATATGAGCTCCCTGTTGCTTTAAGGGGTGTGTAAATTAAGATCCTATTTGGAAAATGAAGCTGTCTCGACTAGACTATGACACATGTCTTCTGTGAACATTGCAAAATACCATTGTTAACAACCTGCCATCTGGTGTTATCATACTCTCTTAAGGGTGTGAATCTTTTTTTTAAGTTCTGTAAACTGTATTTTTCAATATTTTCACTTGAATGCCAATCGGATGCATTTTTGAAAATTATCGTAAGCTTTTATGTAGACCCATTTTAGTACATCAGCCTAATAGTACAAATAATACAAATAGTGTAATTTGTTCAACTATAATGTACTGAAAGCCTACTCAGTGAGGTTTTAGGCTATGATTTGTGGGTAATTAATATTTGTCATATATTGACAACTATGTCATATATATGACAACTATGATATAGTCCTTGCACTTGAGAATATAACCCATTATATAACAGAGACATAAAATCTTTATGCAAGGTATTATAAATGATCTTAAAGTAACAAACTAGATAAACATTAATGGCATAACTGAAGAAATAAAGCTTATAAACCAAATTTGAAGCATTCAGGGTACTTGAGGTCAAGTTTTATTGAAATCTGAGAATGATATATGAGAAGCTCAAGATGCATTTTAACTTACTTTCAGGAATTTTTTAATCATATCTGCAAACCATAAATGAAATTCTTTAGATTTTCCCCTGTTTTCTTTCTTTTTGTCTTTATGGAGCCCAAGATGACTTAAATGTTGATAAATGGGAAAAAAAGGACAACTATAAGGAGTCTAAATAAATCATAATTGGAAAACAGCTTTTGAATACAAGTTACTAGTCTAAAAACTAATTTTATAGGGTCTTATTTTAATAGTTTAATGACTTCAGGTGATTTGCTATGGAAATGGTGTTTAGAGAAACATAGTATTATTTGCCAAAGGTTGTTTTCCAGACACCATACTATAAAATATGAAGACTTTGGGCATATGGCATTCCAGAAGCAACTTAGTTTAAACTGGACTAAGTTCTAGGAGAAATACAGGAAAATATCCAAGTCCTTGAGGAAAAAAATACATAGTAACAATTTTGTATTATACTATATTATTAACCAATGAAATAGTCTTGGGTCAGATTATTATATTTAATATAATTTTGGCCATTTGGACACATTTAAACTGACATTTCTGGTGAAAATAACATGTAAATTTTCTTTTCAAACCTGTAAAATGTTAAACAACTTAGCCCAGTTTCACCAATAAGCTATAATCATGATATATATTTAGCCATTTAAATATTAACTGATCAATTTTTTTCCATGTAAAACATTAATTTGAAATCTTTGCCACAAAGGCAAATATTATTTTTATTAGTTTTCTCTGTATCTGTCTAAATATATCAACCACCTACAGTAGAATGAAAAAGCCACCCATATGCTTATCTGAACTGCTGATTCTGAAATCAAAAGTATGATAAACATTGAAAATAAAGAGCGTCATAATATTATATATGAGATGGAAAAAGTTTTTATAGATCAGGTAAATGAAGTTTTATAATAAACAAAATGTATTAAAGTGGCATATTTGAATAAATTTAGGGTTCTTTAAAGTCATTGATTGAATATCCTGAGGTCTGTTCAGAAGTTATCCAGCTATGTAATATGAAAAATAAAGACACTTATTGAAAAAGACACAGGATACAAGAAACATTGTACATAGGACAATGATGCCTCAGTCCCCTTCAAAGTAAGCACCTTGAGACCTCACACACTTCTGTAAGTCGCCATCAGCTACTCTGTTGTATTTTCCTGGATCTCATCGATGATCTGAAATCTCTTCTCTTTCAAAGGTGATTTTAGTTTTGGGAAAAGTCGGAAGTCGCAGGACATCAAATCTGGGCTGTAGGGGGTCTGAGTCACCTGGGTGATTTGATGTTTCGCCAAAACATTATGCAGGAGACGTGATGCATGAGTGGACATGTAGTTGTGATGAAGCTGCAAATCACCAGTTGCCCATAGCTGTGGCTTTCTGAATCATCCAAATAATTTCCTCAGAGGAATGTTTAAGCTTAACACAAAATTTGATACAAATTTGTTGTTTTCCTTGCTCAGTCATTTTGAATGCAAGAGCCGCATAGTATACATACTTACTCAAGGGCATCTACCACCCCCAGTGACTGGTACAGTGAAGTCATCATTGTTCATGCATGCGCATTCCAGTCTACTCTCCTTGGCTGCCAGGTTACACCAATGCCATGGAAACCATTCTCATTATATTAACAATGGATAGACTTTTCCCAGACAGACCTTGTATATACACATGGTAGGGTGATTTGTTATGTAGGTTTACTTCAGAAATAAATTATGCTGTGTGGTGATACTGCCATCTGTGCCCATACCCAAAACAATGATGTTTAACCTCAAGTTCTAAATACATGCAAAGCCTTTGATGTGTAATGAAACTATTCCATGAAAACACACCTGTGGTTGAAAATTCTTTTATCTCAATCAAGATGAATAAAATCTGTTTTATAATTTACTAGACAAAAAAGCGTTATAAGAACAGCTTGAAACAAAGTTCCTTTATAATGTTAATTTCAGAAGTGTTCTGTGAAGGTCATTGGAAATATTCATTGATCTGGTATAAATAATCCCATCTGGGATATGGCTCACACTGGGGACTGGGGTGGGATAGTGGAGCACACAGTTTCTCTTAGGAGGCAAATTCCAGTACTACATGGCTCTTTTTGCCACTTCTCCCTCTATTTTCCTATTGTCCAAGTGACAGTGAATGCAAAGGTTTCTTTTGAAGGTAAATAACAGTCAACATATATTAGAATACTATGCAACTGTTTAATGTGTACATATAGTCTATATATAACAAAGGGGCTCAGAGACTAGAGGTGTTTTTTTTTTTTTTGAAAACTTGATTTCAATAAGCCAGTTAACATTTATTGAAATTGTCATCATATTCTGATTCATTCAATTGAAGACTTCCACTTGTTACTATTCAAAAAGCACTTGGTGGACACTTCAATTTTGCAAGAAGGAAAGCCACGGTTCTTTCTTCAGTGGAGGTGCTTGAGGCACTCAGGGGCTGTGTTGCTCTTATAATGCTGTTTCATTATGACCAGAGTTGCACCCTGGTGTATCAACTCAGAGGCTGGCCTAGGTTTCCTCTGCTCTTATAAGAGTCCTGAAAAAGAAGGGGTTGACCTTGAAGTATTTGGGAGGTGGGGAGTGGATATAAAAAGGAAAACTATAAGAGATTAATGAGAAAGAAACTGAATGGTAGGCCATGTACTATTCTTTATAGATATACTCTGGTTAACTCAATCAACCCAATGGAGGCTATTTTATGGCTCTGTTCCAAGAGAGCCATTTATTAAGTAAGATCCACAGACATTATAATCTTTAGTTTCTCAGCAATCTTTACTATCATGTGGGGATGATTTCATGGGGACAGTACCACCTCTAAAGAATATTTAGGAACTATGAGTGGACATTTTGTATTGTCCAAAATGGGAGAAAAGTACTGCTGTTTAGAGGTTAAAGGTTGAGAATGTTGGACACCTCTTAATATTTGAGAGTCACATGCAGCAAAGAATTACCTTCCTTGCTATATGATTTGAATGGCCCATTAGTCATGTAGTCCAAATGCATGTTAATGACCTAAGAACCCAATTCTTTAAGATATATAAAACCAAAGTACTTTAAACTCTTTTAAGTTAGAGGCAAAAGTTTCTCTAAGAACAATAGATATTTTTCTCGTCATTGAATTTTTCAAAGGCAATCCTTTTGGCTCATTTGGGACCTTGCTTAGGTATTAAATAAAAAGGCAGCAATTCAGAGTGAGACACACACATTTTATTACATTCTATATGTTTGAGGCATTTTTACTGAAATTAGAAAAATTTAAATTCCAATAGGTTCAAATAAAACTTCCTGAGGAAAAGAAATTAACATTAAAGCACAGAAACTATTTTTAAGGTAGGAAAACTTCTAACTTCTTACTTTTTTAAATCAACAGGTAAAGTTATAGATAATCAAAAATAGGTTTTTCTTCAGAAGAAGAAAATTAGTATTGGGCATCTCCTGGTTACTTTTTCTTTTCTTTCTTCTTCTTGTTTTTGTCAGGGGCTGTGGTCTTCTTTTCTGGCTCTGCCCAGGTAGCTTCTTGCTCTGCAACCAGAGCCTCCAACCTTAGGCGTTCGGCTTCCAGCAACTTGTTTCTATATTCTTCCCGGATGCTGAATATCTTTTGACGAGCTTCATCTAAAGAGTCCTGTTTCAAAACAAAAACATAATCAAACAAAGTCCACTGATAAAAGCTTATGGACCCAGACCAGAAAAAAAAAATACCTGTAAGATCCTTATCCTTTCCTTATGCCAGTAGATTCATGGGGGAAATTATTGAGGAAAGATGAGAACTAAGTAATGGCCTCAACTGTTCATCAATACATACAACATAAGATAGCAACAAAGGGTCCATGAAATTTGAACAGAATAGTAAATAAAAGCATAAATAGGAGAAAAATAAAGAGAAAAGTTAAGAAATAGGAAGAAATTTTAGCAAAGCAACTATGTACTTAAAAGAGTTCAAATATAACCTATGTAAGATGCACATACAGCTCTGTGTGCTTCTCACAGTAACGGCACTCAGTGAAATTACTAGTTTGCCACACATCCTAGCCCTGACCACACACACCTGAGTTGCACTTCCAAATAATACCACCTAGTCCATTGGTTATCTTTGTTATTGTCAATTTGGCTTTCTACTTCAAGAATAAACTATATTCATCAAAGACACTAAAGATCTACATGCAGCTAAATCCAAGATCATTTCCTGGTCCTATTCTTATTTAACCATACTTTCTCCTGCTGAAATCAACTGACTTCACTTGACTTCTTGGACATCACACCTTTAATTTCCTTTCACTTCATTATCAGCTCCTTGCCAGCCACCTTTTCTGATTTTCCTTTTTCTTCTTCATCTCTTGATGTGGGAGTGGCCACATCTTAGATCTTAGGCCTCGTTCTTTGGTAACTTATCTAACCCTGTGGCTTTAAATTCCATTTATACACTGATGGGTCCCTTTTGTTTAATCTCCAGCCTCGATCTCCCTCTCAAATTCCAGAATCACACATCTAACTTCAATTTGATTTTCACATGACTGTTTAATAGACAAACAAGATGTCTGTTTGATGCATTAGATAGATAAAAAAAATCTCCCCAAATGAAATACTTATCTTCACTCCCAAACCATTAGATCTGACAGCAACTCAGTCCTTTCGGTTGTTTGGGCAACACTTATACTACAGCAACCATACATCGGGAAGCCCTGTTGGCTGCTTTGAAAATACATCCGGAATTCAGAATTCAGGAACAGTCTCCTCACAGACCTATCTTTTTCATATCTGCTTTCCCCACAATATCCAAAACAATCCTTTTAAAACCTAAAGCAGATCCTGTTACTCCTCTGCTCTTCGGAAACCTGTCATGGCTCCACATTTCCCTCAGAATGAAAGCGAATGTTTTTACATTCCACAGTCTTACACGATGACCTTCCCTGTCCACTTGTCCCCATTTGTCTCTGGCCTCTCATCCCCTCGTTTACCTCTGGTCACTGCTCCTTCAGCACAGGCTGCTCACTGTGCTTCCGCTAAGACACCACGTACACGCCTATTTCTTCTTAACCAGTGTGCTCTGACCCTAGCCTGCGTTTCTTTTTCTTAAGGCTGTCTCTTTCCATCACATTATAGAATGTATTTATGTATCATGTTTATATTTAACATCTGTTTCCTCATAACAATTTAAACTCCACAGGACAGGGAGGGGTTTCTCTCTTTCGGTCATGCTTAGGAGAGTCTCTGGTACAAAAATGCCCAGAAATAGTTGTTGAGTAAATAAATTGTGGAAAAGGGAAGTGTCAGAAGACTATAATCAGGTAAACATTAAAATATTTAAAATAAATATTTTTAAAAGAAAGAATAACTCTCAAAACTATAGACAAGAACACTTAATGCCAGTTTCAGGCAACATTCTAGAAATGGGGTACAAGATGGCTGCTCTAAAAATGTTTATATATAAGGTGGTAATCTCTGTCAGTGTAGGCTTACTAGGAGGCTGCAGCTGCCTGATTTCATTTGTGTTTCTGACAGTATGGCCCCAATTATGGTTCAGTGTGTTGACTGTTTACTGTTTCAAAATAATAGGAAAGAATAAGGACTAATGAACTGATGCTGGCTGGAAGAAAAGCTTCTAGAATGTTGTGTCTTCATCGCTAAATTCTTCAAGAGATTTTCCATGGTCTTGGAACTTGCCTGACTTTGGTGGAGATGATGAAACAGCTGGATGTCAGCATCACGCTTCCCAAACATTTTTATTTTTTTTATTTCTAAATCATGTTTATTTTATTACAGCTGTTGCAACTTTTACCCCTTTACCCCTCTCCTCCCATCCCACCCCCACATCCCACTCCCGCCGTCAACTCCCACTCTGTTGTCCATGTCCATGGGTCATTCATACATGTTCTTTGTCTAGTCCCTTCCCCTTCTTTCGACCATTGTCCTCTTTCCCCCTCCCCTCTGGTCACTTTCAGTCTGCTCCATGTTTCCATGCCTGTGGTTTATTATGTTTGTTAGTTTACTTTGTTGAATAGAGTCCACTTATAGGTGAGATCATACAGTATTTGTCTTTCATCAACTGGCTTATTTCACTTATCATAATGTTCTCCAGTTCCATCCATGTTGTCGCAAAAGGTAGGAGTTCCATCTCTCTCTCTCTTTCCAAACTTTTGATGGAAGAAAAATATTGTATCTACCATAATAAAATTGGCTTTATTAAACTATTTGCACAAATACAGGATGATAGAAGTGACATATTTTTTAAAAATAGAGACAGAGCCCCCTTAAGGGTTTCGTGTAAAGTACATTTAATATATGGTATGTTTTCTCCCATCTGATGAGAAACATGTTACTACTGATCATGTTACTTTTCAACTATCAGCTTAAATTTTGGCTACCTCAAGTCTGTTAATGTGATCATCATCCAGTTATCCTCCAATTTTGCGAATATTTTGTTGTCTTCTCTCCCATTCTTCCCCTTTTGTGGATTGATTCCCAAAACTGCATTTTAGAGGGATTTTAGGGAGTACTTAAAATTAGTATGTAGAATTGATTTGTCATCTTTTCTGAGAAGTTGGGAACTAAATATTGTCAAGACTTCTTTGTACTCAGGTACTATATGATTCTGATATCCTTTTAAAATTGAATTTATTGGGGTGACATTGGTTCACAAGACCACACAGGTTTTAAGTGTACAACTCAATAAAACATCATCTGCACATGGTATCATGAGCCCATTGGTCCAAGCAAAGTCTTCCTGTCTCCATGTCCCTCAACCCCTTTGTCCACCTTTAGCCAAACTCCTCTGCCTCTGGCTGTCACCACTCTGTTGTTTGTGTCTTTGGGTGTGTGCACATACACACACACACATACACACACATAAATATTTTTTTGCTTAACTCCTTCACCTTCTTTCACAGGGGCCCCCAGTCCCTTTCCCCTCTGACAGCTGTCAGTCTTTTCCCTGTGTCTCTGCCCCTGATTCTCTTTTGTTCATCAGCTTGTTCTGTTCATTAGATTCCACATGTAAGTGAGATCATATGGTGTTTGTCTTTCTCTGACTGACTGATTTCACTTAGCGTCTGTGTCAGCCGTGATCCACGTGTGTACTTTTAGACTCACCCGCATTTCCGCATACATCTCCAGGACTTTATCCTGTACTTTAACTCGTTCTTCTTGGTCAATGTCTCGAATGCTAAGGACTCTGGTCCTATACTGTCGAAACTGATGGACCTCCTCTGCCTTTTGCATTGCCAGATGCTGATTCAGATCATCTGTTTGAAGCAGAGGCTCAGTCTTTGTTTTCCTTGATATAGAAACAACAAAAGAGAGACTCAAATCATTTGGGAACTCTGGAATGAACTTTACTTTAGAACTCAAATAACTTAACACCATACCAACAGTATGGCAGTCTGAATAAAATCAAATATTAGGAATAGAAGAATAAACCATTATTTTTAGATGCGTTATGCTCCATTCATTGAATCATTGCTATTTTAGAAATTTACTTTAGGGAAATATCAGTAAAATTAGATGTGCCATTTGATGAGATGTTTATGGAATTGGTGTTTGAAACTGAGCTTGTTTTGTAGGTCTTCCTTTTTAATTTAAGCAGCTAAATAATTTTGAAACTGTTTCCAAACTTATAAATATGCTTGAATAACTATCTCCTTATTAAACTTATTGTCCAGTTCTTAAGAAAATTGAATCTAACTAAATGATGGCAGCAGTTTACAGTGAGAATTTTCTGTAGCTCAACTCACTTTAATCAAGCTACACATTAAGTCTTTACAGAAAACATTTAAATGCTTCCATGACTGACTTAATAAAACTTTTACTGAATTTGAGATGTAAAATCATGTATTTATAAATATTTAAATAACTGAATATTAAGCACTTAATTTCAAATTTCACTTGTTTAGTGAAATATGGAACACAGATGTGTACATTAATCATATTAACTAAAACTTACCGTATATATTGAGTTAAATCTACACATTCTAGTGCTTTTCGGATAAGTCGTGGAGATGTTTCCAAAATTGTTGGGGATCGTGAATGAGCTGGACCTGTTGGAAAAAAAGTTTTAATCTTCCAAAAAAAAATCAACAATGACTGACTAAATGACTCTCATATGTCTTTTTCATGGAAGATAATTTTTTCTGTTAAGAAAACAACCCTTTAATGGACTTGCCTAATTTAATGATTTTAATGTGATTTAATATGACTATTAAAAATAATTATATTTTATATTTATCTTCTAGCTAGTGTCACTGTACTTAGAGTTGAAAGAGATCAAAAAATGAACATAGTTTGTAAGAAATGTATCAAAAAATGTATTCTAATTATAGTTAAATGAAAGCAGAAACAAATAAGAAGTCATACTTTAAGTTACAAAGCTACATTGTAAACAAATTATATGTGAAAACTATACTAAGCACTACAAGGGCAGAATACAAAAATGTTCAGGACACAGTGTTCCACTTCCAGAAACTTTTAGTCCAGTGTAAAAGACAACATATAATAAACACTGAATATCACATTAGCAGGAGTTTTTTACTCCGCAAACTTGTATGAACCCATAAGAACAGGTTTAAGAAAGATTTTAGAATCTAAGATACTAACCATTCAGCCTTTCCAGACCATTTTGTAAAATTTTATTTATTTTTAAATTCTAGTTCGCCTACAATATTGTATTAGTTTTAGGTATACAACATTTATATAGCTTGCAGAGTTATCACCACAAGAGGTCTAGTACCCATCCAACACCATACATAAATTATCACCATGTTATTGACTGTATCCTCTAGCTGTACACTACATTCCTGTGACTTGTTTTCTAACTGGAAGTTTGTACCTCTTAATTCCCTTTACCTTTTCATCCATCCACTACCCTACTCCCCTCTGCCAACCATCTGTTGTTCTTTGCTATCTATTTCTGTTTTGTTTTGTTTATTTTATTCCTTAGATTCCACATATAAGTGAAATCACATAGTATTTGTTTTTCTCTGTCTGACCTATTTCACTTAGCATAATATCCTCTAGGTTCATCCATACTGTTGCAGATGGCAAATTTTAGTCTTATTTCTGGCTGAGTAATATTCTGTCTTTCTGGACCATTTAGTCTCTTTTTAAAAAAATTACTAAAGTATAATTTAGTAATTTGCTCATTTAAAAAGTAGAATTCATTATTTTTTGATAAATTTGTAGAGTTGTGCAACCAGCACCAAAAATCCAGTTTCTAACCATTTCCATCATCCAAATAATATCTCTCACATCCTTTTACAGTCACTCTCTGTTTCCTCCACAAGCCCCAGGCCACCGTTAGTTTACTTTATATCTCCCTAGATTTGCCTTTCATGAACACTTTGTGTAAGTAGGAATGGTAAAAATAGATCTAACTTTTCAAGAAACTGTCAAAGCATACTGTTTTGATTATTGTTGGCTTCATGATAAACTCTGAAATCACAAGGTAAAAATCTTCCTGCTTGGTTGTTTATCAAAATTATTTTGGTTATTCTGGACTTTTTGCATGTTCATATAAATTTGGACATCATCTTATCAAATTGTGTAAAATGTCTGGTAATATTTTGACAGGGGTCATATTAAATTTATAGATCAATTTTGTAGAGAATTGAATATGAATATACTATGTTACTATATTGAATCTTTTAGTCCAAAGCAAGAACCTCCCTCTTTATTTTGATCTTTGAAGTTTTTTCAGTGATATTTTATAATTTTCAGTATACAAGTCTTTTACTTTTTAAAATTTATTTCCATATATTTATTAGAGGTGCTATTGTGAATAAAATTGTCTTAATTCTATTTTTGATTGCTCATTGATAGTTTGTAGAAATAAAAGCAAATTTTGTGTATTAATCTTGTAACATGTGATTTCACTAAACTCACTTATTAGTTGTAGATAATATTCTTGGTTCTTTCTCCTTGATCCCTTACTGTTTTCAGTATACAGGATCAATTTGTCTGAGAATACAGTTTTCTTTCTGATATGGATGTGTTTCATTTTTGTTTCTTGTTGAAATAGCTAGAACCTCCTTTACAGTGTTAAACGTAAGTGGTTTGAGTGGACATCCTGCCTTGTTCTCGACCTTAGGTTGAAATCTCTGGGGTTGTTTTGTTACCCAGGTCGTCCTGTTCGATTTTTGAGTGATTTGTTGCTTGCCTCGAACAGCATCACAGTGCTCAGGCAGAAACAGATTCTCCTCTAGAGCCCGTAGGAGGGATCCAGCCCTGCCGACAGCTACAGTTTAGAATTTCTTCCTTCCAGGACTATAAGAAATTAATTTGTGTTATTTAAAGTCACTAGGTGTGCAGTTGTTACAGTAGCAATAGAAAACTCATACAATTAAAATAATTTATTTCTGTCGTTCTTATTTTTAATAAGTATTTTTTTCATTTAACTGTATGCCTTTGTAATTCTTCAGTGTTTTTTCATCGTTATTTTTATCATTGCTTTTTGGGGAGCGGCTGTACCAGGCGCTCGCTCTATAATTCAGGAAGTCTCGCAGCCCCCCTTTCACCCCCCGCCACTGACTGTTCAACCTTGCTTTTTAGCGTGTGGTTATAACAGTTTTCAGAATCATTGTAAAGTGCTTAATTTTGAACAAGTTCTTAAAAGTGATGATTCATTCAAAAATGTACTCTAATTAAACCTTTAAAAATATAAAAATAGCCCTGACTGATGTGGCTCAGTGGGTTGGGTGTTGTCCCACAAACCCAAAGGTCTCTGGGTTGAGTCCTGGTCGGGGCACATGCCTGGGGTGCAGGTCAGGTCCCTGGCAGGGGATGCACAAGGGGAAGCCCATTGATGCTTCTCTTGCACATCAATGTTTCTCTTCCTCTTTCTCCCTCCCGTCCCCCTTTCTAAAAAGGAATAAAGTTTTAAAATATATATAAGTAATATCCAAAATAATTTTTTAAAAAAATACATAAAGTCATGATACACATGAGAAAATAGAAGATAGCAGTACAAATCCCAACTCTGCTCCATTATTAAAACATAAATTCAATCATGTTTTTCATTTTATAACATTAAATATTGCTGAAGGATTAAAATTTTATTATATGAGTCATTTAGAAATGAGTAGCCAATAACTTTTCTTTTTTCATCACAGTTACTAAGGGGCTCTTAGATTTCTAAAATACATTTGCTTTTTTTATGAACATATCTACTTGGGTATATTTTTGGCATTTTTTACTTGAATTTTTCTATAAGACATGGACTCTGCTGGAAAGAAGATATTTTCTAATTAGTTAGATGTTTGTGCTTTCTTACAGCCAGCCAAAGAATATCTATTAAACATAGAGGGCAGGGAAAGGGCAGAGAAATCTTTGGGTTCATCTGCAAAACTCCGCTGAACAGGGTGTGAGTATAGCATGATGATCTTAGACCTCTAAACAGTGCAGTTCAATGTGCGTATGTGTGTGTGTGTGCGTATGTGTGTGTGTGTGTGTCTGTGTACCATTCTTTAGCTGCAAACTGGTATTCTATGGGATAAGTTCTGAATATGAGAGTATGCATTTAGTAATATTTTTACAGCAATTGGTCATCACTGGGTCATTTTATTGTATTCTACGAAGTTTTAGTTTGCAACAGACTAAGAGAGGACATCTTTCACTGCAGGTAGTATGAGAATTGCTGTTTAAAAGACATGGCAAAACTTAGTTTGACTGATTGTGGGGTCTGGGGGAAGGATTTTGGAATAAAGACAATGATCATTGCCAGAGTGGAAGCAGCACTTTCCAGAGGTCCCCCAAAATAAAAGGGGAGTTGAAAGCAGTGCTTGGACTCCCGACCTTGATGACGGCTTGGTGTGGAGGGAAAATACTTAGGAGTAAATCCATAACGATATTGTTCACACAATCTCTCGCATTATGAAGAGTTGCTCTAAGTTACCTACTATATGAAAATAGGAAGTAGCAAGACTAGTAATGCTTTGAGAAAGTCACAAATATTGATGGGAAGGTAGAGGCCACACCATGTGAAGCTCTCACCAGGTCTATAATCTCTCATGGGCAACGCTTTCCCAGGAGTAAGGGCCAATTCGTGCTGCATCAACAGAAGAGGTGGGAGCAACACACTGAGTTCCAGACAGCGGCTGGCAATCAGCCCTGTGGTCTCAAGCAGGATTCCTTCTATAGCCACAGTACCTGGGGTACATGGCAAAGCCTCAGAGAGTAGGATGTATTTTTCTTGATGGTGTGTAAATAACCCTATCAGTTTATATTAAGTTAAAAGTATAATAACATGTACTTAAGAATGTTTTAAAGACATTTTTGCTTGAGGACAGGGTGCATTGTTCCTCCTTCCCTCTCTTTCCTGTTTGCTGTCCCCTCCTCCCCACCCAGAAGTACACTCTCTTACAGACATGCAAACGTAAAGGCAAATGTCAGAAGACTAATGATCAAAAGCCTGAAGAAATGAGGAGAGGACCGATGCTGAAGCTTCAGTCCTTCCCATCACAGTGTGGGGCTCTGGGAAAAACATACACTCTGCACTCCAACTACGGGGACACGCTCTTCCAGGCTGCTGTGGTTACATTCCATTTCCTCAACTGAAGGAGCAATTATTAGCAAATAAACAAACCATTTAATATCAGAGTTTAATTCTGTTTTTATTTTATAGATCCTTAAATTAGGGGTGGGGAAAAGTTTGTGTTTGATTAAAGAACACAATGTGTAGAATCAAAAGAAAAACTAAAGTTTGAGTACTGATTCTACCCAAACCCTATCAGCTCCCTTCTTCTCCTTGGGTGAGTCATAATTTATTAGTTCTTTCATTCCTGAGGCAGAAATACCACATATCTAGTTCACAGAGGCTCAACTGAGATAAATATGCCAAAGCACACCATTGACTGAATAAAATGATAAATATGAATAGATATGTTTTAGTGCTGCTACCATGTGCGCTCTCTTTTAAATGAATGCTTACTTTCAAAATACTGGTTCAAAAATATCAGTGTCCCTTTTTAGTGTAGTAAAAAGAACCCTCTGAATTTCACTCTTCACAGTGGAAGTCACTGAAGGAGATGTTTTGGCCATAAACAGTTTCGTTTACAAATTCTCAGACTGGTTTAGCAATTTTGAAGAGAACGGTTGTTGACATTTCTGAAGATGCTTCCTTCCAAAATAGTCTTCTCTCCTGGTTAGGTTTTGAACAAGTCTCTGAACAAAGACTAAGATTTTAGTGTTGATAGAGGTGTGATTGGAAGACGTAGTCTGATGGGAGAGGCCAATGGGTCATGATCGGAGGACCCTGGAAATGGCTGCGGGTCAGCGCCTTTCCCTTGTAAGTAGTGCTCCCAGCTCAGGAAGGAGCAGTGACCGTGAGCTTCCCAGGGGCAGCCCTGGTATCGTGTTGCCAAAGGTATCAATCAGATGAGACACGAAGCCCCTTTACAGACAGAAAGTCTAGGCGTTGCTTAGGGAAAGTCCTTCCTCCTGGAAGCCAGGAACGTGCAGAGATGTTTCTCTGTAACACTTTCCATGAAGGGTTTGGGTTCATTTTAGAGAATAAATGCAAATCCATACTACACAAAAATGAACCACGTCAATGTGGTTTGGGCGCCACAGAAAATTGTTCTCTTCCTACCTTTTCAAAGCCAAATATTTAAAATTTGTTATAAAAGGAAAAGAAGAAAATCTATCATGTAGTATACTATAGATAAAACAAAAAGAATCTGTGACAATTGTATATGTGATCCCTATGATTTTACTTTTAGATATAACTATACAAATTATACCTCTTACTTTTTAAAAAAAAAAATTGCCCACTCTTGTCTTTAGGATAAGTACCTAATAATCAGGTTCTTGAGCAGATTGTCAACTCTGATAAAAGCCAAATGAAGACCTATGAATCCAAAATACAAACTGTTCTATGCCATAACCCTTGATGTCACGTTTGCTTAAGTTTAGTACATTTTCCAGGATTTTTATTTCAAAATAGGTCTTTATCTTACCAATGAGAGGAATACTCACTGATATTTTCCTTCCACAGGGTCTGCTCATGCTTCTTCTCCCCGCCCCCCACCCCGGGGATTCCCCGCTCTCATTGCTTATTGATTTGGCCAGATCCTTAAAGCCCTTGGTCACTTGCCACTTCTTCCACAGCACACTTCCTGATTGTGTTATCTCTTTGTGGTCTAAACTCCCAGAACTCTTTGTTTCTGGCACTTTCGTGGAACTTGCAGATGATTCTACTACAAATGGCATGTGCATTACTGAAAAAACTTGCACTCTATGAAATCACATGCAAAAAGTAACAGGGCTATGAGAACACAAATTTGGAGCAAAGACTCGAAAGCTTCGCAACTTCTAACCAGAGCACTAGCAAAAATAATCATTGGTACCTCAGAAAATGCTGTGCATGGGACAGACAGACAGTGGATCTGGAAGCGGCCTCAGGATAGGAAAAGGTCACATACAAATAGAGGCTTTGTGGAGGGGAGATATTACAAATGCAAAGGATTTCTGAACCGTCGGGGCTGCTGTTCATGAGGGCTCTGGAGGACATGCAGCTTGCCCCGGGTGAGGAACGTGCACAGACGGGACCCTGCTCTCTGGGGAGCAAGCCCTGTGTGCAGACACTTGTCTAAAGTTGTCTGAAAACAGAGCTCAAAAGGGATCTTGCTTGTGAAGCTGCAAAGCTGGAGGATTTTTTTCTTACAGCTATGATTCTATTCTCGCTGTTCCAGACCTCTGTACCTTGGAAAAACTGTAAATATATACAACTTCCACATTATGCAGACATTTCCCCTCTACTTGTCAGTTGCACATGTTCTAATTGGCATTATATTCTACTTTGCATAAAATAGGTCAGTGCTTAAGAGCATGGAGAAATGTTGAAATAAAAGGGAGACATTCAGCTGTCAATGATGGATCTTTAAAAATATTAAAACTGATGTAACCCTACAGCAAGATGGATTAGAAAAAAAATTAAAATAAATTTTCCCCCAAGAAGTTTAACTTACATAAAATAGACAAAGTTCTTGTAAAATGCAACTTACCGACCTTGACACAAGAAGAAATAAAACAGATAAATACTGAGATATACAGGGTACATTTACTGTATGAGTTCAATATATGAAGTTCAAGAACAGGTAAAATTCATTTATGTTGATAGAGATCAGACTAGTAGTTGCTTTGAGGAAGGTAAATGAGGAGCATATGGGGACGTATGAAGGATACATTAGGTATTTTATACTGTGATCTAAAATTTCACACATATGTGAAATTTCATCAAGCTGTAGAATTGAGATTTGTGCCTTTATTGCATGAATGTTGAATGACAAGGTCAGGCTCCCCTGACCCTGTTCTCTACTAGCTCTTGTCCTTGGCTTAGGAGGAATTCCAGTTTTAGTGGAGAATCCTGCTAAACTAGTTTATTGAGAATCTGCACACCCCCCACCTTGATATCCAATCAAGCTTCTCTTTATCCCATCCTTGATATTTAATCAGGTTCCCCTTCCTTGACCCTTGATACCTAACCAAGCTCCTCTGAGTAATTTTCTCTCCATTCCTTGCTTTTTGGCTGTAAGTCCCTACTTGTCCTGTTGTATTCAGAGTTTAATTCAATCTCTCTCCCAATTGTAGTAGTCTTCAATAAAGTCTTCCTTGCCATTTTTAATAAATATCCAGTGAAATAATTTTCCATTTACATATAGCTTAATACATTTTAAAAGTAATAATAAAATCTAGAGCTAAAGGACAATAACTATAGTTTATTCACCTTTGTATTCCTAATATTATTTAACTCCATCAATTAGAGGAGAAAGTACTTTAGGAGTTAGGAATATTTTCAATCCCAATGTTGTCACTATTTAGACGTGTGTGACTTAGGAAGAATAAGATGACTGTCTGAGCTTTGGTCTCTTTATCTGTAAAGTAGGACTAGTAACATCTATGGCAGAACTGCTGTGGGTTGAAGTGAAATAATAAACATGAAGCATTTTGCATAGGGCTCATGCCAGGAGAACAGTATTAGGGCGATATTTATTGTTTAGATGGTTTACATGAAAAGTTAAGGGATGTTATTTATTTTTATAACAATTACTGAGTCATTCTTCTGAAGCTGTGAAAGCAGAAGAGCACGTTTCGGGATGTGAGTGTCTCAGCCTCTGAGGGCAGCCCGGTGTGGTCACAGGCTCAGGAGGCCAAGTGTCGGAAAGCAGGCCCTGGGATGACGGGAACTCTGTGTGCCTGCTCGGCTCGTTCCTGGCTCCCTTGCGAAGTTAGCAGGTTACTGAGCAAATTACTCTGGGCCTTTGTCCTTATTGGTGAGTTGAAAACAATGTTATACATGCACGGGCCAATGTGAGTAGTAAATAATTACCTTGGGCACAGTTCCAGGCCCAAGGTAATCACTCGTTAACTTTATTACTATGATTCTTATTCTTTTTAATCCTCAACCTTGGATATGTTTATTGATCTTAGAGAGAGAGAGGGAGGAATATGGATGTGCGAGAGAAACATCAATTGGTGGCCTCCTGTAGGCACCCAGACCTGGGGCGGAACCTGCAGCCTAGGTATGTGTCCTGACCCAGGAGGGAACCCGCAACCATTTGATGTATGGGATGACACTTCAACCCACTGACCCAGGGCTATTACTCTGATTCCTACTGCCTTTATTTTTTTTTTATGGTTATCAGAAAGGTGCCAGATATATAGTAGGAAGTCTGCCTTCAAGTTCACATGCTGCTACCTTCTAGCCAGGTCATACCCTTATTTCTGGTTTCATCTCTTCTTAAATAAGGGAAATCATACCTAATTGATAGAAAAAGTAAACATATGCTTGGTTCAAAAAACATTCAGGATCTATTTTTTATAGGACTGTATGAGACTTCTTACAATCCTCAGTAAAGTAGATCCTAAAATGTTTTTACCAGTGTGACGTGCTGACTATCTTTTTAGAGGTGCAATTAGCAGCTCTGTGCTCTGCAGCAGCTGGGGTAGGGTTCACCAACCTTCTTCCTCTGCTCTCATTTGGCTTTCTGACACCGGCAACGGCACGCTGTGCGCATCGGGGGTTTTCTTAATGAACCGGCTGAGGTAACGCAGACGGGCCTGAGAAGCCTAGGGAGCAAACATTATCAACAAACAGTACAGGCAGCATCTTAATAGTGCAAACAACGACAACGACAACGACAAAGCAAGAAAATGTGAACCAATAAGACATTTTGAACCAGGCCAGGTCTCATTAGTTATCAAATAAACTCAAATTCTGGACCATCCATGTTTTTCACATTTATTTCTGAGAACTTGAAGAAGTGGTCCTCAATTTAATGCACTTAGGTCCAGTGTATTTTGAACCTTTTTCCTCTGCTTCAATTACTCTGAGTTGGGACATGCAACACATATAAGTAATAATGTTTCACTACGCCAATGATTCATTTAAAATATAGGGCGAGGGAAACAAGGTATAATATACTGCAAGGGGAAGCACATGTTTTTTTTATCTATCTAAGGATGTTCAAAATACATGAAAGAACAGATGAGGCAGTGTTCGGCTTTCTGACTTGGGAGCATTAAGGACAGGTGGTGTAAGCCCAGGCAATGTAAAAGAATGAGGTGGCCCACAGTTGGGGTCAATAAGCAGCGCCATTGTGTGCTTTGCTTTTGCAAATGAGGGCATCATGAGGGTAACACTGCACATTGTGTGCAAATGTGGTCTTAGTATGTAGTCAGTCAATGTCTGAGAAAGCTGCAGATGCCATTCCTAAAGGAAAGACTATGTGGGTTCACCAACATGGCTCTTTCTTACAACCAGACCTAGGAGTGAAAGGAAAAGAACAACTTTTCAAACTCAAGTGACTTTGATTGCTCTTCCGGGCTCGGCCATCTCCCAGGCTTGCTTCATGGCTCGGATCTCATCTGCTCGTTCCGTATCTTTTTTTACTTCAAGAAACTCTGCTTCATTGTATTCAGTGACCAACCTCAAAATCCAGTAGGGTTTATTTGGGTCTTCTTGTTGGGAGTGAGCAGTGGTTATCTGCTAAAATACAATAACAACCTTTGGGTCAGAAGTGTTCCTCCTTTCAAAGGGGTTCAGATTTTATCCTGTGATGCATAATTTTCCTATTAAGTAGTTATCCAGAAGAAATAAAAATATTTATTCATAAAACGACCTGGGCAAGAACATTCATATGGCCTTATTCATAATAGCAAAAAAAAAAAAGGAAATAATAAAAACGTCTATCAAATGATGAATAAACAAATCGTAATACTTCCTATTATCAAATACTATAATACTTAACATAAAGAAGTAATCAACTACTGATGTACACCACTGTATGACTGAACTATACAGATAGACATCACACCAAGATAAAGCTGAACACAAAAGAATACTTCTTGTATGATTCATTTGTATGACACAACAGAACAGGCAAAACTATTGCCTGAGGCTGAGGTATGTAGAAGACAGAATCCAGTGTAAAGAGGTTTGAATGAATTTCTAAGCTTATGGAATCAGTCTATAATCAATATCTCAACAGAGATGTAGGTTACATGGTGAATGCATTTTTCAAAACTCATTGAATTATACATTTAATATTGTTATTTCACTCTAGGTAAAATTTACTGAAAAACTGTAAACAAAAGAATTCTGAATTACTGCTAGGCTCACAGTATCTCTTCAGAAAAGTGAGGGCAGGAATACTTGATCATCTCCAAGTCTGGATATTTAACTTGATATATATTCATTATGAAAGTTACCATTTTCATGTTTTATAAGGTCACTTTCATGGACTTAGGTTGGGAGAACATTGACATAGGACTTGAAAGTGTCCAGACAAGTAAGGCTCACTTGTGGCTGTCTGACTGAGAGAGGCTTGAAGATGATGATGTGGTTCTTAGGCACTTTTGATGAGACTGAAACAGTGCCAATTATCCATAGTTATCCGTAATACAGGTGGGGAAGTGGGAGTAGGGGTCGCACTGAATACATTTTTCATGTGTAGTTTGGTTTCAATGTTACTAAAAGGACTCCTTGCTCTCTGCAATATTCCCCCAATAGTCTGGTGAAAGCTTAACTCTCAAAATCTTTTATATTGCTGGATAAATAAGTTTATCAAAAACTCTTCTGGAATCATGTTTTGATAAGAGAGAACTCCGTGAAGGTCTAAGGGAAGGCCACATATCTTTTAAGATTTTATGAACCGAATTAAGCCTTTTTGTTTTAAATTGCAATAGTTTATTTTTGTTCATGATAAGGATATTTTCTCAAAGAATTCAAATGATTGACTTTATAGCAGTGAATGAAAATCTAGAGCTATATCTCAAAAAGTTAACACATAGCATTGTCTTGCACTTTCAAAGGGGAGAAGTGGTTGATTGGATTTCACCAATGTTTGTGAACCAAACAATGTTGAAGCAAGCAAATTTTGAATAGGAAACTGTATCAGATTCTTCCACGTTTTGAATGCAATCATCCTTTGATAGACAAAATTCCATTTTTCCACATCTGTTTAGATGACATTATAGGAAAAGGTAGAATTTTGACTGTAGAATGTAGCTAATGAAACCATAAGTAATGTAAATTTAAGAAGAAACTACCTTTTTCATATGAAATAAAAATAATGATCACATAAATTCAGCATGATTATAATGACTAAAGCAAAAATACCAAGTATAATATAATAGTTTTTAGTTTCCTGTTTGAATCATGTATTAATAAATTAAACCATCAAGCAATATAATACCAATATCTACTAAAGCCAACTAGTAAACTATTAAGATCACTGAAGCTTAGTTAATTATTAATGTCATAAACACTTCCATATAGTTTGGAAACAAGCATATAATTTGGGCTGTGCAAAATGATCCAAGCACTGACTTTTCCTGGATTCCCCAAAATTCATGAGTATTTCAATGTTAACTCATGCCAAATCCCATAATTTCTTGTTAAATTTGGTGGATCTTTTGAAGAGGCTTTCATTTTTGAGACAATATGCATACATTCATCAGAATTTTGAAAAGAATGAAAACTGTCATACATGTTAGGTTTTAATTTTATCCAATCATTAACAATTTGCAGAATTGTTTTTTTTCTTGGCTTAATATTTTTGCAAGTTTTTTCATGTTTTTCTTCATTTCTTTCTACATACTTCAACCTTTTAACAGGGGCTGATCCAACTTTTCATCTTGACTTTCACCCACAGATATATTTTCAATATTACAGGACTGAATCTGAAATAGTTATCAAAAGACTATTTCTGTATCTGTAGCACTGTTGATAACATTAGACAATTTGGTTTTCAGGCTTGTGTAGGTCAGGTGTGTCTTGTCCCACTCTTACAATGCCCAACGCCTAGGAATACTATGAACTTTAATGGGACTTCCGGCCAAAGACATTTAAGTCATACATTGCTAATGCTGAGTGGTTATCCAGAAGCAACATCAATCCTGTGGAAAATTGTTTCCCAAAAGCACTGTCTGCAAAGTAGCCTGGAGCACCAGATGAGATGCTAATGGCTTGCCACGTGTTATATCAACAGATTCTTACATGGTAAGACTTGATCCCAGGACAAGGACCATAGTTCCTAAGCACAAAAGCTGTTGGCATTCCCCCTCTGTTTACCATAGTATTAACTGCAGCTACCTTAGGATGTTTGGGATTTCTTGCTGTTTTAATCATTGGTGTATATGCCATTCCAACCTTAAGAGTATTTCCCCATGTTTGACTTTCATAAAATGCATAGCTCCAACTTGTTTTGACTGCTCCAACATGCTATTTTGTGAAAATGCATCCGATCCTAATTTTCTATAAAATTCCTCGTATTTATGAAGAGCATATGAAACAACCCCAACATGAAAGCTAATATGGCACCTAAGCTTACACCACAAATGCAATGAAAGAGCCAATGAATTGGTTTCTAAGCAAGTTCAAGTCCTTTTTGCCATGTCTGAAGAACAACCACATGCCTGTTCTCACACCATCAATTGTTTAAATTAGGGTTCTTCTTCCTTTCACTAGATTCATGCAGGCAATTAAGGCCAAAGTCTCTCTAACGGCTGTCTGAAGAGTGTCATCCTTAATTTGTCTCATTCTTAATAAGTATGTAGTAATTCTTTCCTTGGCAGTCACTCCTTTTCCCTCAGGATATTCCGGAAGATGAAAAGTCAATTTTTCAACCCTATTAATGAAGAACTTTGAGTCAGTTGTTTTTAACGCTTGAACTAACGCCCAAGTTCTGTCATCAGTACTCACCGTTGCAATCTTCTCCGGATGAGGAGATAAATGCTTTTTCTCCTCTGTTTTTCTCTCTTTGCTTGTAGCCTACTCAGCTTCATTGGCACTTCCTGCTCTGACTGGCTCTTCCGCCTGATTCATACTTTAACGTGGAGAAAATCTCACCAACATAACCACCTACTAAAGCTTGTACACCTTCAGTGAGATGAGAGAGTTGGCAGTACTTAGTTTAACAGAAACTGGAGGGCCTCAGATGTCTCACTGAGACTCGCTGGCTTGTCTTCAGTTTATAAAGAAGATTCTCGGCCGAGTTTCTTATCAGTCAGGACGCGCATATCAACAGAACTGCATTTCCCTTCAGTGTTTTTATCTTCTACTTCTCATTTGTTATGGAAACGTTTATGTTCTTTTTTATTTTTTTGAGACATTTTATCCTCACATTTGAACTATGAATTAATATGATTTGGTAAAGTGTAAAATGACTCTTCAGATTTTGTGGTTCAACTATTTGTGTAATGTAAGAGGCTTTACTTTCCATATATTCGTCTTCACCAATAGTGTTATTTCTCTGTCCTGGTAAACTCTTTTCTTCTGGTTTAATACTACATTGTTTCAGAGATATAATGATTTGTTCAACAATTTTCTGTTTTAACCAGTCACTATCTGACATGTTCTTTTTAATATTTGGGAACCAAACTTAAGTTGAGCTAAACGTGAAGTGATTTCATTCTGATTGTCCAAAGAAAAACCTTTGAAAGAAAGCTCGCAGTGCTTTTAAAACAGGACATGGATGCTCACTTTTGTGTCTCATGGGAGCAGAAGGGCTAAGTTTCAAATTTCTAGCATGTAAACCATAGTCGCCTGGAGAGTTACAGCGCTACTTCAAGTTCGTGCTTCAGTTTTGGTCCCTTTACATCTTGCTTGTATGAAATCCTCTCTGTAGACTGATGTGACTTATCATCCAATAATGTTTAGGTGAGCACAGGAAAGGCAGTTGCTTGCTTCTCTGCTTCTCCAAAAGACTTTTGTGTTAAAGGAGGCAGGTTGCCACCCCTTCAGCAGCGGTGGTGATTTGCTTCTTCCCAGCACCGACACAGACTGCAGGCGACCTGCGTCAGCTGGGCTTCCAACACTGACAGATGAGCCGTGGCCTCAGGGCCTCCCTCCTAAGTTCCTTGTGCCTTCAGTGGAAATCGGATATGGCCTATGTACTCCTCGTGTTGCCAAGGGTAGCCTCCAACAGCTAAGAACTTAAATATTGGAAATGCAAGCGGACAGGTTATCCTATTACTGGGGTCTGGCACAGCTGAGTCGTCATCTCCTAATTTGTTTGTTTTTCTTTAGTGTCTATTTTACCAGTAGTACCAACAGCCTATTTAGTTAATCCAGCTGGAAATCTGGGGCGGGGGGGGGCGGTAACCTTTACTTCTTCTTGCTCCTTATCATCCACTTCAGATTAATAACTGTATGAACTGTTTGTTTCCTAGATAACTTTTTTTTTTGTCCTTGTCTTCCTTTCTTTTGACCTGTACCTGGTACAGCTCATACTCTTTTCCCTGGACAATGGCAGTACTTTTCTAAATGGTTTCCCCATCTCTGTTCTTTTTCCCCTTTACATTCATACCCTTAAAAGTCACCAGGGTACATGCAATGTAAATCTGATCATGACAATACACTTGTAAAACTCCGAACCTCCTGGCCCTGCTTAGCTTAAACAATGATCACAAATGATGGAAAGAAACCTTCCTCATAGGTATTTTGTTATGAGTTCAGTATTTTCAAATAACTTGAATTTTAATAGCTTTATGCCTGTGCTTGCACTCCTCAAATCTGTTATCTACACCTTCTTTTTTACCCCTCATCATTATAATTCTCTAACTGGCCTGGAAAGGAATTTGGATTCAGGATCCCTGGGAGGTAGTCCCAGCTTCTAATGAGGTTCAAAGGCTCTCCTCTATCTGTTATTTACTTACCCCTCTAGTCTCATATCTCATACTTTAATAATTAAAAATGAAGAAACAAAAAGATTATTGAGTTGAATTTTGCTTCAGCATGTCCCTGCTCATTGACTCAGTTCAAGATTCTGCTCCTCTAGGAAGAAGCTAGAATCGGTACCTATTCTTTCTACCACTCCACATTCAGTCTCTAAAATTAAAACTGCTTACCTTCAGTCTCCTCCATTAGACTGCAATCTTTTTGGAGTGTAGGCTCTGTATGATATCAATATTAGAAACTCAACTCCTCCAAACAGTGTCTTATGTATTAAAAGTTAAATTAATGCTTTCTGACACTAAATTAGGGAAGGCTGCTTGCAGAAGGTGCCCAAGGATGTTCTTAAGCTATCTAGGTGGCTACTGACAACAGGGAGGTGGACATTTCTTCCATCATTTGTCTTCAAGAGAGATGGGCAAGTAAGGACCCAATGAACCTACATTTATTAAGTGACTCCAGTAAGAAAAAGTATCACACCCACCTGAGGCTCAACGCGAGGTGCTTGTTTCTCTTTGGCTGTCTTTTCTCTCTCAGAAGGCTTCTCTTTGCCTTTCCTCGTTGTTTTGGATGTTCCTGAGGATTTTGGCCCCTCGCTAACAGCATGGGAATCTGGGCTTCCCAAGGGAATTGATTCCTCATGTTTCTCTCCATGAGCTAGAGAGACAGAGAATGGAAACCAGTGAGTCATATAACAATAAAATCATGCCATGAAGGAACAAGGGGAGCAGTTCAAGAAAAAGTGGTTAGTCTAAGGTGTTTAGGTTTTCCTTTCTTCTTTTAAACAAGCAAACAAATTGATCTTTTGTAAAAATCTGTGACTCTTTTTTGTAAAATTGAGAAATAATTCATATACCATAAACTCACCATTGAAGTGTATAAACAAATCATTGGGTTCTGGAATATTCATATGACTATGCAACCATCACTACTATCTAATTAATTTTGAATGTGGGTGTTTTTCAGTTCATTTTCTTGCCTAATTGCCTCAGTTAGTGTCTTCAGAACAATATTGACTTGATTCATCCCTGCTTTAATATTTATTAGTACCTTTGTTCTGCCTGCTTTCAGCTAGTTTCTTCTTCCTTTTCTAGTTTTCTAATTTTTTAAGATAGAAGTTTAAGTTACTGATTTGAGATTATTCTTCTTTTTAAATGTAAGCATTTATAGCAAAAAATTTCCCTCAGCATTGTGCCATTGTATTTCCTAAGTTCTGGTATTTTTAAAATTAATCTCTAAGTATTTTTAAATTGCTCTTATGGTGCATTTTATTTCCTCATGTGGATACAAGTTATTACTGTGTGTGTGTGTGTGTGTGTGTGTGTGTGTGTGTTTAATTTCAGCTTGAAGGGCTTTCTTTAGTATTTCTCATAAGGCAGGATTGTTAGTGACAATTTTTCTCAGTCTTTGTTTTTCTGGAAATGAGCTTTGAAAGGGATTCAATTCCAGTCTATGCTTTTTGGCGGCTGCCAGCCTTACCAGGAATGCAGAACGTTAGTTTTCAAGGCTACAGAGCTGGAGGCCAGTGGACGGGACAGGGGCACATTAAAATGCCATTCAACACACTGGCCTGAACGAGATTTAGCTGTTTTTCTTGAATAAAGTTTTTTTAATTTCCAGGCTTCTGAAAAAGTTGACTCTGATAATTTCTGTCATGGTTTTTGCTGTTTTCATAGACGAACTAATTTTTGGAGCCCTTGTGCTGCCATTTCAATTGTTATTCTCCTGGATTTGTTTTCCTACTTGAACCTTCTGAGTTAGCCCTGCATGTCTGGGAGAGAGTTCTGAGAGGGTGGAGAATTCACAAAACCTGGAGAGACCTTGTCACAAAGGCAGAGAATTACAAAAAACTCCATGGATATAGGTGAGATTCCATTCTAAGTAGCTCAGTTCTTGAGTGTGATGGATAGAAAAAAACTTAAAAAAAAAAAAAAGGACTGATTTAATTTGTGAGCAGAAAAGCCAAAGAGTGAGAGAGAGAGCACAGAAAGAAAATAGGGTTATAATAATCTTATGTATTATAAGAGAGGAGGATATGAGGCATAATGGTAGAGATGATGAGCCACTGAAAATGAATCAAGAGAAGAAGAACACACATTTTTATAAGAACCCAGGCAGTAAAACCATGTTTTATTGGAAACCAGGATAAAGGTAAGAGGCTGCAGAGGACATATTTTTCTCTGTCTTTTCTTCGTATCCTTTGTTAACCCAAAACTTCACAATTAAAGAAACCCTGCTTGTATGAAAGTGGGAGCCCATGTACCTCGGTCTCCTGATGCTGCCTCATAAAGACGGTGCTGCACCAGCTCATCATTGTCCTAAGCCCAATAAGAAATAACTGGGCTTCCTCCAGTCTCAGTGCTCACCAGAGCACCTCAGCTTCTTCCCCATTAAAATTCAGGCTCCAGTGATCTCAACACTAGCAAAGGCAGGAGTTTGTTGTAGAGCTTCACCCATGGCCAGTATTAAAAAAAACCTCATAAAAACCAGGGGAGAACTCATTTTTTCCACCTTGTGCTGCCACATAACTCTGTCACCAGTAATGCTATGCTTACTGTAATGCAGTGATTCACAATTTCAGTAGACAAAAGAGCCACCCAGCAAGCCTATAAAATATAGATATTGAAGCCCTAACTCTAGAGATTTGACGCCCTTAGCCTGATATGGGCCCAGGAATGCACGGCTTTAAAAACTGCCTTAAGTGATTCTGATTCAAGTGGCCTGTGGACCATAGTTGAAGAAACACTGTTTTAAGAAATGTATACAACTCTCCCTTTTGTTGGAGACAAGTATTGCAAAAAGATAGTCTAAAAGGAAGAATACCAATGATTTAAAATTCGATGAAGCTGAATGTTCCTTCACAAGACTGGCTCTCAAATAACCTGCATTGAAATCACGGAAGGGCTTGTTAAAAACAAACTTCTGGGTACCACCTTTCACATTTCTGATTTGGTACGGTGCAGCCCCAAATTTGCATTCCAACGAGTTTCCAGGTGGTGCTGAGGCTGCTGTTCAGGGACCACATTTAGAAAACCATTGGTTTACATTCAGGTGGGTATAGTTACCTTCTCCCAACACAAGGGTCTTTTGCCTTATGTTTGTTGATTCTTTCTAACAACCAAGTACCTAAGTGGCAGAGGAGCAAATGCTTCTTGTTAAATCCCTATTATGTTTCTTTCTCTTTTATTTCTGAAAGATCCCAGTAGGGCACGTGCAGAGGGCTTATGTAATTCTCCCAACTGTTAAGAGTAGAATCAACATTCAAATACAAGTTTAAAGGACATGTTTTTCCCTTTCAAAAAGTCTTGTAAGTCACCCCATTAGTAAGAAAAATCGTACTTGTAAAGAATATAGATCTTCTCTTATACTTGGGGCCAGTCATTGGGTACTTTCAAAACTGGGAGAGATCTTCTTGCATGACTGCAAAGGTACTGAGTGTAAGCACCATGCTTTCACAAGGGGCAGCTTGCTTTGCTGCCAACAACCCCAGCTGCTGAAAAGCATGGTACTAGGGGCCATCTTTTGGTCAAATAATCACATGCCTTAAAGGTAAATCCTGGATCAGCCACTGGAGAGGTTACCTTTGGCAGATTCATTACATTCCTTAAGTTTCCTCTGTTCAAGGGAAAAACTAACACCATGTCACAGGACTTAAAGTAATCAATTTAGAACATTTAAAATAGGATCAAACCTAGTATACCCTGGTTTTTTAACAAATGTTAACAAATGTCAGATGAAAAGGAATCTCAAGCTGCTCCATTAGATATTTCTGGAGCTCTTTTTTCTTACCATCCGTAGGTCTTAGTGTCTGAGGCATGCCTTTTAAGTGTACTGGATTCCATTCAAATATCCATGTTCAAATAGTCAAGTTTACATAGGTGAGCACCTGCTAGCACGTCCAGCACACAGCAAGTGTGTACTGTCCTCTTCCCTTACACTGTTAACATGTAGATTAAAATAACTTCCATATTTTTAATGGCATACCGTATGGTAATCTTTTCTCTTATGAGTTACAAGTTCTCCGAAGGCTGGAATATCATTATATACTTCAATTTAAATTCCTAGTTTCGTCTAACATAATGCTGACCGCATAGTATGTACTCATTATCAGATAGTTTAACTCTTGTATCTAAAGCTTTGTAGGGAATCTGCGTGTGTTGGGAGCGTATATATCAGTAAGATGTAAAACTAGATATCCTACTGGTTCAACGATTATGAAAAATGTCCCTGGCTGGGTGGCTCAGTTCCACAACCTAGGTGTGTCCTGACCAGGGATCCTACCCACAACCTGTTGGGGATAACACTCCAACCAGCTGAGCCACTGACCAGGGCTGTATGAGTTCTTTTTATATTTTGATACTAACTATTCCTCAGATCTATAATTCACAAATATTTCTTCCCATTCCATGAGTTGCTTTTTCATTTCATTGATGGTTTCCTTTGCTGTGCAAAAGCTTTTTCATTTGATGTCATCCCTCTTGCTTATTTTTGCTTTTCCTTTCAGTGTCACATCCAGAAAATTATTGCCAAAGCCAATAATGAGCTTGGCTCCTATGTCTTCTTCCAGGGATTTTCTGGTTTCTAGTCTTATGATAATGTCTCTAACCCATTTTGAGTTGGTAACATACAATTGCATGATAAATTTACTATTAAATATTTATATAAAATATTACATCCATAAATAATATTTAGGGTAACATACTTCTGTTATCATTTTTCTCCATGTCTTTTAGTGCTTGAACAAATATCTGTTGACTTTCTGTGAGAGGCCAGCTGTTATACAATATCAAACATTGTATAATATACTTGTAAACCTGAGAAACAAAATATAATGATTAGGCAAAATTAGTGATAATAAACATTATATTTGCCTAAGAATTTGTTATTTTAAGCATATAATAAATGCATACTTGTTCTGGATTATATAATCATAATTTAATAAAATATTAGATGTTTTCTAAAATTCTCTAACACCACAGTTCATGAAAGTGTACCCTCCCATCCTCAACCAATACCTGCCATGATATATACTAGTATTCATAATTTTTACATCCATGTTTATAAGTAAAATTTATGTACTTTACTTTTGTTACTTTCATCACTTTTGAGTTAGGGTTACATTAATCTCTGAGAAAAGATAAGAAAGTTTGTATTGTTTTTCTGTTTTCTAGAAAACTTTACCCTTGAAATTCTATTAGAGCTATCCTGTAAAGCCAGCTGGACCTATGGCTTTCTGGAAAGGTAAGATTTCGATCATCACTTCAGGTTTTTTCTCCTTTTTCTATTATTATTATTTTTTTCTATTTCCTAGTGAAGCAAATTCACCATTCCTCCCTTTCTCATAGAAATGTATCAGGGTGTTTTTAAGTTTTAAATTTGTTAGCATAGAGTTGTATATGATACTTTAATTTTTTTAAAAAAATCTGTCATTTCGAGCTATACCTCTAGCCTATTTTTTTTTGCTCTATATTTGATGTGTTTAATATTTTATTTCTTAATTGGCCTTATAAGAAGCATGTTTACTTTATTATCCTTTAAAAAAATTAGGATTTATTAATCTTTAAAAATTTTGTTCTCAATGTTATTAAAGTTTTTTCTTTTCTCTTTGAGTTAACATTTTTTTCTTTTTCTAATATTTGTTTCTGTAGCTTAGTTCATTTTGTTATCATTCATGTTTTCTAATCAATTACTTTAAAAGTCAACATTCCACTGAATGCTACCCTAGATGTGACTTACCCATTTTGATTTGGAGTCTTTTTTATTGTTTTGAGTTTTTTGTATTTCAGGAATTCTTTTCTGTTCTTTTTAACTAAAAATTTATATAGTACCTTTTATTGTGTGTCCACTTTTATGAGATTTTAGGTTGTTTATTAATTTCTATATTATTGCATTTTGTTCTGATCCATATAATATAGTTTGTTTTTTATTGAGGTTTCCTGTCTGCTATGAAAAAATTATTTCTTGTTTATTAGGTAAAATATTTATATAAATATCTAAAGTATTAAGCATGTATATACCTAAATTTTTCAAATCCTAGCAATCATAAGTATTCTGTTTCTCAGCTTGATCTATCAGTTTCTGAGAGGTGTGTGTGTTAAAATCTTCAACTATTAATTGTTAACTTATTAATTATTCTCTATAGTTCTAATAGTTTTTGCTTTTTATTTATTGAGTCTTGACAGTTAGATGGTTATATGTTCATTATGAATATAATTACTTGTTTTATTCTTCCTTTTATTTTTATGGAATATCTCTTGAATTCTATGTATTGAGATGTTAAAATATTATCATAGCTCTCTTTTGGTTCAACTTTAAACTTCCATGGATCCTGATTTTATATAACTTTAGAATTTGATTTTTCATTGTTGCAAATACATTTGTATTTATTGTATTACTGTCAGATTAGGATTCATTTTTGCCATTTCATTTTCTTAACTTCTTTATTTTTCAATAGATACATCACATTTTCTTTGGTGGCTTTAAATTATATGCATTTTTTATTCCTTTAAGACATACAGATAAGTTTTTATTAATATGTGACTCTTTTCAAACTTATGTGTCCTTTTATAACATAAGTAAATCACATATGTAAGTTAAGATAATTACATCTACATATACAGATTGAATTTGCCGCATATTTTAAAATTTTGGTGTAGAGAAACTTTTCAATAAATGTCCAGTTCTTCAGTTCTGGTTATGCACTGATGGTATTGCATATACAGAACATTATAGAGGGGTGGGCAAAAGTAGGCTTACAGTTGCTTGTATGGAAAAAGACATGCAAGTTATGATTATTATAGTAGTTTTATTAACTCTATGTTTTACATACTCACAACTGCCCACCCCTGTATGTTGACAATTTTTAGGGAGAGAATTTATATGAGATTTGTAGAAGCAGTACCACTGAATAATTCTTCTCAATGTGAATATACCTGCTGAGGTGTGCTAGCATTTTCTTCTATCGTGGGTGTACTGGCAGTTTCCTCTTCCAAAATCATCTGACCACTGTCTACTAATGCACTTCCAGGTCTGCCCTTAGTGGATTTCTGACTTCCCTGGACAGATTTCTTCTTGGCAGACGATTCTTGCTCTTTTTTGGATGAAGTATGAACTAAAAGAATTTGCTTGCTGGCTGTATAGAAAAAAATACTACATTTAAGTAAAAATGTGTGAAATGCATGGTTATTGCTGATTGTGTTATTTAGTTATATACCATCAGAAGACACTCAAAAGGACAAGTCAATTTTTTTCTTTTAATGATATAAAAAACATCACTGGCTTCTTGGCAAAATTCTGGTTTTAAAGAAACTTACTATAATAGTATTTTAGTATTTAAAAATTATTATGCAAATATATTCAGAAGAAATCTTAAAAGGTTAAAAGAGTCTTGCAGATGCATTTAAAATACTATATAAAACTGTCAGTTTTAAGTACAAATGCATATAGTAAAAAAAAAAAAAAACCTTTGAAATTATTAAAAGGATAATTAAAGTTTATCCCCTGATAACATCGGACTTAGTTTTGAAGTCAAATTAATAAACTTTTTTTAAAAACAGATGATTTCTTTAGTCTTTAAAGGCTTCCAAATTACAAAGTTTCCAAATTAATTTCAAGAATTTGTCATAATTCTAACTAGAGAAACTGTAAAGAGTAGTGTTTGGTGCACACACAGGAAAAAACAATGGAGAGATCCATCTATCCAACAAATTATATAAGATAGTATATTTTAGTCATTGGAATATATTAAAACATTATAACCAACAGGTTTTACCCAAGAATGATTCCAAATTAAGAATTAATGTATAAAATTTAAAAGGATACAATTTGATAATTTTTGTAAACCACAAAAAGTGATTAATAAAGTTCCAAACCCATTGCATATTAAAATTCTAGCTACCACTAAAATTTTTTCCTTAAATTTTACAAAGGGCAGTTATTAGACTTGAACAACAAACATAATACACAATGGTACTTGTTGTAAGCTTTCTTACTTAAGAAAAGGAAGTATGTCATATTTGCTCTTATGTCCCTGGTTTGGAAGTCTCACATAATGCCACAAATAAGCAAAAATTATAGTTCTAAGAAATACCAAAGATCAAAAAAAGTAAAAATCCCAGTTTTGTTTAAAATGTAAATGCAAAAATGAAAAATAGAAGCATACAAGCTAAAATATTAACAGTACTCTTTCTGAGTAGCATGATTATAAGGGAATTCATGTTTTGTTTGTAATTTTCTATTTTTCCAAATGTTCTACATTGAACAGGTGTTATTTTTTTTTAAGATTTTATTTATTTTAAAGAGGGGAAGAGAGGGAGAAAGAGAGAGAGAGAAACACTAATCTGTGGTTGCATCTCACGTGCCCCCTGCTGGGGACCTGGCCTGCAACCCAGGCCTGTGCCCTACACTGGGAATCGAACCAGCAACCCTTTGGTTCATGGGCCAGTGCTCAATACACTGAGCCACCCCAGCTGGGGCAACAGATGTTATTTTTACAGTTAGAATCAAGTTACTAGAATAACTGAATATATGTCTACAGTATTATTGTTATCCATTATTTCAGAAATAATTTTATTTTATTAGTTAATAGCTCCTGTGACTATTACATTGAAAGTAATAACACTGAAGTTTTGTTAATTTTAATAGAATATATTCTAAAAATAATAACTAGGAAATTAAAAAGGAAAATATTCTTGCATAACACTAAAATATTCTTTTTCATTCAGAAATGTAAAAAGGTTCACATGATAAGAAAGTTTTTAAAGTACAATTGTAAAAATCTATTGATCTCATTTGACACAAAAATGTAGTAGTTTTTAAAATATTTTACTATAATATTAAGCTTTACAGATTTAACGGTTTACTTGCTATTTTATCTTAAAGAAAACATTTTAAAAATCAGTCACATAAACATCAACATGCATTTATAAATCTAAATGACCAATTTTAAAAAGTCATACTTACACTGGGAGCTCAGCGCTTTTCCATTCCCCAAGAAGTAAAATGCTGGGATTATAGCTTGGCCTTTCCCAGTGGCGCTGACGGCAACTTCTTCATTTTCTAGGATCTGTAGCTTGACGAATGCATCTGGCTTAGATGTGCGCACTTGAATTGTAACAGGATGCTGGAATGCAACTTTGACTGAATACCTATAAAGAAAAACACTGAAGTTTATAAGCAAGTGCATTGGCTTTTCCCTCAAATCAGTAAAGGAAACTAACACTTGCTGATATGATAATCTAAAAGTAAAACCACTTTGTAAAGTTGAGTAAAATCTTGGAAATATTAATGCTATTGCACATTTTGGCAAAATTCCCAATAAGCTACAGTAAAATGAAATGAGTATAGGACATTTATTATCATTAAATCTCAAAGAGAAAAATGTAACTTTTTGTTTAGATATGCTAAGCACTCACAAAATTTGACTGATCTGCAAACTACTACCACACTACACCTTTCCATTACGTTCATCCCCTCTGCAGACAAAGACTACAACTAGTAAAAGCAGTACCCCTCAGGGCTTTACTGTTAAAAACGTTATCTGTGGTTCTCAAAATACAGGGAAACCAAAAGTAGTACCCATGCCTGCACTGTCAGCCTTCCCCATGCAGGTTGGGAACCTCCTGCAAAAAAACTGGAACTGGCAGTCTAACTCCATCTCAGATCCTCCCTTAATGCAATCGAAGACATTTTTGTGTTTTGGATTCCCCCCGCCCTATTTTTGTTGAATCTTTGCAAATGTTCAGGGTCCTACCAACTTTCAATTTCTCTTAAAAATTAGCATTTCTAAGCGTCCTCTCCTATAGCTTAATCCACCTTCCCTTATTCCTCCTTGTTGTTGGTTTTTGTCCATATGCAGTCTCATCCATCTTAAAAAGAGTTAAATGCCCTGGCTGGTGTGGCTCAGTGGACTGAGTGCCAGCCTGAGAATCAAAGGGTCACAAGTTCGACTCCCAGTCTAGGGCACATGCCTAGGTTGTAGGCCAGGTCCCCCGTAGGGGGCACATGAGAGCAATCACACATTGATGCTTTTCTCCCTCTCTTCTCCTCTCTCTAAAAATAAATAAAATTTTAAAAAGTCTTAAAAAACAACAGATACAAACAAGACAAAATCCAACCAGAAAATCTTCAACCAACCCTGCCATCTAGCCTGGGCTCTATTTCACTCCTTCCAGCTCACCATTTAGCAGGGGTGTCCAACCTTTTGGTGTCTCTGGGCCACACTGGAAGAAACAGAGTTGTTCTGGGCCACACATTAAATACAGTGTGACATGTAATCACAAAAAACCTCATAATGGTTTAAGTAAATTTATGATTTTGTGTTGGGCTGCATTCATAGCCATCCTGAGCTGCATGCAGCCCGCAGGCCACAGGTTGGACGCCCCTGTTACAGAGACCTGTCTGCTTCCATTTTCCAGTCACACACAGCGCTTCACTCTGCCCACAACTGAGGTGTTAAACATGCTCTTGACACAGTTTCCAGCAGCTTGTCATCGTGCTATGGAAACTCCTGGTTCTCGTGCTCTTTGACATTTCAGAAGACTTTAACAAGGCTGAATCAACCCTCATTTCCCCCTCTCTTTAAAAACTTTTCCCCTATCATCATGACAACTGTTGTACCTCCATTTTGGGGGATACACACACACACACACACACACATATGTGTATGTGTGTGTGTGTGTGTATTTAGGCTTCTCTCCCATTGGTATTCCCATAAATACCGGAGAATCTTAATATTCTGTCCTGGACCTGACTCACTGTACAGATTTTCCTGGGCACTTCCATGGGCAGGAACAGGATAGTGATTCCAAATCTGAGTCTCCAACCCAACTCCCAGGCAGTGTCATTTGGATGTTTTCACTGGCCTGCTGTATTTCACCCCTAGAAATGAATACATTGTCTTCCTATTGCCCAACCTGCAAATGGGGTCCTCTTCCTTTTATCTATGTAAAGGACCTTTATTGTTCAACAGTTCCCCATGTCAAATCCCAGGAGCCCCAATAAACCAAGTCTGTCATTTTTACTTCCCTGATATCTTAAAATCCTTTCTCTTCGATCTAGACCCACAGTCAGTAATTGTTATGGGTTAAATTGTATCCCCTTCGAAACAAAACAAAACAACAACCTACGTTGGATTCCTAACCCTCAGAAGTAATGAAGTTTTTTCAATTCACGCTTTGCAGACATAACGTTTTAACACAAGTAGATTAATGCTGTTTTTTTTTTAAAAAAATCCTTCAGAGTGCCTCACTGCCTCTAAGGTGAGGTATAAATAAATCTCTTGGCTTATGAAGCCTTTAGGAAGGTATCTGCCAACCTCTCCAGCCTGACCCCTTGCTGTGGCAGCCTGGAACTCCATTTGGCAGACAAAACGAAGTATCTTTAGTTCCCTGAAAAGCCCAGTTGCCTTTTAATTTACGAACTTTCCCAAAAGCTAGTCAGGCAGTTTCCTCCTCACCTCCCCTCTTCAGCTTGCCAGCTTTAGGACCAACTTCCAGGAGTAACATAGACATTAGGTTAAATATAACCTCTTAGTCTATTAGTAACCCTGCTATGGCATAGAATGGTTGCCTATCCTAGTAGTTAAAATATTTTATTGCAATTGTTATTTTCAGTTACTGCTATGTTTCCTTTCTTCATTCCTTCTTTTTCTTTCTTTCTAATAGGCAATATGTAAATATATTACAAGAAGCAGACAGATGAAAGAGAATCCTTCACCCCTAAGATTGGCTTTCTTTTGTGTTTTCTTTCAGTATTGCCTCCAAACTTCTACCTACATGTAAAATATTTAAACAAGCATAAACATAAGTAAAAATTTTTGGGATACATTGTGTATATAGCTCTGTGATTAAATTTTATTGCTTATTATTTTTATTATAAAAATGTATTTTGTTACATTTCATTACATTTTAATGTATTATGTTACATTTTATTAACTAAAAAATATTTTTCTTTTTTCTTTTCTTTTTTTTTTTAAAGATGGGAAGAGAAGGAGAAAGAGAGGGAGAGAAACATGTGCAAGATCGATCCGGTTGCCTCTCACATCTCTCCAACGGGGGACCTGGCCGGTAAGCCATGCTTATGTGCCCTGACTGGGAATCAAACATGCGACCTTCCAGTTCACAGATTGGAGCTCAGTCTACTGAGCCACACCAGCCAGGGCCATTTTATTATATTTTTGTTATAAAAATGTATTGTGCTACACTTCATTATACTTTTAACGCATTATGTTACATTTTATTACATTTTTATAACAATAATCAGCAATAAAATTAAATTACAGAGCTATGTACATGGTATATCCCAAGAATTTTTCCTTATGTTCAATCCCCTAAACAATAAGTACCAAAGATTACTTCCTTTAAAACATTTATACTTAGTACATAATACTTCCTGGAAGGAATATATTTTAAGTAACTTTAGGTCAACTATCAGCAGTATAAATGCTAAATTCTGCTCTTTGTAAACCTCAAAACAATTATTTTTTATTGTAACTGGACAGAGAGCGATTCCGACGCCTCCAGTTCCCGCCAGACGCCGCCGGCGCAGTAGGGTCGGTCCCCAGCAGGACCCTGGCTGGCAGCTTCTGCCGCTCCCCGCGGACACGGGGCTGGAAGCCGGGTCACAGCACTGATCATGTCTTTTAAAAAGTGTTTTATAAAACCGACTGCTTGACTGTGTTCCTTAGGTTAAATAAAGGATATTTTATAAATTAAAAAAAGTATTATGCCTTTTAAAGGAAAGTTTAAAAGTATAAAAAATAAGAATTACAGGGAAAATCAGCTAAAATACAATTATTGTTTATTATTGTCAAAGACCTAGATTCTCTTTTTGAAAATTAATTCACCAATATGTATGAAGTTTTTAAAGAACATAATCTCTTTAATATAGTAAACCCTTAGATAATCAGGAATTTAATATTTACAATAAAATATATCCATCACATCTTTATTAATATTATAGAAAAAACAAAAATTGGTAACAATGAGGAATAACCAATGACCCAGTAAATTATTTTATAGCCATATAAATGATTACTAAGCAATCAAGAAAAAAGTTCAAAGATGTCAATGTCATTGGAAAATGTTCATGCCATGATGCTAAGTAAAAAGGTCAGATTACAAAGCTTTAATAATGTTAAACTGTGACGAGAAAAAAAAGCATTCTAAGAAACTACAACAGAATACTAATAACAATTGTTTCTAGGTTGTTTGATTATGGGTTACTTTTATTTCCTTAATAATACTTTATACCTTTTTTCCAAATTTTCTGTGTCAAATGTTATATATTTACAAAAGATGATAAGTAGCCTAAGAACTCATTTAATAACAGGTACTGTACTACTTTGTATATTGAGGAGGCATGATTTTCTGACATCAATATATGTTCATTCTCATAGAGGTTGTTGTGAAATTAACCAGCTAAAATTTGGTATATTTTCACAAAGAAGAAAGGGCTATAAGAAATGACCAGAAGCAACTAATTATATTTGGAAGTTTAAGCACAGAGGATTTGACAGTTGAAAATCATCATTAACAGAGATGCATTGCACGAGGCGGGAAATGAAGACTGGCTGGCTGTCCCTGGACAAGAGAGGCGGGCAGAGTGAATTGCGTGGCGTAAACATCGGGAGATGCTGCTTAGTTGCATCGAGAGAGGGCGCTTTGTGTTTGGTGGCTGGGGAAAGGTGTTAAATACCACACACCTTGTGGTTTGGATCTTATTCTTTAGTCAATGTCAAAGGTTTTAAAGAAGGAAATCACATTTTGGAATGTGTGTTAGAAAGGTTAGTACTCTAGTAGAGAAAGGGAGAGAGAGAGAGAGTAAAAAAGGGGGAATACAATGGAGTCATGAATTCCAGAAAACCGCATTTCTACAGACAAATATAATGAGGTTCTGAAGCAACAGAGGGGCATTGAGAATAGGAGGGCGTATACATGAGAAGCAAGTCTGAATAGGAATCAAAAGGACTGATTAGTAAGAGAGTGGAGTCCCTCATGAGGCTTTTTGTGGAAAGTATTTAGGTAAGCATGGCAGGAAGGTAGTTGGCCGATAAGGAGAAGCCCACTAATAAAAGCAGCAGAACAACGAGGAGGTACTGAAAGGAAAGGGTGTCATGAAAGATGCTTATTAAAAGTCAAATGATATTAAGATAATACAATCACCATTATATACGCAACCACATAGGTTTGATATGTTGTGTAACATTTATACAATCAAATTACTCTATACATTGTTTTCAAGAGTTTAAACATGGAAATTCCAAATGACTCAGGATTTGGCTATAAAATTTATTATTTTTTATATGATATTAATATGTAAAAATGTAATAAAATAATATTTTAAAAAGAATTATTCTACCTTCTGTCATATATTCATACCTGAATAAAATTTTCTTGTCATTGGGTATATAGTAATCTCTGATTTCTTTTATGGCAAAGGTGTTGCATGGGAAATCTCGGGAGAGGCTTGGGAGTGGATTATAAGAACCAATGAGACGCAGTTTCCATCGTGAGGATGGTACGTATGAGTCAGCAGTATATGCTTCAGCCACAAATGTGTATCCTTTCTATAGGGAAACAGAATTACATGGAACTCAGTTACATTGCTGCTAACCTCCTCAATGTACAGTGTGAGGTTTTTCAATACTAACACACGTTATTATCTCAATATACAAAAATATCTCAAGATGTTTTGATAAACATCAAATCACTAGCATTATTTTTTGTAATCACTCTTAGAAAGAACCATCTTACATGTCTGTAGAGAAAAAGGATAACTCTTAATACTTTGATTTGTGTGGCCCCCTAGCTATAAAAGAGCCCAGTAGCTTCCTACTTGTTGTCCCTGTCTTCTCGGAATAATTGTTCTAAATACAAGACGAGAAAAGCAGAAGGGTTTATAAAAATGTAGTTCCTTTGGGATAACAATTAGCAGATAAAGCTATCAAATTCATAGCAGATCTGATTCCACAAGAAACCCAGTTGGGAGCCTGGACATGAGCTCTTTAGGCTGGAGAAAGGAAGCAGCTAGGGAACCTGGTAAATGATAACATCATAGTGTGTTATAGCTTGGTTCAACATAATTGACTCTCTGGCCAAAGAGGAGGTGAAGCAAGAGATGGTAATGAGATAAAAAGAGGCATAATATTATAATGAGACACAAGAGCTCAAAGTAATTCTGAGTTTATAATCCCAGACATTTCTAATAAGAAAGAAAAAGATAAATTTGTATTCCAGTCGCTATCAGATGCAAGGAAGCTCTCTGATGTGTTAAGATTTCCAGAAATGAATTACACAAGACAGAATACATTTATGACATTGCAATAAATGTCTAGGAATATTAACTAGAATGTTAATACTCATAATGAGATGAGAATTGCAATACTAATAAAGACATTTTGATATGTGTAGAGCAAGAAAAAAAGAAGATAAATTATGTATACAAAAGTATTTTTATCTGCAAACTAATGTACAGATGCATTGCTACTTGTGTACTAATGCATTAAAGAAACAAATGAGAGTCACATGACTCTTCTGTTTGTCTAGAGTCAGAGAATAATTTTGAGAGGGAAAAGAAGAGTTATAAATTGGTAGAACAGATATCAGTAAGTGAAAATCTAATGTTAAGCCAGTGATAGGATTTTAAGGGAGGCCTGGCTTATTTCAAATTATTTTAAGTCTCTTGAGTAAAATTGGTAAAATAATAAGAGTATTATTATTTTGAGAAACTTCATAAATGGGTTTCTAAATCACAGTTTTTGAAATATTATGAAAAAATACAACAAACAATTCTGAATGAAACTGTTTAATACTGTTTTTTTAAAGTTTAGAGCACTGTGGTTTTTTATAAGACAAATTAATATCATGAAGAACTCTAGTTCTGTGGGCACACATTGAAAAATGTTGACCAAATGTCAAAATAAATACCTTGCATGTGCCAAATGCTAATGTCATCATGAGCTACAAAACAATGGAATAATGATATTCCTTACATTTAGGTGGGTCCAAATTTTCTTTTGAGGCTGCATTCAATACTGGAAACCACAATATGGGAGGAACACAGATAATCTGGTGAAATACTCAAAGGCAGGAATCACTAAGGAAGGGAAGGCATGCCATGAAGGGAACACAGAAGCTACTCTTCTAGTCATTCTCCTCCCCATTTTCTAATATTTTTCCCTAAAATGAGCTAAAAATGAGAAGACAGAAGAGGTGAGTTACTAGAGACAGGATGGGGCTATGTTTGTTGCAATCCTGAATTTGCAATGTAAAAATTATAGTTAAAAGGAAATAGAATGGCCTGTATGTTGGCTGATAATGCATTGTTTAGAGCTACCCCCCAAATTCACCCATAGTCTCAGAAGAAAGGTCTTTACTGGAGTTCATAAACCAAACCCAAACCAAACCAAACCCAAATAGACAAAGTATGCTAGATGGAAATAAGTATCAGATTCTTTTTTGGTTCAACTCAAATGGTCCCTACCAAATCAGTGTCAGTGGCTAATATTAGTTTACTTATCCAGTAGAACAAAGAGCTCATTTCTAGAACTTGCTGACAACTATGACCTTGATAGTCTCCCCTTGAATGAAACCGTCTTTTCCATCTGGACCTTTGCCATTTTTTACTTCGAATTACAAATCAAATAAGTGTTTCTATTTAAAAGAAATCTAGGTGTCAATTTTTCTGTGAACCTCAAACTGCTCTAAAAAATAAAGTCTTATTTTAGAAATCCCTGAAACAATTCAAAAGAGCTATTAGATTTTTTATAGAGTCATTAAACTGTTTTATTTTTCTATAAATCAGTACTCACTAGATAGGTATGTCTTAATTTGTACAAAATAATGCATAGAATCATAGACTGATGTAAACCTCAGAAGTCAATTACAACCACAACTCAAAAATGAAGTTTACAGCCATACAGCTAAAAAATGGAAGCTTGCAGGTGAAATAGGCCACCTGGTTACCAGTGCATGTATACACTGTTTCTGTCATGTTTCTCTATCAGAAGAAATGACCAAAAATACAAAGATGAGATTCAAATAAATAGAGAGGGAACATGATTTTAGTGAACGGCAGGGTCTACCACTCAGCAGCAGTAATGTGACAAGTGCTACTATCCTTGGAAGGAATCTGTAGCCTTAAAAAGATGGGGTGGCAGGTGCTGAATGGTTATATAATCAGTCTTCTGAAATACTTAGGAATAGAATAAAAACCTAGCGGGAAACTGAGACAACCAGATGACTTTATAGAGACAGGATGAAATGAGCTCTGTAGCTCCATTTTCATTTTAGGGGTTTGTGTGATTTTATGATTTCAATGATGAAAATTTCTATTGCTTTCTTTTTCTTATTCTCTTTGGAAATAAGAAAGAAGAGGGCTGAGAGGCAAAAATCCTAGCACTCACATTGAGTACCTCCTGCTGTCAACTAAATGGAACTTCTGCAGAACAGGACCACACATGATCTTACTCCTCTAGTGAGTGGATTGAAGGCATCTTTTCTCTACTTCCTCATAAAACCCCTACAAAGTACACTGCCATTCTATCATGCAGGGTGAATAAATTTTATACCTACCTTATTCTTGGTATAAAGATAAGGCACCACTTTTTGGAACACCTTTGGCACTTGTTCCATTGTGTCATTATTAACAACATGGAGGATACAGATCGGGAGTGTAGTATATACTTTGGGAACCAAAATCATATCTTGATGAACCAAAAATGTTTCTCTGTAATTACAAAAGCATGAACTTTCCCTTGACATGAACCATACATAAAATTTGAAATTGGGTTTGATGCTAAGAAATAAAAACATAGTAAGTTTAAAGATCCAAATAACTATAAGGTACACCTATTGTTTTCCTTTAAAATTATGATTAACATATTATTTTGTAATATAAATGCAAACCCTTTAAGAAATCCAATTTTGTAAGTAATTTGTGAATTCTGCCTAGTATGCTGTTGCTCAGAAATTAAATGATTTCTTTCTATACTGAGAGCACATCAATTTTTATTATGGCTATCATACTCATAAAAAGTTATAATAATTAACTTCAGATTGTTCATAGTTTAAGAAAACATATGTAAACACTTCTGTGCTATCTCATTTATGCATAGCAGATATAGAAGACACTTTAACCAAGTTGAGAAAGCAACCTAAAAGTTTATGCATTTACTATACATTTACTACTATCATGAATACAATCCTACATATATAGCTATTGATGCCATTTAAGGGAGATATCCCTTACGAATATAGACAGCCTCACCTGAAGACTATGAACCAACTATTGGGTGGCTGGTCTGCATAAGTTACAGTATAGTCAGCAAAAGCAATCTTAGTTTCTTCATCTTGATAGCATGGATAAGATTCAATAGACTTGCACTTGCTTTTAAACATCAGTCTAGAAATGTAAAAATAATTTAAGTACCAACAGCAAAAGCAACTGTCAAACTATATTCTGTTTAGAGAAAAAAGAAATTGGCAAAAATTAGCATAGAATTTGACAGTTCATGGTTGACTGGACTGCGTCCTTGTTCAAAGGGGGGGTGTGGGGATCATGGTATACGACACCAAGGTAGGGAGACCACTCCAGGTCAACTGTGGAAAATGTCTCCCAAAGGGGCACAAAGTTATCTGAAGTTCTCAGTCAAGGGAGAACCTAATTCATGATCCAAGAAGTAACCATGTCTGTAGGTGGAAAATCAGTACCAAATTTCAAGGTATAAAGGGGAAAACTAGAAGCAGGCAAGCTAGCAGTGAAACTAGGGGGCAGCCATGAGAGTCTGGGAGTTAACATGGAGAAATCAATATGAGAAAGGAATGGATTGGGAATAATAGATTAAAAAAACAAAAACTAAGGCCTTGAATAAGGGAAGAATGCAGAATTTCCCTTTTACATGGTTTCTGTTGCATGAGAGGGAGGTGCATGCAACTGGGTAAAGAATCATGGGCTGAAGCTTCTCCAGGTTTGCCCCCCTGGAAGGCTGTGGCATATTCCAGAACATAATGAACGTGATATGAGGGATTTTCTGGGTCCTGTTCTTACCACTTTGCCAGGAACTGGATCTAGCACCAGGAATCCAGGGTCTTTTATATGTCTCTGGTGTTAGCTAGGATGGAAGCGATAAAGACCATAGAAATGGTTCCCTGTTAGGCAGAGGTCTGGGGAGAGCTCGGGGTGCTCCTAGCTTCTAGGTGGTTTAATTGTACTGGCAGTGGGACACAACCATGGAGATTCTCGTGGAGGATAGTATTCATATGTTCCACATGTCATTGCTTGGGTGGTGAGAGGAAATTGATACCTTTATTTTTGGAAGAGTTTTAAGCTTTTTAAAGTATTACCAAGAACAAAGACTGAAAATACATACCCTGGTTTGCCTGGGACAGTCCTGGTTTGTGCTCATAGTGCTGGCACAATTATTAATAGGGCTCCCTCTGTCTGTGAAAGTGTCTTAGTTTGGATGATAGATAACCCGATCACCCTAAAGAGGAACTAGAACGTTCCTGGTCTGACAATGCAGAACCCTCTCATCCATTGCGGGCGCTGGCCCAATCATGGCTCCTGCCAGTTTCTGCCATTTTCTATGTATCTCAGGAAATCCTAATGACTACAGGGTTCTTGTCGTAACATGTGGAATATCTTGAATGACCCAGAGAGATATCCCTGACAGACTTGAAAGATATTGTTTTGACTTGGCATCCTAAGACAGAGAGAAAGTCATATTGGTAAACTGAGCCTTGCCCAGAATAGACTTGGGGAAGTTCTGTCCCTTATGATTTAAGAATGAAAGGCTAGGCTCCTGAACCTCCAAGTCCCTTATACTGTATTAATAGTAGTATTAATATTAACAATATTTAAAATAGCTAATATTCAATATATAGAATTTATAATAGCATTAGCTCAATATGCAGCATTGTGCTAAGTACATTTCTTATATTACCTTAATTTATCTTTTTTTGAAGTTTTAGATGTTTTTGTTGGTCAGTCTGTTTTTTTTTAATTTTAATATTTTATTGTTTATGTTATTGCAGTTTCCTACTTTTTCTCCCTTTGCCCCCCTCCACCCAACCCGCCCCCCAACTTCCATAGTCAGTCCCCACACCATGAAGGACCATTGTCCATGTCCATGGGTCCTTCATATATATATTCTTTGACTAATCCCTTCACCATCTTTTAAACAGTCCCCTGCTTACCACCCCTGCTTGTCTTATAGCTGTCAATCTATTCCAAAGTTCTATGCCCCTGATTCTATTTCACTCATTAGCTTATATGAGGTCTGTTCGGAAAAAAGCCCACCCATTGTTAATATAATGAGAATGGTTTGTGTGGCATCGATGTAACCTGGCAACCAAGGAAAGTGGACTGGTATGAACATGTGTGAACAATGACAATTTCACTGTACTAGTCAATGGGGTCAGTAGATGCCATTGAGTGAGCATGTGTACTGTATGGCTGTTGCATTCAAAATGACTGAGTGAGTAGAGTAATGGATCTGCATCAAATTTTGTGGTAAGTTTGAATATTCCTCCACAGAAACTATTCAGATGACTCAGAAGGCTTTCGGGGATGATGCAATGAGTGATTGGCAGCTTCATCACAACAATACGCCCACTCGTGCATCATGTCTCATGCAGAGATTTTTGGCAAAACATCAAATCACTGAATTGATTCAGTCCCCCTATAGCCCAGATTAGGTGGCCTGAGGCTTCTGGCTTTTCCCAAAACTAAAATTACCTTTGAAAAGAAAAGGTTTCAGACCATCGATGAGATTCAGGAAAATATGATGGGGCAGCTGACGGTGATTCCAACAACAGATTTTACAGTGTTCTCAACAGTGGAAGAGGTGCTGGGAGAACTGTTTGAGGTCCCAAGATGCTTACTTTGAAGAGGACTGAAATGTCATTGTCCTGTGTACAATGTTTCCATCTTGTATATTCTTCAGTAAATGTCTCTATATTCCATAGTACATGGATGGATATTTTCTGGACAGACTATATATGTGTATAATATATAAAATATATATTCATAAGTTATGAGTGAAATTATATTTTATATGAGTGAAAATCCCTCATATCACTTACTTTTGGTCAGATTATCCTGTCTTGAGCCTGGCTTGTGGCTATAATGTAGTTTTCCTAAAGCTCAGTACAGTTCTGATTTGTTCTGTTTCTACAGTGTTGCCCTCCAGAGATTTCACTGACAACTTTGTTTGCTGGAGCTCCTCCCCCTGGAAGGCCCTCGACTCTAACTTCTGTCTCCCGAGTACCGTAAAACTTCACGAATCTCTCATATGTTTCTGCTTAGAATTTTAGATAAGTTCAATTAAGACAAGCAAAAAAGTAGTAAGTACCATAAAGGTGTTTCAGATACAATATCATGGAAGTTCAGAAACAGTAGCATGTTTCTAACTGCAGTGAGGAAGGATAATTAATCTCCCGTAGCATTGGAGCCGGAACTTGAAGGACACCAAGATACTGCACTAATGAGTCAGATAAAGACGAGCACCCTGTGATTTTACCTATCTGTAGAATCTAAAAACAACCAAAATGAGCAAACCACCAAAACAGAAAATGAACTCATAGGCAGAGAGAACAAACTGATGATTGACAGATTGGGAGTTGAAGGGGTGGGTGAAAAGGGGGAAGATATGAAGAAGTACAAATGAGTAGTTACAAAATAATGGGGATGTAAAGTACAGCATAAGGAATATAGTCAATTATATTCTAATAACTATGTAGGATGTCAGATGGGTACTAGGCTTATATGGGGGATCACTTCATAAATTATATGAATGTCTCATCACTGTGTTGTACACCTGAAACTAATATAATATTGTATGTTAACTATAATTGAAAAACTTTTTAAAGAAAAAAGAAATATCATTGTATTACTTTACCTTAATAGAGAAACTGCATACTGTTCTATATTAATTTCTAATACAGTCCAAACTTTTTGAAGAGTATCTGCAACACTGATATTTTCCTTTGTGTCTAAAAATAACAATAAAAAATAACATAAAATCTGTAAGATGTCAAAAAAATATTTTGTTCAAAGCTCTCTTTTTATAGAAGAAGCTGAAAGTCATGAATCAGGTGGTACTACAGTCAGAGGCTTAATTAGCAGCAAAATCATGTGTAAAACATAAAGTTATATCCCTCTAGTTGAGAGCTTTGCTCACCATTTTATGCCTTTCCTTTTATTTTTAGTTTAAAAATTACATTGTTCTTTGATCTAATTGAAATACTCATTAGTGAGTTTACATCAGATCTTTTTCTCACACCAAAAATTCCTTATGAAAGTGCTTATGTCAGAAGAAATAATCCATCCACTTTTTCTAAAAAATAGTGGCTAATAGGATTATAGTAAAGTTCAATCTAAAGCCTAATCCACAAATGGCTTAAGAGTAAATGATTTGGCAAGAAAAATGTAAATCCATAAATGGTTCAAATTTAATGTCAGAAACTGACAACTTTTTTCTAATTATCCTATATTAATTTCTTCAAAGGACTTCCCAGTATCTGCAATTAATACCTTAATATATTTACTTGTCTCCTGTATGCCTACCACAACTAAAACACAAGATTCATCAGGTGAGAAACCTTGTCAGTGTTACTGATTTCTATAAGGCCAGAATCTAGAAGAGCACTGTACGTACAAGAAATATTCAATAAATGTATGCTGAGTGAAAGACATGCAAATATTATTAAAACATTTTTAAGTTACTCAAATTTTTGCCTCCAAAAATGTGATACATTTATAATTATTTTTTATAATAGAAAAATATAAAAATCAGGCAACAGTAATATTTTTATCACAAAACTGAGCAATGTACTTAGGTTGTTTTACATTTCTGTATGTGTTGCTTTCACAGCTTAGGTAAACATTTTGATGATTCTCATTAATGTTTTAAGTAGAGACATTTCTTACAACAAAATATTTCAATATACTCAAAGATTTCTACTAGAGATAAGGTTCTCCTATGAGCATGTAAACAAAAATTGTGGAATGAAAATAAATAAATTTTTGCCTCTGCAGTGTTTTACCGTACAGTGTTAAACTTTTTCACAAAAATAGTTTATTTTATATGCATAAATATATTTGATGTAATTAATATACTAATAATGCTTAAAATGCATTTTATGCCTTCTAAATATATGTCACTGTGGGCACACATGGAAGCGCCTTCATTCAATTTATTCATTCTTCCATTCATTTGTTCATTCATTCATTCATTCATTCACGCATTCTTGCAGCAAGCATTTGTTGTGTGCTTACTCTGTGCCAGGCACTGTGCTAAATTCTGGGAACAAGAGGGTGAGGGGGCTGACAATGCACCTTCCCCTCAAGGAATTTCAGTATTTATGGAAGTTAAAATAACTAGCCTATCCGTAAAGTAAGATGACTCTAAAATACTTCTCATTAATATACAAATTTCATGTATCTACAGGCAAGTTCACTTTACAAGCGATGGGAAAAATCACACCTGGTGTTCTAGCTTTCATAAGCAGTCTGATGTAAGCCCCTCTCCACATGGCTTGGATTTTAATTGCTGCTGCGGTTAGTTCTTCTTCATCGCTTACTGGCACACAATATTTAACATCTACCCATTCTGCTGGAAAGAGAAAAACAAACTTTGTACTGAAAGTTATATTTAACCCCTTCCCCCAATCTTCAATGCCCTTAACAACTAAATCCTCCTTACATGTGAAAGGCCACAACCATAGATTTGTCATTATATTTAACGTTGTCCTCTCTACATGATTCTGTTTTAGAAAGTAAACATTCTGGAGAAGGTGACACACTAAATACTGACACCTTAGTGAACTATGATTGATTCTCCTGTGAAAGTAGCAAGAGGTTTCTTTCAAAATTAAAAGAAAATGCAGACATGGTAGAAATAGAGAATTGGGAGGGGAGGAAAGGACTATTACTTGGATCAGAAGAACTTACCAGAATTCCTCAAATCATACTGTATATATTTCTGAGTTTCATACTTTTTAAAGTCAAGGACAAATAAAACAGAGAAACCCTGGATATATGTGGGGCAGGGGACACACGTGAGAGCCTCGGAACTCTGTAAGCTTCCCGGAGCACAGCTTGAACTCTACAATTATAGGTGTAGACTGTTCTAGCTACTCCACATATATTTTGAATACATTGTTCTCATATTATTTCTCTTGTATAAGCCTAGAATTTCCTTTGTCAAATAAATGTCTAAAACTAATCATTACCCGAAGGAGCATCTTCTGAGGAGGAATCAAGTGGATCCATGTCCAAAACCATAGCACGGAATGCAAATTTAAAGTTTGAAGGAGGTTTTGTTAGCTGAGCTTTTTTGATTAAACGCCACAAGGAAGTACTAAAAACCTAAAAAAAAAAAAAAAAAATTGGTGTATTTTTTTAAACCAAAAAAATACTATTAACTGGTCAGAGAGTCTCTAAAAAACCTTAGATATTCTAAAAAGTTTAAGAATAGAGTTTTCAGATATATACACAATTTAAAAGAAGACTCTCCAAAGTTCTCACCCAATAAGAAACCAAAATAATCATTTGACAATTTTAATACCATTACATTTTATCACAATAATAACATTTATAATGTATACTCAGTCAAAATATAACACTAAACTGGTGGAAAAGATACAGAATAAGATGAATAGATATGGTCCTTGAGCTTAAGCAATTTAAACACAATATTTCATTGATTCTAAGATGCCTTCCATTGTAAGACACATTAATATTTCATGCGCTACAACAAAGTAGACTACTTAGAGTTTTTTATCACTTTGTTATCATCTATGGGTATTTATTACATATTGGAAAAAGCTCTTTTAGATTTAGACACAATTTTTCTTCATATAGCATACTTAAACATATATAAAAAATAAAATAAGCTACAAAAATTGGTTAAGTATCCCCAAAACTTATTCATATTCGAACTATTCTGTAAATCATTTTTAAAAAATACTTGACATCTGTTTTTCCTATATCATTTGTTGTTTATGTTGTCAAAGTCTTTGAAGATATACCAGTGTCTAAAAAATGTTATACTTTTTGACCCTGGGGTTTTTCTCAAGCCACTGGTCCCCATTCAGAGAGCACTGGTGCTGGTTCATTCTTGATCTTTACCAAAGCGGAATGAGGGAAGGTTTTTAGATTACAACAAAGACACATATTCCTTCTTCCAATGTTTTTCCCGGGTTTTTATTTTGAAATGCTGAGGGATTCCATTTATCTGGTCAAGCCACTGAGAATAACAATGAAGCCCAACCACATTTCTGCTACTTACTTCTAGCTATTTACCTGTGTACAGGGAATGATGTGCTGTGCAGATTTCTCAGAGTCCCTGGGGACTGTTTGTGTGACTTTTTGCCAGTTACACCTTTTTTTGTTTGTTTGTTTGAGCCCCATGGGAGCCATTATGGTGCATGTGAGGAAAATCTCTCTCCCTTCACGTTTTTTTGAGAGTCTCTATTATGCCATTTAATTCTCTTCCCAAAGGGATTGGGTTTTGTCCAACGACACACATAAATACATGTATTTCTTTTAAAAGCAATGACAACATAAACCTTTATAAACAAGTCCATGCACACATGCACAGAGAATTGTGAAGGTCAGCTGACAATTATGAGGAACAATTATAAGGAACCACCAATGATAAGATACACTCTGATTTTATTCTGATGTTAAAGTGTGAAAAGAAATGTACATCTTAGAATTGGCAAAATACAGTGCCTTTCAAAGGCAAATGACTACTACAGTTCCTGCTTAGTTCATATTTTCTGACAACTCTTCACCCCCCTCACATGTATAAAAACAGACACCGAAAGGCATGCTTTCTCTCTCTGGAACGCCTGTTCCTTACCCTGCTCCTTTCCCCAGGCACATTCTCTCTGCCTTTCTCTCTCTTAAACTCCGAGGTTCCTTTTGTTTCCTCTGTAACTTGTTTCCTGAGCCCCCTACCCCAGCCCAGCTGGCTCACTTGCTCCATGGCTCTTTTCAACCTCTGTGACTTTCTAAATAAACTTTTGTTTATATTTATGAATAAATAAATAAATAAAAACAGGTACCTAACCTTATAATCTGCATTTTTACTTGCCCCATCAGCTAGCAATAGTAGATAAGGCTGAGAGCAAGCAGTTAACCCAAGCTAAGCAAACCATTGTCACTTTGGCCAAAAATACAAAATCAGAACCAAGACATTCTAAGCCAGCTTCATATGGGAAAAGAATGTAAAACTTAGGAGCCATATTCTCCATGATATGAACTTAGGAGTAGAGAAAGCATGTGTATAAATTAAATAAAGAAGAAGAAGAAATGTTTTAAGAGCCTTCTGTTCTCTCTAAAGTTCCTCACTGAGTTATTCCTATCCTCGTGTGTCAAAAAATGTCCCTGTATTAGGGTTCCATTTTCTCCACAGCTTCACTGCACTTGTTGTTTGTTGATGATACACTGTTGGTGGGAATGCAGACTGGTACAGCCGCTGTGGAAAACAGTATGGAATTTCCTTAAAAAACTAAAAATGGAACTGCCTTTTCACCCAGCTATGCCACTACTGGGAATATACCATAAGAACCCCAAAACACCAATTCCAAAGAACCAATCTCTGCTCACCAATGTCCATAGCAGCACGATTTCCAATGGCCAAGGGCTGGAAGCAACCTAAGTGCCCATCAGTAAGTGAGGGGATCACAAAACTATGGTACATTTATACAATGAATACTATGCAGCAGAAAGAAAGAAGGAACTCCTGCCATTCGTGACAGCATGGATGGAACTGGAGAGCATTATGCTAAATGAAATAAGCCAGGTGGTGAAGGACAAATACCATATGGTCTCACCTATAAGTGGAACCTAATCAACAAAACAAAACAAGCAAGCAAAATACAACCAGAGACATTGAAATAAAGAACAAACTGACAGTAGCCAGAGGGGAGGGGGGAGGAGAGTAACGAGAGAAAGAAGGGAACATTTATAAAGGGCCCATGGACAAAGCCAAAAGGGGGTTGGATGGAGAGTGGGTTGGGTCTGGGAGAGAGTGGTGGGGGCAAAGTGGAGACAACTGAGCTTGAACAGCAATAAAAATAAATAAAATAATTTTTAAAAGTCTCTGTATACTGATTACAGATCAACACATCCACGTCCAGCTTCCGGATGTTTTTTTTGTGACGTGGTAAAATAATGTTCTAAACATTTTGACATCTAAGATAACAATTCAAAAAATCAATACTTGCGTATGTTAATCTTTTTACTCTGTTACAATTGAGTGGGTACAGTCCTTGATCATCTTGATATTCCATCGTGCCTCACTCTGGTCTAAATGGAATGTTGATGACTCAGTGAACCCTTTCTGTGGGCAGAAAGTGTCCAGTTCTCTGATTCCCTGATCAAGACACATGTATGCTAGAGAGTGAGAAATACACCCTATTGAAATGCATGGATTTACCACATCAATGGGAATATTAGGGTCCAGAGGGCTGGATATGCTAAGATATCCCCTCTAAGGTAAAATATAAGACATTGTAATTAAAAAAGGGAACAGTGCTTGATGGTTCCATCTGGATTATTCCGAGTTTGGAGATTTTGTTTTGAATTACCTTTTCCCAATAATACCAATATCCAGTTAAATTGGAATAAGTAAAATAAACTTTTTGTATAAATAATTTTAATATAAGTAGGAGCTATATATTGCACATGCTCTTTGTTCATATAAAACTAAAATTTAACTTGGTGAAACGACTTGAGACACAGACTTTACATGCCTCTCAAAAATTCACCCAGAATTCATTATAGACTGAAACATAAAATGGAAAGCTATAAAACTAAAAGATAACCTAGGAGAAAACAGTGAGTTTGGGTATGGTAATGATTTTGTAGATATAACACTAAAGGTATGATTCATGAAAAAAATGATTAGCTAGACTTCATAAAATTAAAAACTCCTGCTTTGTAAAAGAAAATGTCAAGAGAATAGGAAGACAGAGAATGAGAGAAAATATTTTCAAAAGATACATATGATAAAAAACTATCATCCAAATTATACAAAGAACTCTTATAACTCAACAATTAAAAAACAAACAAACAAAACCTGATTTAAAACTGGGTCAAAGAGCTCCACATACACCTCACCCAAGAAATGCAGATGGTAAATACACCTATGAAAAGGTGCTCCACATCCTATGTCGTTAGGGAAATGTAAATTAGAACAACAATGAGATAGCACTACACACCTATTAGAACAGCCAATATCTGGGACACATACAACACCTACCACTGCTGAGGATATGGAGCAAGAGAAGCTTTCTTTCATTGCTGATGGGACTGAAAAAGGGTGCAGCCACTTTGAAAGTTTGGTGGCTTCTTATAAAACTGAACATGCTCTTACTATATGATCCAGCACTCATTCAAAGTAGTTAAAAACGTATGCGCATACACATAATACATGGATGTTCATAGCCACTTTATTCATAATTGCCAAAACTTGAAAGAAACCAAGATGTCCTCCAGCAGGTGAATGGACATAGTGTGGGCCACCCAGACAGTGCAATATTATTCAGTGCTAAAAAAAATGAGCTGTCAAGCCATGAAAAGACATGGGGCATCTTAAGGGTATATGACTAGGTAAAAAAGGTCAATTTGTAAAGGCTACATACTGTATGGTTCCAGCTATATGACATTATGGGAAAGGCAAACTATGGAGACAGAGAAAAAGCTCATTGGCGGCCCGGAGCAGGGGTGAGTGAATAAGTGAAGCACAGAGCATTTGCAGGGCAGTGAAAATCTTCTGTAGGCCCTCGTAATGATGGGTACATGTCATTCACCTTTGTCTAAATCTATAGGGTGTACAACACCGAGAATAATTCTTAATGTAAGCTACAGACTCCGAGAGAGAGCGGTGTGTGAATGTAGGTTGAACAATTGTAACAAATGCCCCCTGGTGGTGGGAAATGTTGGTAATGGGGGAGGTTCTACCTGTGTTGGGGACGGGGAGGATATGTAGGAAATTTCTAGGTCTTCCTCTCCATTTTTCTGTGAACCTAAAATTGCTCTAAAAATAAAGTCTTTAGTAAAAAAAAAAAAAATTACCCAGGTGTCATGTGTTTTTATTTGCTACTTCTGGCAGTGCTGCTCCCAAGGGGACGTTTCACAGTGTTTGCAGTCATTTTGTAGCTGTCCAAATGGAATGCGGCTGGCATCTCGCGGGTGTAGGCCGGCCGTGTTGCTGCATATTCTACAGTGAACGGGTCAGCCTCACAACAGAAATCATCAGGCCCAGAATTTCTATAGCATGTGGGTTGAAAAACCCAGACCTAGAGGGTGCCACGAAGTCTCTCTGTCCCACTCCCTCAAGGCTTCGAGTGAAGCCAGAATCCTACTCCACCCCAGCAGAAGGTTTCACCGTGGGGAAGTTAATGCCCCAGAAAGCAAACGGCTGCCGTGGGGAAGGGTTGGCGGGGGTGTCACGAATCTCCCATCCTTAAGTGGGACCCTTCTGAGGGAGGCCCTGCAGTTTGATAAAAGAGTCCCCTGGACAATTCGGCCCCAGCAGCCCAGAGCTGCAAACATCACATCCTTTAACACAGATGTTTGTCTTTCTCATCTCATTCTGCCTACTCCATCATTTCTTTTTCCCAAAGTCACTTTCCTTCAAATTGTCTCCAGCCAAATTACTTCTCAGGCTCTGATTTTGGGGGGTCATTTTATATAAGAAAGTACCCTCCTAAGAACATCATAGAGTGAGCGTGCTTACCCTGAAGTGCTGCATGGTGAGCTCCTTGTTGTGCAAGGGCACAGGGTAGAGAGCTGTCTGCAGGTCCTTCAGAGCTGCGGAAAGTTTATGCTTATCTTTGAAATTAACAATCACATTTCCAACAGCCTTCAAAATTATTAGCGCCTGCTCCGTGAATCGGTAGCTCTCCTGTGAAGACAAAGCATCTCAGTCAGCCTCACTAGCATTTAATTAAATGTAATTAGGTTTACAAAAATGTAATATCTGTTAATATATTAAACTTCTATTACATGCGTGATTCAGTAGTTATTCATGGAGAACTTATTTCATCAAGGCAGTTTGCTAAGTATTGTGGTCTGAGAAATGTAAAACAAGGAACATGATACCTGCTATAGTGAACACATAAGAGGAAGATGACCTATCACCTGATGCTAGGCACCAAGGGAAATTTCTCCACAGTATTAATATCAAGATTTATACTTGATATTAATGTCAATTAATATTGAAGAATGTCTAAGGGCTATTCTGACAAAATTATATGGGGTTTGAGAACAGATGAGCAAAGAGGTGTTCAGAAAAATAGCAATGACGATCGTAAGGACAAGAGGGTGAACTAGTATGGGGCTCTGGCTCTGCTATCGACCAGGAGGAAACAATAAAAGCAAGAAAAAGATAGCAATATGGAAAACAGTATGGAGGTTCCGCAAAAAAGTTAAAAATAGAACTGCTGCATGATATAATGACCCCACTTCTGGGTATATATTCAAAGGAAATAAAAACAGGATATCGAAGAGATAGCTGCACTCCCATGTTCAGTGCAGTATTATTCACAACAGCGCAGATATGGATGCCAAGTGTCCATTAGTGCATGAATGGATAAAGAAGGGGTCACACACACACACACACACACACACAAGAAAAGAAGACCCTACAATTGTAACAGTATGTATAGACCTTGAGGATATTGTGCTAAGTGGAATAAGTCAGACAGAGAAAGACAAATACTGATTCATGGCGTTGCTTATATGTAGAATCTAAAAAAAGTCAAACTCATAGAAACAGAACAATAGTGGTTTCGAGGGGCTGAGAGAAGGCAATAGAGAGAGATTGGTAAAGAGTACAAACTTCCAGCTGTAAGATGAGTAAGGTCTGAGGACCAATGTAAAACAGTGACTAGAGTTGATAAAACTGTATTGTATAATTGGAATTTTCTAAGAGAGTAGAACTTACAGGTTCTTGCCCCCAAAATTAAAAGGTAAATATGTGAGTTGATGAATGTGTTCATTAACTAAGTAGGGCTATCCTTTACAATATAAATGTATATTAAATTACCAAGAGGTACACTTTAACTATCTTATAATTTTATTTGTCAATATACCTCATAAAACTGGGATGGGGGAAGATTGCAGTAAGTCTGTAGTTTGAAATGAGAAAGGATTAACCTCTGAGGAGTTTGCTTCTTATCTTGAATGGTGTGTGGTGGGGAGTGGAGGAGTTGCCCAGAGCAGAGGGTGCTTGGAGGCAACCTGGAGCATGAAGTTGGAGGAAAACTTTGTAACATCTATTTTTGCTCTTTTCCTAGTAGGTGCCATGGTATGATCATTGTTCCATGGTTTCCTGCAGAAATTTCAAGTAGTAGCCCAAGCAGGTGTGTGTAGACAGCACAGATTTCCCACTGGGGAGGGAAGCTGATGAAAACCAATGCCACCGGCCTGCCACAGAATGCATTCACATCTCTATTACCGCCCGCCACACTCCCTGAAACTTGGGTGTTTCTCTGTGAGGTGAAACCATGATTATAAACGTTGCCTGGTCAGCTTGCATCACTGGGAGTGATCAAGTATGGCGCTGAAGAGCTTGAGGCCCTCTGCTTTGGACCAGCCTGCCCCTTTTGCTACTTCATTAGAACCAAAGAATACCCTGCCCTGGCCTTGAGCCCCAATAATTTTTAAAAGATGGAGGGGTTGATAACTCCAGGAAAGTAAGAGTTCACAGACCAAAATAATGAAGCACCTAGGAAGTTAAATCACTGAATGAAAAAAAGAAAGCAGATGATCCATGTTACCTAAAGCAGGTTTTGTTTTTGTTTTTGTTTTTTAGAGAAAGAAAAGACAAAACAAGAATTTAAAATTTGGCAGTGTAAATGTAATTAAGGGAATGAGGGACATCTACTTATAAGGTGGGCCTGCTGACCTTCCTCTGGTCCACCAAGCAGGAGGGAGCGGGGTGTGAGAGATGCTGCGGCAAAGACTGGAGGCAGCCACACGGAGACCTGCACAACCACGGGCCAGAAAGGCAGGGATGCACAGCCCGAGCTTGTAAGGGCCATGACAATACAGCATGAGGGAGTTGGTCTTAAGGCATCTTCCTGCTACCCTGACCAAGCGGTTTTCCGTCTGGCTGAGAAAATCCTATCTCGTCAATATGAAAATGTGGTGTGTGGAGATGGGTCAGCAGCAGGGAGGGATAAAGCTGACTTACACAGCAGGAAGGCCCTATGCAAATCTCCGCCCCCCCCATGTTCACACCTACATATGTAGAGGGGATGCTGTGGCCCCGTTTACCTCTTCTCTTCTTTCAGAAACTAAGGAGAGGCCAAGAGGAGACAGAAGAGAAGAAGAAGTACAAGAACCTTCCATGGATCCTCTCCTCCCAAATCCCAGAGACACATACTTCAAATTCTTTAGGCCAAGGAAGAGGTATAATATCAAAATTTTAAACTGTATTAAAAAGGACTGTACTGATCTTTTATACCTCCCAAAAGACTACTGACGCTGTGGAATATATGTGACATGTTAACAGGTGTGAAAGAGGATTCAACAGAGCAGAGGGGAAGGTAATTTTTGGAGAAAAACTAAAATTATTTTATTTGTACCCTACAGGGTTTAGAGCATTTATTGTACGCATCGTATTTGGGAATTTCTTGCAGAATGTGCTTAAGAGTTTTAAAAGGCAATAAAAAAGTGGATAAGTTGAATACAAAATAAGGATATGATTTAGTTCAAATTATTTGAAAACAAGGCACGCACACACAACAGTCACAGTTGCTAAAATATTTACCGGCTCGAAGTTGGGCAGCACGGTATCTTCATCCCCGACGACGAAATTCACCATGCTGCACACGTGCAAGGAGTGCGCCACTGGGGAGTATGCAGTGAGTAGCAGCAGGTGTCTCCTAAAGAGAATGGAAAATGGATGAAAACAAGGGTGTCTTTGTCGGAGTTCTTGCCACTGTGTGTTCCTTAATCACAATTAGTGCTCCAGCTCAAACATTAGTACGTGTGGAACCCTTTAACACAGATGGAATAAAGAACTTTCAATTTTCACTGTCAAGAACCATCAGATACTATGGAATCTATATCTCACTGTCAGGCAAAAATTGTTACACTAAATGATAGATTTGCACATATAGGAGATATCTCCCATATACCGCAGTCCCATTGTGAAAGACTCTTCTGGATTCTTCCCTAACAACAATAATTCATTGTGGTAAAGGACTTTGCAGACTTCATAGCCATTTTCTCACAAATACGTAATTTCATGTATGTTGTTTCTGTCTCTCCTACCAGCCCGCAATGTCATTGAGGGCAGGGGCATTCATTTTCTCTCAGTTATGGAGCAGTTGGAGTGTGTTCAAAATATACATACATGTTGACAGGCTAAGCCAAGTGGAGGAAAACATGAATGTAAGAAGATTCTTCCTTAGTTCTCTGCCCTCAGTTTTCTCAATGAATGAGAACTTAGAAAGAGTAATGATTTCTGAGAGACTCTCCCTATGCCAGAGTTTGTAGGGCAGATGTGAGAAATACTGTAGTTTCAAAGTTTATTACTTTTAGAAATATTAGATGCTTGCCATGGATTATTTTAGCATTAGATTTTGTTGCTTATGCTTTTCTTTGTATGAGAGCCATAGTTTGTCACTGATCTCACAGAATTAGCTTGACTGATCTTGGGAAATCCAAAAAAAAAATTATTTCATCTGAAATAACATATTAAATTTTATTTTTCAAAATCAAGGAAACCTTTTTGATTATACATATTTCTTTAAAATAGAAAATGTGATGCAATTAGCCAACTTTATCTTAATAAAAAATAAAACTACAAGTAAAAAACAAACCACTGATAAAACTACAGATAGGCAGGGGAAAATGCTCTGTTTCACAATTCGTTTTAAATAAAATTTTATCTCTGGGCCTTCTGTATGTCCTCCTTGGAGAAACATCTGTTCAGGCCCTTTGTCCATTTTTTAATTTGGTTGTTTGTGTTCCTGGAGTGGAGTCATATGAGTTCTTTATATATTTTAGAGAGCAAACTTTTGTCTGAGGTATGATTGGCAAATATATTTTCCCATATGGTTGGTTCCCTTTTCATTTTGCTGATTTTTTTTTTAGCTGTGCAGAAGCTTTTTATTTTGACATAGTCCCATTTGTTTATTCTTTCTTTTATGTCCCTTGCTCTAGGGGACATATTGGCAAAAATATTACTACATGGAATATGTGAGATTTTCCTGGCTATGTTCTCCTCTATGACTTTTGCTGTGTCACAACTTATATTTAAGTATTTTATCCATCTTGAGTTCATTTTTGTGTATGGTGTTAAGTTGATGGTCGAGTTTCATTTTTTTGCATGTATCTGTCCAGATCTCCCAACACCATTTGTTGGAGAGGCCATTTTTACTCCATTTTATGCTCCTGCCCCCTTTGTTGACTATTAATTGACCATAGAGAGTTGTGTTTATTTCTGGGCTCTCTCTTCTGTTCCATTGATCTATATGCCTGTTCTTATGCCAGAGCAACCTAAGTGCCCATCGGTAAATGAGTAGATCAAAAAACTGTGGTACATTTACACAATGGAATACTATGCAGCAAAAGGAAAGAAGGAACGCCTACCCTTCACAACAGCATGGATGAAACTGGAGAGCATTATGCTAAATGAAATAAGCCAGGTGGTAAAAGACAAATACCATATGATCTCACCTATATGTGGAACCTAATCAACAAAGCAAACAAGCAAGCAAAATATAACCAGAGACATTGAAATAAAGAACAAACTGACAGTAACCAGAAGGGAGGAGGGAGGGGGATAATGGGTAAAAGGGGAAGGGTCATCAAGGAACATGTATAAAGGACCCATGGATAAAACCAGAGGTAGGATCAGGGGTGGGAGTTGTGGATGGATGGAACAGGGATAATTGTGGGGAGAAAATGGAGACAATTATACTTGAACAAAAATTAAAAAATAAATAAAATTATGGTTATTGCTAAGGAATATAATGAGATTTATAAGGATACTAAAAGGAATTTTCAATAAATGAATTTTAGGTAATGTTGATTGAAAAAGTTTAAGCCTTATGTTTTATTATTGAAGAAATTACCAGACTCTGACAAGTATGAATCTTCCAAAAAGGGATTTAGTGTACCACATTTTTTTTCAATTTATTTATTATCGTTCTCATGAACCATAATGATAAACCTATTCTTTATCAAATCACTTTAGGGGACAATTTCCAAGTTTCCATATTGTTTAATCATTTGGTAATTAACATCATACAAGGCATTAAAAGCTTCTCAGTGTGAGAAAGATGAAGTCACTCCATACCCAACAGGCAGGTGAACCATAGTCCCCTTGGTAGCATAGGTGCGAATCTTCAGAACAAGATCACGTGGCTTCAGAGACTTCCAAGAAAACGTTTCAACTGTAAGTAGTCCAGGCTCTATGGGGGGGCTGTTTTTTGTTAAGGCTAGGAAAAGTGAAAAATATTAAAATTTTATTATTAGAATATAGCTGGTCTTTATGTTACAACATTAATAATAATAATAATATCAGTAAATAGAGATGGTATAAAATATTCATAAAACATTAAAAATTACTCTGGGTAAATAATTATTGAAAATAATATTCAAGTGGAACCCAGATCTTCCTCCTTGTCCTATTCCCTCCGCAAAATCAACCCCTCAGGTGAAGAAATCATGGATGGGATTTCCCAAATCAAAGTATAATCATGAGAGTTCAGAAAAGGAGGACAGACAAGGACATTTCATGGTAATACACCATCACTTTTATTATCTCTGGCTGTAATTACAATATATCTCTAGATGCAATTAAAAAAAAACACCACATCTGAGGAAATACAAGATTTCCTAAGATGGTGGCAAAGCAAGGTTAACATATTCCATTATTTACTTCAGTTTTATTTTTAATTTTTAGCTTTGACTGTGGTATGCTAAATGAAATAATAAGCCAGGCAGTAAAAGACAAATGCCATATGATCTCACCTGTAAGTGGAACCTAATCAACAAACAAGCAACTCTGTGTAGAAAGTGCAAATAATTAAAATAAAATTAATTTTAATAGAGTATTTTCTCTTAAAATAAATAAATAATATTGACTATTCTTCATCCTTAGCTGAGGGCAAAATGTTTTCTAAATTAAAAAAAAAATTGAGATAAAATTGACATATAACATTGCATTAGTTTAAGGTGACTAACAAAATGATTTGATATATGATATATTGTGAAGCGATTATCACAGTAAGTTCAGTTAGTATTCATCACCACATGTATATTTTTTTCTTGAGGACTTTTAAGATTTCTCTCAGCAACTTTCAAATATATAATGCAGTATCTTTAATTATAGTCACTATGCTGTACATTAGACCTCTGGGACGTATGCTTTTAGCCTGTTTCCAAGTGACACCCAAGCTGAGCATAAAAGGTCCTAAAACAAACCACTCTGACCCAAAATAACTCTATGTGCATAGAATTTAAATGCTGTAGGATATGGTGTGGCTCAGGAGCTATCAGTTAGGTAGAAATATTAAGCCTCTACCACTGAGGCTTGAAAGTGTATTAAACAAGTGTATTAAACAAGTATTTACTTCGCCATAGACATCATTCAAAACATTGGCTGTATTTTTGTTGAAATTCATAGTGTTTGCTCTCAAAGTTGACAAGACATTCAATATTGACAACTCAAAAAATATTTATTGAACCTCTATAGTGCCAGAGACTATAAATTTGAGTTAGAGATAATGTTTTAAGAAAATGGGCCACATAATTAAAAAATATTTCATGCATTTGTATATGCGAGTGCAAGGAGGCTGGTCTTAGAGAGAAACAGGGACAGCACATCCATGAGAACAAGAGGGAAGGCTGACTAGAGCTGGGGAGAGTCCACCATGGGAAGATGAAGCCAGCCATTTCTGACTTTTTCCCATCTCTGCAGTGACGATTGCAGCAAGGTCATCAGTTGAAAATGAGTTAGGGTGGAAGTGGGTATTGGACATCTGAAGAGAGAGGTCTGAAGGTCTGCGGGAGTCATCTGGAAGAGTGAGAGTGGGCGAGTGAGGGAAGTGGAGAAAGGTCATCAGTGCCTAGGTTTTTGTTGTTTTTGTTTTTGTTTGAGGTCTGTGGTCCTTGATTTAAAGAGGGGCTGGCTGAATTTTTTCTCCAGTCACATTCAGCTGCTCTGATGCAGCCATAAATTTGGTGCAAAGTTCCATCGTAGAGTTCATTCAACCGATATTGTGATTTTGCCAGGAAAGAGGAGAGGGTGAGAACAATTGTATTGCGGTACCTGTGAGAATACAATTATAACAGTGGGCCATGGAAACGTATGCTGGGAATGAGAGAAATGAAGACAGAAGGAGAGTGACGGAAAGAGAAAAATGGTAGGTTCGGTGGGTGGTGGTCCCAGCAGTGTCAGAGAATCGTAGAAGTGAGAGTTCCAGAGAGAGTGAACTGGGGAGTCCGGGGGTGGTGGTCAGAGAGCTTGAAACTGAGAGGATTGAGATGATATAGCTATTGGCACTAGGAGTTACAAAGTATAATCATGAAAGCAGAGGACCAACGTGGGGTGGAGAAAAATGGGGTCTTCAGTATCGTCAAATTAAAGAAGAAAGAGTTCATGTTCTTCAATAGGTTTTGAAAGACTCGAGAATGATGGCATGTATGGGCAGAAAGACAAACGGGGTGACTGGGCGTGCCAAAGAGGTGAACAGATGACTGTGGGGAGAGCCGTGGGTGGTAAGAGTGAGCACAGTCCTTGCTGTCTGAGGAGTAAGAGGATCACAGGAGATGGGGTGCGTGTGACTCCCCTGGAGCCTGAAGAGGAAATGAGCTACCTTCATGCAGAGCCTAAAAATCTCATTAGTGTATTTTCCCTGGACGGAATGAAAATGAGCCAGGCTGTAGGTCTATCATTTCCTCAGAGCCCTCTCACCTCCAGATTCTCCCCAGCGCACCAACGCAGAAAAGCAAACCAGCAGTTCAATAGGTTTGAGACTATCCACAAACAGATAGTAGGACACACGCTCATCTGAGAACTGCAAGAAATCAGAGCAACCATTGAACTTAGTATCTGTCTACAAACGCTGTGTTCCCCACTTCTCATCATAATACAGCACTTAACATTTACTGAGAACCTACTGTGTTCCAGACACCAAAATAAGTACTTTCCAGGTTTTGTGATATGAAGACAATCACACCGAGTGAATGTTGGCTGCATCTTTAGGGCCCGTGTGGGACTGGCCCCTCACACCAGAGAGTCAAAGCTCATCTTCATGAGTAAAGAAAAAGGATATTCTTGCTCCAGAAAGAGGAGAGGAGCCTGGACCCAGGCTGAGCAGTGCTCAGACAATGGGTTCCTGATAGGCAGAGAGGCCGTGGGATAACTTCAGCAGAGTGTACATGTCTAATGGGGACGTATTAAAGTATTTTTCATAGCGGGGTGTGGAATAAGCCCTCTCTCCCCTCTTTCTATAATATCTTCAGAAATATACCCATTGCATGCTAATGCACCAGACTGGATTTTTCTTTTGGAGATGTAAGAAAATAGTCAACAAGATCAAAAATTCCCTTGAAAGGATAGCCACGTAAGATTACACAGACATGATCTCAACCCATCCGATATGGTACTACTAATAGCAGTCATTATGAAACACAGAGAGGGTAAGCAACTTTCCAAAGGTCACAGAGCTTGCAAGTACCAAAACTGAGATTTAAAAGTAGATCTTTCTCTCTACCTGACTCCAAGGCTGGGAATCTCAATTGTTGTGCTATTATTGCCTTTCAGTTTCTCAGTGCTTCAATATAAGTTTGACTGATGGTATATGGGAAGTGTGTTAAATGAATTTAACTGTCACTATACTTTCAAAGCTTTTCATATTATTTTACCACAATATTTAAATAACCAGTTAAAATAGGAAAGAAAAATCTCTAGTAATACTGTGAAGAAATGAAACCTTGTAATTTAGTCAAATATGACAAGATTGCTAGAAATGCTTGAGAGAATATAACAATGGTTAAATGATTGCTTTCCCCCGTATTTTGCAATACTTAGCATTTGACATTTTATTTCTTTGTTTCCACTTAGCTCCAACAGGTTGGTGATAGAGACAGTTGTTTCAAATATTTACTGCCTAACTCTATGAAGGACCTGGATTGGCCAGCCCCATGAGCAAGTTTTCTAAGCAGAGTTGTCATTTGCTGTTATTTTTCAGCCTGAGAATTTGGGGGTGGGCTGGCCCTGGAGACCATGTGAAAGGACTGCCCTGGCGCCGTACAAGGCACCTTTGAGAGCCCGCTGCCTCACCCCAACACTGAGCACCGAGGGGACATCCAAGGAAGGTGCTGGAGAGAGGCCTTGGGCTCTGCCACTGACCCCAGTCCAGCTGGCAGCACTGTGGCCACTGAAATCAGGAATCCTGGCCTCAGGCCACAACCAAGCCTTCCTTTTATGCCATATTAAAGGTCGATAAGTTTGGGTTCCAACAAACTCTAAGAAAAAGTTATCATTTTCTCACATCACTGAGATGTGACATGAAGCGGGAGGGTAGGGGGATGGGCACCAAGAATTAATGACGTAGTTAGAATGGAGAGGTCAGTGTCTGGGTAAAAACAGGTCCTGCATGTAGTCAGGAAACTTGACCCAGGTCTCACAGCCAGGGGAGGAGGCTGGACATCCATGCTGTTCTATAGAACTTGTAGGCATTAGTTGGATGAAGGCAATAAGAATGAAGGGGAATGAACTCCAAGCAGAAGGAAGAACATGGGTAAAAATAACAGAAATGTTAGTGAAAAGTATGCCCTGTTTTAGGAACTGCACAGGCTTCAGCTGGCACTTAACTGAAATCAAATATAGTGGATTTATTTGTGTGATTCTTTATTTATTTATATATCAACATTTTCATAATGCGAATTTATATAGTAATAAACCACTACAACATAATCAGATAGATCACACTTGTGGATAAAGGTAGCAAGATTTTGCTTGTTATCAGGATGAGGGATGAGCGTAAGACATTGAGAATTACCTCTAAAATATAATTACAAGTTAAAAATTAACTCTAAAATATAATTATGTTACAAGTTTAGAAATTCTTGATAAATTTGAAGGGTTTTTTTTACTATCATGATGCTATCAAAGATTTAAGTATAAGAAGGGAAAGAGAAGAAGCGATCATATTATATTTACCTTCAATTCTGTTTTTTGAAAGTTAAAGCAATATAAATTTGGCTTGTGGAAAACATATATATTCCTGAAAAACATTATTTATAACAGGTTATTGTCATTATATGCAGCTGACTACTATTACATATTAATTATATGCTGTACAAAGTAAAAACAAATGAAAGTTGAAAAATAGTAACTTAGAGACAAGAAAAGTAGTTATCAGGGCCTGAGGGGTGGGGAAAATAGGGAGAGGCTGGTAAAAAGGTATAAACTTTCAGTTCTGAAATAAATAAGGTTTGGAGATCTAATATGGAATATGATGACTACAGTTGGTAACACTGAATTGTATAATTGAAATTTGCTAAGAGAGTAGAACTTAAATGTTCTCATGAAAAAAATGTAAATGTGTGATGAATAAATTAACTCAATGGAGGGAGTCCTTCACAATGCATATGCATATCAATTCAAAACCATGTCAACTTTAAATATCTTAGAATTTTATTCATCACTCATACCGTAATAAATGTAGGGGAAAAAAACAACTGTATTGAATTAGTTGCCTAAAAGAGGCGAAGACGATCTCTGCTTTCCTCTTGATTAACAAACAAGTTTATGAAGATAAGCTAAAACTGGCCTCAATTTTTTTATGTGGACAATCAACTCAGCCCTTTTCCCTTCTAACAGTTTTGTTTGATATTATATCAATATCAAACTAATATTGGCTTACTTATTTTAAATAATAGCTAAAAATTAATAGCTTACATAGCTGCTATATTAAGTGCACACACAAAAATACATACTTACTGAAAGCATACACAGAAGTCTTCAAAATCCAACCATATTTCTTTAGAAACACTATTATTTATTGTTGTAAGTTCCTCCTGTGATTTGTCCAGTGTTGCTGCTGTCAGGCTGACCAAATCTTTTTCCAAACCTTGTCCCTCAATTGGCTGACCTGAGTCAGCCAAGCCAACATCAATTAGTTCATCTGTGCATGGCAGAAAACAACCATGTCAACACCCTTATGTTATTAAATATCAAGTAACTAGGACATGGAAAACTACAGAGGGGGGTTCACATATCAAGGTCTATTTTTGAGTAAACATTTACTGAGATAATTATTTACATGCAGACTTCGAATTTGCATACAGAGACACATTTTCATATACTCAAGATAATTCATAACATATGCATAGTAGACCTTTTATAAATTTCTCAATATTTGTAAATTTGTGCACACGTTCTTTACAGATTATAAAGCTATAACAGAAATTAGCTAGCTTATGTACTTAAAATCTGCCATAGATATATTCCTTTAGGGTAAATATATAGGGGATGGCTCAGACAACAGAAGGAAAAATGAAAAATTGAAAGATCTATTACAATTAATATATCTCAGTAAGTGACTATTAATTCTTCCCCACTGTCTGTGATTCCATAATCTTATTTCATGTTCATCAAGTAATTCCATAAATTTCTTACAGGCTTATTGTACCTAAATTTGCTACCTCATGCTTTTCTGGGATTGGAGGTTTGGCCAAGTCTTCTTTATTCAAGAACAAGAAATTTGCAGGCGTTCTAGTGCTTTCATCACAACACACATGCGTAAAACATACTGAACCTTAATCCTGGGACTAGTCAGACCGCCTTTTATTTTGACTTTAAACTTGAATTAAACAAGTGAGATTATCCGATTTCTCTCTCCCAGAGCAGATTAGCCTGGATTATCAGAGGGGACAGGGAGAGAGCTGCTGAGAGTCAGCAGGACAGCTCAAAGCTGCCAGGAAGCAGAGACCCCTTTATGCTCTGATGTCTGTGGGAAAAAAAGGGTCATGGGGAGATTATTAATTTACCTTTTCCATGTGTAACTTGTGAAGCAATATTGCCCTGCGAATTGAAAGGGGGGAACATTAAGAAACCATTTATAAATTCAACAAAACCTTACTGTTCTAAAGTACCATAGTTTATAAAAGAGTTAACACAGTTTTTTACACATTGAAGAGACAGATTTCTGAAAATACTAAAGCATATGGTAAAACAGAGAATTTGTTTTTAACCTTAAAATTCAAAAGATGTAAATTTAATTAAATAATGTGAGGGTTTAAGTTTGATATTAAAATACAGAATATCTGAGTGTATTAGATGATTGAATTTTATAATAAAAGTTAAATTAAAATGATAATATCCCTAAGTATAACATATAACTTGGTATGAGGCACCTTTTAAAAAAAATGCAGGTCAGGTTAAATATAATAAGATTATGATTGACAATTAACGGGCAGAACTTAGAATAACTGATTTCAAATTACAAAAATAATTCCTCAAAATTTTAACAGGGAAATTAAGTCAAATTTACAACTCTGTTTTCTCTAGAACACAACTAAAATACGTATAAAATTTAAAATGGTATAAATTTGTACATACTGATGATGGGTAATACCGGCAATATTTTGTATGATGTAAAGCAGATGGAGGTGACAATATAATAGAGATAACTGAATTCTAAGTGCTAGTGAAAAGGAAGCCAGCCAAACCTTAAGACCCCGGAAACAATTAGCAGGTATCTGAGAAAGAGAGACTGAGATATGGCCTGAAAACCCAGGAATGCGTTGAATGTCCATATAAGGAACAGATAAACCCTACTTCTCCTTAATGCATTTAGCATCTATCATTCTCCTGTCTAAACAGGATACTGGAAGTTGCTACAAGTAAAAAAGTTACATGAGAAAGCTTCAGATCTGGGTTCACAGAGACTGTGGGAAGCAGGAGAGTCTATAGTGCAGAGAGGAGAGGAATGAAGTGAATGTCCACATGCTGAATCTTGGGACTCTCAGCAGCTCTGTGCTGCTTGGCCTCAGTGACACTGATGGATAAGTGTATGCTAATCCCTGTGACTCCATCCCACCCCAGCAGGGAGATTAGAGGACCCTCAACTGGAGAACCTGACCATAGCCCTGGAAAAGCCTCAGGGAATCTGATAATTGGAAGCTAATCCTACCCCCAAATGAAGCTCATTCATCCCCAATTATCCTGAATTAAAGCTACCAGTTGACAAGGTCTATCAATGTCATAAAATTGCTTCCAATCAGTAGCTCTTTAATGTCATAAATCCTTTAAGTGTATATGTACAACAAAATGTCAACAGACAATTGAAGAAATACACACACACAAGTATATATGAGGTCTGTCCAAAAAGTATCCAGCCATGTAGTATGAAAAATAGAGACATTTATTGAAGAAGATGCAAGATAAAAGAAACATTGTACATAGGACAATGACGCTTCAGTCCCCTTCAAAATAGGCACCTTGGGACCTCACACAGTTCTCCCAAATGCCTTCAACTGCCCCATTATATTTTCCTGAATCTCATCAGTGGTCTGAAACCTCTTCCCTTTCAAAGGTAATTTTACTTTTGGGAAAAGCCAGAAGTTGCAGGGCACCAAATCTGGGCTGTAGGGGTCTAAAGTCACCTGGATGACTTGATGTTTTGCAATAACTTTGCAGGAGACATGATGCGTGAGTGGGCACATTGTCGTGATGAAGCTTCCAATCACCAGTTGCCCATAGTTGTGGCTGTTTTCATTGTATTGCATCTCTTAGCTGACAGAGCATTGAGGTAGTACTCATTACTAACTGTTTGGCCTGGAGGGGGGTACTCGTGATGGACAACATCTTCCCAATCAAAAAACAGTTAACATGGTCTTGATCTTACTATGACTTTGCCGTGCCTTCTTCGGGTATGGAGAACTAGGTAAATTCCACTGGGACAACTGGGCCTTTGTTTCTAGATCATAGCCATAGACCCACAATTCACTTGTGGTTATGACCTTCTTGAGGAAATCTGGTTCATTGGTAGCGGTTTGAATCAAATCATTAGCAACTGCAGCATGATGTTTCTTCTGCTCTGGTAGCAGAAACCATGGAATGAATTTTGCCATGACATATTTCATGCCAAGAACCTGCATCAAAATCTTGGACACAGGAGGTTTTGGATCCCCAGATCAGCTTCTAATTCTTACACTGTCAGTGGCTGATCTTTGTTGATTGTAGTCCATACATATGCAACATTATTATGTGTTCTGGAAGGCTTGTTGCAGGCCTTCCAGAACATGGATCACTTTCAACAGATTCTTGACCATATTTGAAGTGTTTGTTCCACACTTTTATTTGTGCTGCACTCATTGCATTGTTCCCAAAAGCCAAATGAATAATCCAGATAGTTTCCATGAAGGAATGTTCAAGCCTAATGCAAACAGATTCATTGCTCTACTCACTCAGTTATTTTGAATGTGATGGGCACATAGCACACATGCTCACTCAATGGTGTCTACTGATCCCACTGACTAGTACAGTGAAGTCACCATTGTACACGCATGTGCATTCCAGTCCAGTCTCCTTGGTTGCCAGGTTACATGGATGTCCCGCAAACCGTTCTCATTATATTAACAATGGCTGGACTTTTTCCAAACAGACCTCATATATTTTTGCAAAACTAGAAGTGTATGGAGTTAATTAGTACCAAACTCTGAATGGTAGATAGGAAATACAACCCAGAAAAAAAGACACACAGGGGACTTTTTGTAAGGGATAAATATTCGATTTTCTAATATTGGTGACAGATATATAAGAAGTTTATTGTAATAGTATTCTTCTATTCAGATGCATGTCATACATTGTTTTATGTATATTTCATATTGAGAAAAATCTACCATAATTAAGAACTTGGTCAATACTAAGAGTAACATAGTTACCTGAGATGTAGTTCCTGTGACTTGACTTAAATCTGTCTGGCTAATGTTTTCAGTTTCATCATTTTCCGTAAGGGAAGATAAACCAGATCCTGGAGGCATCCCTTTCTTAATAAAAGATTTTACATAATGGCTAATGGAAAACAAAAACAAATTTCTGTTATCTTTATCTCTCTTTTATTTGTTGTAGTATATATATATGTGTGTGTTTATGTATGTGTGTATATACGTATATATTAGGTAAATGTGTATACATATACACAAATATATCTTTGAACACATTTATATATAAATAAGTATATATACCTTTATCTCTGAACATATTCACTATATATATAGCGAATATATATATACTATATATAGTGAATATATATATATAGAATGTGTTCAAAGATAAATTACATGTATACAGACTTCCTAAACTTTTTGATGTTTTTCCTTCCTTGTGTAAGGTAACCTTAATTCACCTCAAGCTGTCCCTGATTTACTGTAAACTGCCACTAGAGAGCAGCACAACCACATTTATGAGGCTTCCATTCTGTTCAGCAAAGCCAAGAGCCAAAAATGGGCAATTCTGGCCTGTTGCTACAGTGACTGTTCTGGTGAAAGGTAGTAGTGGTAGCAGTTACTTTCAAGGGCTTGCCAAGAAAACACTTGCTTTCATGTTGACTTGAGAACTGTGACTCCACAGCAAAGTGAGAAAAGGAACATTTCTTTCATGCAGGGTGAAATGTCATTCACGTATCTTTGCATTTGGCTCTGACAGATAAAACAAATATGCTAGCAAATTCATAACAGTAGCAAGCAGTGAATTCAATCAAGCATTAAAGTCACTTGGACTTGGGCTACAGAAGTTAATCCACCTGAATGAAGTAATAAAGCTGAAAGAAGACATATGAAAATCAAGTAAAGAGAGTAAATTGGGGAGTTCAGGTTATAAAACCAACCCATTTGTGGTCCTTATTGACATAGAGATTCTAGAAGTCTGGGTGACATTTTTAATCATGAGAATATTTGTCCTGGTGGTTTTCAGTCTCAGTTCTTACAATCTACAAAATCTCTGACTAATATGTAACCTCAATCAGCTGAGAGAAGATAAAAAATTATCTGAAACGGTAAAATCATCATCTGGGTAACATTAAGCATCTAATTAATTGGAAAAGTTAGGAATCATTAACATTTTAATGTTAAGTTTAGGAAAATTCTGTGTATATGCGGTATAACATAGGAAAGAATTTAGCATGGTGCATAATCCAACAAATCAAGCTTTAAAATATATAGCTTAATGTTTACTTTTTGCTGTATGATTCAGTTAAAACCTAAGGATATTTTGGTTTGTAAAGACTAATTATGTGTGTAAAAAATTAAGGTTCCACAAATACATGATTTTGGTTATTTGAGCTTTAATGTGATTTAACACTTGGCGAGAATTTGTTTGCTAAAATTTTGGCATTTAAATTACTTAAAAAAAAAACTATCCAGTGGTAATGCTGTAAATACAATTAAATAAGTTTAAATTAAGCGGACTAAATTTATTTAAAACTTTCATAGAAATTATTAGATTTGTGTATGAAATAAGATTTATTATAAATTAAAATGAGAGTTTGAAGAAAACTGGATTTACAAATTTGTAACAATGACACATTTAAAAATCCCAAGTGGCAGCAAGTGGTCTTTTCTGTCCATGCAGCCGCCCCCCGAGGCCTGACATTGCTAACGGCCAGTGTCCGTCTGCTGGTGCTGCGTGTGGTTCCTTCCTCACCTGCTTCTCCATGTTCAGTCACTGATGCAAAGAGATAACAGGAGCCTTACAGGTAACAGATTTAAAGAATACCACGAATATTGTCAACCGTAATAGAGTCCATTAAAATGTAAATTAACTGGCTCTGAGGTAAAGAGGCTTAAAATAAGATAATACAATGAAGAGACCTCTCTGGTCTCAATTTTTACTGCTTTTCTTCATCAGCTTCTTATCATGGATGTTAATATAGCCAAGAGAAGGCTGAAACCATAGCTAACGGTTATTGTAAGTGTGAGCTATAGGATAAGACATTCAGTAACTTTAATAAAGTTTTATGGAAGTTTAGAATACACTTAAAAAGTGCACAAAACATAAATGTACAGCTTGCCAGAAAACTACAAAGGAAACACGGTCATATCACCGTTACTCAGATCACGGGATATTAACATGAGCTGTGCCCCCCAAACCCTGCCGGATGCCGCTCCGTCAGGGCCAAGGCTCCTGCCCACAGACAACCACGACTGTGCCCTCTAGCACCACGTGCTGCCTTTTCGTTTTCTGTTCTTCATGCCTATCAGTAGGATAACTACAAACAAGCTGCGACCTTCTTGTACCAAGCTGCTTTTATCTATTCGTGTGTGCATAACATCCATCCATCCATGTGGGTTTCTGCCGTAGTATTTCTCTCACTTTAGGGTAATATATTTTTGTACTATATTTGTCATTGGTTTACTGTGATATATCTAGTGGCAAGGTTTTTTTTAAATATACGTACATTATTTGAGATTTTTTCAGAACTTCCTGAATCTTGTCTTAATTTTTTTTATGTTTAGGATTTTACATATATCTCAAATGTGTATATTTACTATTTACTATATATAAATATATGTTTACTATTTACTGTATGTTATATATAAATATATGTTTCTTAATAAATATATAATATTAATATATATTAATAAATATATAATATATTAATATATATTTACTATTTACTAGATATATATAGTAAATATATATACATATATATTTAAATGGAGAGAGAGAAAGAGAGATTAGGAAATATTATACATGTATATATGAAACACGCACATGATTATTTCCTAATCTCTCTATCCTCTATTCCTGAGATCCACTTGCAAGTATGTTGACATTTTTCAACTTGTCTCATATATCTTTTAATTCTCTCTTTTTCTTTTCTTTTCTTTTCTTTTCTTTTCTTTTCTTTTCTTTCCTTTCCTTTCCTTTTTGTTTATTTGTGTTTTTGTTGTGGTCTCTATGCTTCAGCCTGGATATTATCTTTGGACCTATTTTCCCTTTTTCCAATTCTCAAATCTAATTTATGATAAAAAATACTCATGTGTTCTTAATTTCTGTTATTACAGTCCTTGTTTCTAGAATTCTTATTTGATATTTTAAACCATTTTACATACTATTGGCTATTTTTATATTTTCACAGCTTTATTAAAGATACTTGAAGTACAATTAATTGTACAAATTCAAGTATAAATTTGATCCTCTTTGATATCTTTATATAGCCGGGTATTTGTTATCTATTGTTGCATAAAAATTACTATAAATTTAGTGATAATCATCATACCCTCCACTCATATCACCCACTATTCTCTTTTATTATTGCAACTTGTGGGCTGCCTAGTGAATTCTCTGAAGTCATTTAAAACTTTAGACTCTAGATTATAGTGCTTATTTCTATTCTTATTGCCAAATTAAGATATTAGTAAATTTGGATTCCTCCTTATCCTCCTTTTCCTCTTTCTCCTCCTCCTTCTTCATTGCCTTTGCTTTTATATTTAGTTCTTTCGTTTTCCCCTCTAAGAATAGCAAATTTTATCTCTCAGGTTTCTATAACAATCATTAGATCTTGTGATTTAATTATCAGGTAATAACCCAAAACATCCATCAGTGCTAATGTTTATGTAAAACAGAAATTTTGTTGTCCTAAAACAATAAGCAAAGCTATAAGGTCATATGTATTTAGGCCTTATTTTAATCAATTCAGTATTTATCTTAACTTATCTATTACTGTAAAATAGAAGCATAATATGTTGTTTTTCTATAATCACTTCATTAACACAAGCTTTAGTACATTTGTCATCAAATCATAAATTTCTATTTATAAAATAAAGTTGATTGAAATGGTTGAAATATTTTAACTACCATATTAGGACACTTAAATTCAGTTGGTTTTTCTTAGTAGAACAGGAAAAATTCCACCTCATTATATAATAAAAATGAATTAGATTTTCTTATGTTAATCTAAAAATAAAAATCTAGGTGAAATTATAAAAATTAAAGTATAATGATAATGTCATAATAAAAAACACTACAATTATAGGCAGCTCACTAATTCTTTTCTTTTTAGCATTTAAAAAGACTATGCAATGATGAAAATGTGGTTTTAGAATATTTGATTACTGAGAACTTAATATGTGGCTGGTGCAGCTAAAGAATTTCTAAAATTTTATTAACATCAATTATCTGAAACTTACATAGTCACATGTGTTAGTGGTTACTTTATTGGATAGAGCATAGGAAAAAAATCTGAATAACTTAGATGCCTCAGAATATTTTAATTTTGTTAGTATTTACTGATTACATGTTTTATCCTAGGTACTATTTAAATATCACAGTATTACAGTATAAATGCAAAGTCTATATATAACCTTTAAGGCCCTTATTGTAATTATATATAAGCCATTAACTAATTTAAAAAATTTGGTGATGTTTCTCGTTGCCCCCAAAATTTAGGGGCAAATTTGGAGGACACAAAGTTTTCAACCCCCTTCCCTTGAACTCTGTGTACTATTTTCCCTCTCGCTCCTTATAACAAGCTCTGCCTTTGCTGAGATGTTAAGATGGTTTTTGAGGCATGAACCTACTGTCTTCTCAGGTTGCTGGCACCTGAAATAAAGTCACTTTCCTTCTCTCACACAAAAAAAAGTTATTAGAAGCAAACAATATTGAGCATTAATAAAGAAATAATTGGAACTGTGAAAGCAAAACTAAAACTACAACTAAACCCATTCCAGAAAAGGCCCATAGTCTGGGGCCATTGAGTGCTAAGTATAGTTTCTTGAAGTCCCTCTGACACAAGAAAACAGCAGAGCAATAACGTTCAGTATGATTCATCTAGGAAATAAGGGAACAATTAAGTATGCTCCATTTAGGAAGAAAAAAATATTATTAATATATTCATGACATACACAAGTAGTTGTCATTAATTTTTATCAAATTAATCTAACATGGCGAGGAGCCTGGGGACCATGGACAATGGTGGTCAATGGGAATTCCCAGTGGTAGAGTGGCTGAATGATTTGAATGCAGAAGTATCTAATCTTCTCTTTTAATTAACTGGGTTACTAAAATATGACCAAAATATAATACTTCCTTCAACCTATCCATACTTTCTATGAAATCATTTAAAAAAGCCTGCTGTATACACAAATATTTTGGGTATTTTTCTTGTTTTGGTTTTGCTTGTTTGGTTGGTTCTAAAGAATGGGTAATAGAGAGGAATTAAGGTAGAATGAATTCTGGGTCCAACGGGTAAGGAGCAATGAAGAGAGAAGAGCCATGGCAGGCAAAATGCAGATGAGGGGGCAGGGGAAGCAGGAAATCACAGCCAGAGACGCACGTCCCGTTCAGGACAGCAGACTGAGTACAAGTGCGCTGCCTTGTAGGTACTCCTCCCTTCTACAATCCCACCAGGGTCTCAGCAGAAACAAAAAGAAATAAAAGCAAAATCATACTGAACTGGCAATATAGAGTTGTCATAATTAAAGCAGCAACGCATCCCGTACAGACAGATAGGAACAGGTTGATGCCAAAACCCACCAAAGCTTAGAACCCAAAATTCAATTAGGTCAAAAAAGGGGGGCACCTGAAGCCTGGGAGGTGACCCCGAAGCCTCACTGAAGACCCTTAAAGGCAGCAGAGAGGCCAGGGAGAGACACAGCACCACAGCCTGGAATGACAGAAAGGGCAGGCGGGCTAACTATCCAATCACCTTCACAGCAACTGACTTGAACTTTCTTGTTAGTAGTTTATTTTTATTGTATTTTTTTCATTTATTGCCGTTATACCCTCTTCCACCTCTACCCACCCCTTTCCTCCACAGTCATCACATGTCGTCTATGTCCGTGGGTCCTTATTCCTTTTTGCTCGATCCCTGAACCCTCTAACCCCCTACCCAGAGCTGCCAGCCTGCTGTCTGTGTATGAGTCTGTCTCTATTTTGCTTGTTGGCTCAGTTTGTTCATTAGATTCCACATATGAGTGAAATCATATGGTATTTGTCTTTCTGTGACTTGCTTATTTCGTAATTCAAAAGAACATAAATACCTCTCTGTTCATTGCAGGGTTATTTACCATCCCCAAGATGTGGAAGCAGCCCAGGTGTCCATCGGTAGATGAGTGGGTAGAATAACTATGGGACACGTACACAATGGAATACTACTCAGCTGTAAAAAAGATGAAAATTTTACCCTTTGCAACAGCAGGGATGGACCCCTAGGACTCAAATTTTTGGCCTCAGTAAAGCCTCCAGTGTGGCTCTGAAGTGCAGCGTTAAATTAGAGTATCGGGCAGGGTGATAGAGGAAGAGGAGTGGGCAGGGGTCTCACACAGTCACACACTCCTCACAGGGAGATGAGGAGCAGAGCCCCCTGTGTCACAGGCTGGCAGCAAGTTCTGCCACCACCTGCACAGTCACTGCCATCAAGACACCAATATTCGGGGTTCTAATTATTTCTGGAAAATAAGTTCTTTGAGGTACAACTGTAGAATTTGGGACATACCTTTGAGATGACAATTATGGTATTTTATTATAGTTATTTACTTATAACAGCTTCCCCAGAAGTTAACATCTCTTTGGGCAAGACGAGTGTGTTATCTTTCTATCGCTAAGTGAAATATAGTGCTTTGGATTAGTTTTCTGGGTTGCCTGGGTTACTTAGACAATAGCAATTTATTTTCTCATAGTTCTGGAAGGTGTAAGTCTGAGATCATGGTGTCAGCGCGGCCAATTTCTAGTGAGGACTCTCTTCCTGGGTTGCAGACAGCCATCTTCTCACTGTGTCCTGACATGACCTTTCCTCAGTGGATGAAGGGAAAGACAGAGAAAGAGGGAGAGAGAGAGAGCGAGAGAGCTCTGTCTCCTTACGAGGGCACTATCTTAGGATCTCGTTTAACCATACTTACTTCCTTCGAGGCCCTATCTCCAAAAACAGCCACACTGGGGCTAGTGCTTCAACATAGGAATTTTAGCAGGACATGACATTCTGCTTGTAACACTCACATATAAAAGGGGAGAAAGACAAGTTTGTTAATTAGGTGAATTAGTGAAATCATAAGCTATACAAGATAAGGAAATATCCTGTAATAGATTTTATGCATACATTTCACCTTTTAATTAAATTGACATTTTTCAAAATGTCCCAATTTAGTGTTATTTTTAACCACACAAACCACAAAATACTTTTTTTGAGAGCAAGATGCATTTGTGGGAAAGAATGTAACATACTTACGTTTCAGTTGGAATTGTAAATGGAGTCATCCTATAATTCAAAAACGGGCTTGATATCTCAAGAAATTGTTCAGGTTTCTTTATTGTTAATTCTAAAAAGAAACAGGCAGTGTGATGTACTTTATTTTCCATCTTCTAAGATTACGTGCAATATTAATTAGATTACTATTTACCCAGCAAATTCCAATGGAGTTAAATAGGAATGTCTTAGGAACCTCTTTGTTTGTTTGTTTGTTTGTTTTATAATTGGAAATGCTTATCAATCATGCAATATGAGATTTCTTAAGCTTACTCCTCAGTTGCTTTTCAGATTTACAGCATGAAACAATGAAGTGTCAATGGAAATCATTAGCAATGTCTTTTGGAGTCACCACTTGGCATTTTCTGCTATTTCGTGTGCAGGAATGACTGTCTTACAGTCTTTTACTTAAAAAAAAAAAAAAAAAAAAAAAAAAGGCGAGGGGTGTTCACTTAGTTAATCCCTATGCAATCGCTCAGGACATGAAGAGAAAATGAGGACCAATACATGGAAATTGCAGAGGAAGAACAGAAATGTAACAAAGTAAAAGTCACTAGTAGCAAAGGAAGCAGTAGGTCAAGAAAGTACGTGGACATTCCTACAGGAGTGTGAAGCTGATCTAGAAGGAATTCTCAGTGAATACAGGACACCGCTCGTGCACTAACATGTGAACACTGAAATTAAACATTCAGGAAGGTTATTTTAACAGAAATTCCTGCAACAATCACCACTGGAGGAAAAACGGTGAATTTTTGACTCATGGACATGACTTTTCTGTGCTTGTTCTGGGGTAACCTCTGAAATGATCTCTCTCTCCATTTCCTGTTAATTTTCACTCTACATAGTAACCCCATTATGGATAAGAAAGACAGCTCTGCGGTGAGCCTCAAGGCGGGACACCGCCCTTACGGGCAGCCACCGCGCCTCAGGTTTTCTTGTCCAGCTTTCTGAAGCGGCCACGCACAGAGGATTGCACAACAAGCAGTAGTGAAATCAGAAAATACCTGCATGGTTAATAATTTTCCTTTCATTCAGCCTTTCCTTGATGATCTGAATGAACAATGGTTTTAAGTGTATCTATCTCCATGCATTTAACTTAAATATTGTATTTAAAGGTAAAAAAATTTCCTTCCTTTTCAGCATCTTTTGGCACATTTTGGCACCAAGAGCCCATAGGAGAAACACAAGGAGTGTAAAAAAAGTGACTGAAATAATCAAGCAGGTGGGTCACAATAAAGACCAAATTAACCATTTCTCCTGTACACCCAAACCAGATGATATTCTTTATTCTTTGTTCTTTTCTGGCAAGAATAAAACATTTTGTGCTAGAGAAATCTTTGCTACCAGCTGTACTGGCTGTACGAATGTAGGCAGAAAGCATGGTGACATAGTTAATAATTATTTCTATTTTAAAAAGGAGGACTTTATGGTTGGAAGTAGATCGTAAGGAACAGGTATGTATTTCAGTACATGTGGTTATTGCATCTTCGGGCTCCTGAGGACCACTGAGATGTACGTATTACACGGTGTCCGAGATGTGCCTCTCTGGTCAGCTGCACTGGAGAGTCAGCAATGTTTGAACTGGTAGCAGGGACCACACTAAGAATCACCGCCAGTAGAGGTTCAAGCCATGGTTCATGGGACCAAACGTTTGAAGCATTTTATAAACTCCACTGGGATGCCTGCAATACACTGGCACTAGGGATGTTCATTGCGACTTTGCTTTCCTTGCTCATTCGGTGGCAGGCCTGTGAACACAGTCCCTAATGCAATAACCCCTAGAACATGAATACACTTAGACAATAATGAGGTATTGGAAAAGACAAAGGGAGAGAATACAAAAGCAAGAAAATGAACACCAAAAAATGACAAAAAGCTGTTGTTATTAAATACAGTTTTTTGAAATATATATATACCATAGCAGTCCAGTTTTTTATCATCCTTCATAAAAATATTCCAAGTGCTAAAGTAGCTATGGAAAGGCTATTTATGTTGAAACATAAGCAAATTATGAGTTATTCTGCCAGATCATAATTTCTAAATTATTCATGTTTTCTTGTTTTAATTTCATCTCCTTACACTTACGCTTCTACTGTAAAATTGATTTTTTATTTATGGTCTCATTCATTTCTTCTCTTGCCATCTTGGTCTCTCTTCCCTTCAAAGCTGGTGCTCATGAAAAATGGAGTAAGAATGAAGACTTTTAAAGAAAAATACTGAGGAGCTGAAGAATTAGATGCCCTGTGAGGCATCTAGAAATGAACTGAGAGAACAATAGCAAGGTGGGAACGGGAGCCCGGTCTCAGCCAGTGTGAATCTATTTATTTCTGAGGGCAACAGCCACTCCTGAAGTGGCTGCGTGACAATATTCACACAGATGACAATCCAGGGCAGAAGTTCTGTTCTCAAGTAGAAACCAGTTAATGCAAAGGCTATGTCCTCAGGGTACCCTCAGTGATTTCCATATCAGAAGCTCATGCCAGCGGCTGAACCCATGCGACCCAGGTTCCTTATTATTTACCACAGACCACTTCTCTACCATCCTAACAGTCAGAATGCCATCACCCACAGGTGGCTTTGACATATATGGTCAGTTTAGGCATGAACCAAATTGCTTGTCTTCTATGCAGAATTAATCCTTAAAAGATACAAAATTTGGACATACATTTGTTTCCATTTAATCAAAAGTATATGGATTTTCACATTCAATATTATTTTGTATCAGTTTCAGGTATACATCATAGTGGTTGGACAGTCGTGTACTTTACAAAGTAGACATAAATGAAGAGTTTAGGTACAATGCTGGGCGGTTTCATTACAAATCTAAGTATGAAGTCTCCATACAAAGGAGTATTAATTAGAAAGATTTCCAGACAATGTAAACCATACCTTGAGGTTCATCTGTTATAACAGTTTCCCTTTTCTGACGAATGAGTTTCCATGGCGGCACGGGGGGTGGTTTCGGGGGCGCTATAAGAGGGCAGGACCTGGTTCTGGTCACCAGCACCGGATGGCTGCAGATGTGGGACAGGCCGTATTCTCTTAGCTTCTCAGCGGAAGTGGTCTAGCAGATTTAAAAGGATGCTGGCAATTGCCTCATGCATTTAAAATGATACTTTTTCTCATTATAAAAATACTATCGCCACTATAGAGATGTAGCAGTAATAAAGGAAAACACAACCAGCTATATTACCACTCTTAACATAAGCACTATTACCATTTGTATTTCTTAACATCTTTTCATTTTTCTGGGGCCCCGTTTCCTCATTCACAAAATGAGATACTGGAACTATATGCTACTTTTCAGTTCTAAACGTTTGATTCTATGAGATTGCAAAAATCTTAGCACATTCATTTTGGTCTAAAATTAATCACTCATTATTTTTATGGGTTAAAACTTTGATACAGGTACTTAATAGTAAAGTTTGTGTTTGTTTTTTTCTTAATCACCAGCAATCGCTAAATAATGTTTATAAAATCTGCTGCCCTGAGTGAGCCAGGTCAACGAGGTGATAAACTAAGCAGCTGCTTCGCCTGCAGCTGATGCCCTCGCCCGCCAACAGCAGCTCCCACAGGAAATCCCCGGGGTCTCCCTGACAATGGGGCCATTCACAGAAGGAAAGGGGATACAAACTGCCCTGGATCCTGCCAAAGCAAGCAGTTTCCCACGCATGAGTTTCGCACATCCCACTGTTCAGGTCCCCCGAGCCACTTGGCTTTGGAGCCATTCAGAGTAACGCTGAAGCAGAACTTCAGTTAGTGACTGCTGGCTGAAATATGCCGTAAGAAATCAAGAAGTGGGAGAACACTGAAGGGATGTATGTACACGGTAATCGTAGTCCTAAGTTCCGTCTAAATGTTCAAACAGTTAAAATGTCAGCTACATTGAAAGCAGTTATACCAAAACTGTTTCTTCCTAGTGATTTTGCATCGTTTCTATTCACATTTCTTTTTTGTTGTTTTTTTTTTTATTCTTTTTTATTTTTTAAAATATATTTTATTGACTATGCTATTACAGTTGTCCCAAATTTTCCCCCTTTGTCCCCGAACACCCAGTACCCCCATTCCCTCCAGCAATCCTCCCTTTAGTTCACGTCCACGGGTCGTGCATGTAAGTTCTTTGGCTTCTCCATTTCCAAAAACAAACTAAGCAAACCACCAGAGCAGGAACAGAACCATAGATATGGAGATCATTTGGAGGGTTATCAGCTGGGAGGATGAAGGGGGTGAATGGGGGGGAAGGTGCACGGATTAAGAAGCATAAATTGGTAGGTACTAAATGGACAGGGGATTTATTCACATTTCTATGTGAATAGAAATGCTTGACAAGGTAAATTTATAAAGCTGTCATTAGGACCAGAAACCCAGCTTTCAGCCTATTTCAAATTATTCTATGGCCTCAGCTAGAACATGCCTCGTTTCTCTTGCAACTTTTTCTATAGCTCAATCTAAACTTCAGGGAGGCACAAAATAGGGGTGGATATCTGTGAGAAAGAAAAGTTCTTCTTGAATCCAGGGATTAATTAATCATTGTAACAATTAACGACTGTAAGAACGAGTTAATCAGGGTGCTACTGACTCTAAATGAGCCAGTTAAAAGTGCTGTAAATATTCAAAATAAAAGAGAGGACTTGATGTTTAAAAAAAAGGACTAATTGAAAAGTAGGTAAAATTGTCACATCCCTTTTATCTTTTTTGTGAATGTTAGTCATTTATTGAAAAAATTATCAGAAACTCTGGAATTATGCCTTATAGCAGCTTAAAAATTATTTTTATGGATGTTCTAAAATCTAAACCTTTTTTTCTACAGCTTTAACCCTGTCAAATTTTAGAAGTTTCCCAATATTTGAAAGCAATCCTTTTCATGGGAATTTATGATAGAATTTATTGGTGTTATTCAAAAAGAAAATGCCTCAGTTACAGTAACAAAGATTATATTGCAATAAAATTTACATCTAAATAATATCAAAAATAGAAGTCGTGCTCCAGGTAGTATTTATAACACTTTTAAATGGCTATTTTAGAGTCAGTAGCACCCTGATTAACTCGTTCTTACAGTCGTTAATTGTTACAATGATTAATTAATCCCTGGATTCAAGAAGAACTTTTCTTTCTCACAGATATCCACCCTTATTTTGTGCCTCCCTGAAGTTTAGATGGAGCTATAGAAAAAGTTGCAAGAGAAACGAGGCATGTTCTAGCTGAGGCCATAGAATAATTTGAAATAGGGGGATTTATAATATTATGTCCTGACTCCCCTCATCTTCCCAAGCTGCATCTAAGACTTCTTCCCTTCAATCTATTTAACCTCTAGGAGTTCCCTGAACCCAGCAGGTTCACCTTCACTTCCAGGCTGTCCTCTGCTTTGAACAGGTTTTCCTATTTATTAGGCTAACTTCTTAAGCATGCTGCTTCAGTATTTCTTCCTTTGGGAAGAACTCCCGAGTCAACCATTAGACAGAAAGATGTGTTTTTGCTATGGGTCCCTTATTCATTTTTCCATTCATTCATTCATTCGGTCACTTATCCAACACACATTTTTTGAACACCGCCTCTACCACATACCAGGCCCCTAGTATGCTCTCTGTTAAACTGGTTTTCTAACTTCGTTACTGTTTGCTTCTCTGCCTCCTCATTCAACTCTAAACTTTGGAAGGAGGCCCCTTGTTAATCTTGCTCATTATGGTGTCCTCAGAGCCTAAATCATTGATTAGCACATAATAATAGATAATCAATAAATGCCTGTTGTATTATAGATAAACATGACAATTTTTTTTTGTATTTTAAATTCAAAACTTACTCTGTGCTTAAATGTTAGTTTTTAGGTAGAAAATTCACATGCATTACTTCAGTCGCTTTCTTTTCATAATGCATTCATCCCATCCTTATATTCTGCAGTCTGAAAAAGTGTTTAAGTACTTCCTCTACATGAGACCATGGTACCCCACAAAGCATGCAGTCCAAGGTGTTAGAATATTTAATCTCTCTGGAATATCTAAGGTAGCACCCAGGTCACTGCCATGAAAATAAGTTAAAAAACAAAACAAAACAAAAACTATGGCTGAAATGGCCTATTCAAATCTTCACAAGAGACTCAAGTTGGAGGGAGGCCTGAGGAGCACACTTAGATTTATCCATGTTAAAGATAATTAACTTGGAATTAAAATATTCGTTTGACAGTATTATCCCTGTTACATGGCAGATTTTTGCAGGTAGGGGTAGTTTTTATCTAAAATAAAAGAAGGAGGAGGAGGACAAAGATATAATTACAGTTGGCTCTCCATATCTGTGGGTTCTGCCTCAACAGATTCAACCTACCTGGCATTGAAATATCAGGAAAAAAAAAATCTACATAGTTGCTAGCATGTACTATATAGTTAAGCCTACCTACCATGTCTGTGGCTGTACTGAGCATGTAAGAACTTTTTTTTCCCTTGTCATCATTTCCTAAACAATACAGTATGACAACTATTTATATAGCATTTATACAGGGCTAGGTGTTATGAATAATCTAGAGAGGATTTAAAATATACAGGAGGATGTGCATAGATTATATGCAAATACTATATTCTTTTACTTAAAGGGCTTAAGCATTCTTGGGATTTTGTTATCTGTGGAGAATCCTGGAACCAATGCCCTGTGGATACTATGGGTTGATGTATACAATTGCACTATTTAATCTTATACTTTAATGTAGTGATTTCAGAACATGTGGAATTTTAGAAACCAAGTGCTAAATGTCTAAAAGTTTTCCAAAGGGTTAGGATTCAATAAGCCCCAAATGCAGTAGGGTGTTTGTCTAAGTAAGTAGAAAAGTAATCTGGTGATCTTTACCCTTTGCAAGCGAAGGAGAAAAATAATTTTTATGTCCAAGAACATAACATAAAATTTAAAAATATGAGAAACCAAAACATCCCATGCAACTACTAAATATTATGTTGTCAAATATTTGACACCATGGAAAATGTTAATGATACAGTGTCAAGTGAAAAAACTAGTTTCCAAACAGAACATAAAATTTAATTATACGGTGCAAAAAAAAGTATACATATGTACACACAGAGTATATGAATAGATGAAAAAATCAAAGAATATGTACTAAAATGTTAGCATTGCTTATGTCTAGGTGTTTATACTATAAACGTTTTTTTAACTTCATTCTCTTTGTATATATTTTCTAAAGTTCCTATAAGTTGTCAGCTTTATAAGGAAAAGGCAGTTAACATTTGTGTGCATTATTTTAAGACACAAGGTGGCAATAGCTGTGGTTTACCAGTTCTGGATGTGAATTCATTTAAGTCATAAGTTAAGAAAACATGTTCAATCTATTTACAAAAATAGATTTATAATTATTTAGAAATGACTTACATGATTTTTACTAAAATATATAATTTATATCTTTTTATTTTGCTTATAATGGAAGGAATAGATAAAAACATGTGACACATTTTGAAAAGATGGAATCACTGCAATCATTTAAGATAATTTTGGTGCTTCAAGCCCCTGTGTCCAAGTGCTTAATTTTAAAAAGGAGACTAAAATTCAGTAACAGAATTTTCATTAAACTCTGGTATACCCTTTATCACAAGGAGTACTCACACACACACATGCACATACACATGATAAATGTTACTGTACTTCCTGGTCTTGAGTACTTACCATCTTCTCTAATGAAAAGATCTTCTTTTCAAACAGATAGAGAGGTGTAAATGTAGCATATACAACCATGTGAAGGGGCTGTATTACTGAGGAAACTGCAAAAACACACATATTGTGTCATGAAAATTTTAGCCAAAATGGGTCTGCCAGTAGGTCATTCCTTAATGAATATTAAAACAGAATTAAGGTTAAAGAATTAGAATTAAATTCCTTATCTTTGCTGGTAAAATAAAAGGTACATATTCTAAATGTATTTAACAAATGTTAAATCTTAAATGTGTATTCATGTTATAAAATATCTCATTAATTTTACCTTGATAATAGTATGATTTAATTGCTTAAAAATCCTTTTATTTTACTGTGAAAATATTACATCCACTTAGAGATACCATCACATAGTCATGAGTCAATGTAACTTCAAATGGTCTACTAATAATTATGTTCAAAGGAATGATTTTAACATTGTGACAATTCTTAGCTTTCATAGATACAAATCTTTATTTTTAGCTTAAATTAATCTGGAGTTCTTATGTCATTTCAAGAATAAAGAAAACATAAATAAATGAATCCTTTCACAGAAAAGGAAAACATAAGTGACTTAGTTTAGACTGTTTGATGCTGGTAGAATTGGCTTCTAAGAATCACTTATTTATTTACATGTTCCTTAACATCCCTGGTATTTCTATATTTATTTGGGTGTCCTTTTGTTCCTTAAAGACCCTGGCTAAAATAATAGAATCTATTTTCTTTCCTTGTCTTTATTTTTAATTACAAAGTTTCTTTATTCCTTTTCAAATTCAAGCACTTATATATAACTGTATTAGATATGTTTACTGAAGAACAGTATCTTCAGAACCACAAATATAAATTAGGCATGAACCAGAATCTCTCTAGAATGGATTAATTGTAAAAAATAACAAAGTTATAAAAACATATTTTTACATTAAAAAATTAGACGTTGTATGTCTTTAATGGAGCATAGATCTGAACCCAGGCAGTTTTACCCCACAGCCCAAATTTTAGAGCATATTCTGTATCTTCAGACTGACCCTAACTACCAGTTTGGTAGAAAAAAGGCATGGTTTCTTTTATTTTCTCAAAGAAAAAAACTCAGAGAAAGGTTTAGTCATTTTCACAATGATGATGAATTATCGGTAACTTTAGGAATGTTATGTCACCTCCTCTCAAAAAAGATTGCTTAAGGCATTAATATAAGAGAACAATTTTTAATACAGAATAAAAAATATGACTAGTGACCCCTTTCTCTCACAAACCACCAGACGTGTTTCTGTAAAAATAAAAAACCATAATTGTTAACATGTCCTCACAAAAACATATGAGTACATTAAGAAAGAAGACAAAAATGGAAAAAAAACTGGATAGAGCATAGTGCTGGAGGCTAATGAATGTGTTTCCAACCATGTAATGAATAGCGAACTGAGAATTTTAGCCTGCATTCTGAAAGCGCCAAGATGGATGACCCAATGTTAGGAATATAAAGTGTTTAAAAAATGATGTATACAATATGCATTATATAAACTTAAAAATAGTATATATGTTATATTTATAATTTATTTATACAGAGGACATATACTAATATATTATATATTTTGTATCTATATATACTTATATAAACATACTTATATTTCTATAATTTGTATAACTTAGATATGTATATTCTATAGAATATATAACTTACATTTTATTTATGTTCAATAATATGTTTTATAATATACTAATATATAATCTATATTTCTTAGTATATGTCTCCCTTCATATGAACTCTTCTCCTATGACTGCTGTACTGTAAGAACTTGGACCACCTTGGCTTTGGTCTCACATGGAGGACCTTGCCCCAATATCCATGCCCATGCAAGGGCCTAACTATTATGGGTAGCCTTAAGCAAGCTTATTTACATATGCCTAAGCAGGAGATCTATTTCTATGCTGCACAGAGTTCCAACATTTTAGGATAGAGCTGAAATACTTATTATTCCAGGGGTGCTTACAGTCTGACAGAGACTGCTGAGAGTATTGGACATCTGAGGAGGGTCTTGAACCATGAAATGACCATTTGAATTTTTCCTTTTCCTTTTCTCCATCTTTACTCCTCTTCTTCCCGATGTCTTTTGCATCTGCTTTCTCTAACATATTAAGAAATGCAATAAATATTTTAACTTTGAAAGCTCAAACTATATTTCTTATTCAGTCATTGTATTGAAAAAAGGCCACAATCATAGTGTTATTTAAATGTAAACAATAGCCACAAATTCACCAAAACACTCCCTACCTCTAATTAGAAACAGTAAAATAAAGCAAGACAAAATTTTGAAAACCAATGTGTATTGTGAAAAATTTGCAGCATTATTTATTTTTGACTACACAAAATTTCATGTTAAATTAGATGATCATTTGACTAAGATTTATGTACATAAAATTATAGTGTCAGGCTAATTTTATCACTTTAAAAACAAGGATCAAAGAACAGCAAAGCATTAAAGTTGAGTCCTAAAGTCCTTTCAGATTTTTCTTATTTGGGGCCTCCACCTCAAGGAACCATAGCTTGCTGTCTCCAGAATATCTCCTGGTGGAAACTGGATGCCAAAGCAACATCCTTTTGCCAACATGACTTGTTTAATCAAAGCCCATACAAAGAACCATATGCACCCTTTGAATTTGCATTCATATTTAAATTTCTATGAAACATGTTCTCTTTCAACTAAAAAAAAAAAAGCTGTGGTACCTATACACAATGGCCTATTACTCAGCCATAAAAAATGAAATCTTACCTTTTGTGAAAGCATGGATGGACCTAAAGGGTGTTGTACTAAGTTAAAAAAGTCAAGACAGAAAAACGCAAATAACGTATGATTTCAATTATATGTGGAACATAAAGAACAAAGTAAACACACAAACAAAATAGAAACAGATGCTGACAATTGTCAGAGGGGAGGGAGGTTGGGGAGCTGGGTGAAAAAGGTGAAGGGATTAAGAAGTACAAATTGGTGGATACAAAATGGTCATGAAGACGTAGATTATAGCATGGGGAATATAGTCAACGATACTGTAATAACTATGTGTGGGGTCCGGGGGTGCTTGAAGCATGGGGGACCACTCTGAAAAGTATATAATCTTCTAACCACGTTGCTGTACATCTGAAACTAATACAGAATAATACTGAATGTAAACTGTAATTGAAAAAAATTTTTTAAATTAAAGAGATAAAAGTAGTATAAAGAATGAAAATTTTAAAAATCCAAGATATTTTTATTCGTTAATGAAAACAATTCAGTTCTGAAACAAAAATTCCCATTTCTGTCTTTTTATTCTATTGTCATCTGTTGAATTTGTAATCAAGTTGTTTTTTCCAATTTGCATAAATAAAAACATTAACAACCCGTAATGTTCCTGAGCCTATAATGTAAACTGGTCTCATATCTTAGCTTTTATAGCATATTTAACACCTATGTTAGATACAAAAGTGAAGTTAATCATTAACTTTAAGTGTAGGAGAAGACATGTAACTAAGAAACTAAAGTATAAATACAGGCTATCAAATTTTATTTTGTGGGTTTTCTATAAATATTTGATTTCACTCAACAAAATGAGTTTTAGGTAGAAATATATAATTTTATGTGTGATTTTAAAATAAGACTTTAAAAGCCTTCAAACTCCTATTCAGAATTCATAATATAAAAATAACATAATTTATAATAAAAATTATACATAGAAAAAAATACACTCTTTCACACAGAAATTGGATAATAAGAAACAGTGTTTACCAAAATCTGTTTTTGTCCATGCCCTACGTAAATGTGCTGCCCTCTGTCATTTCATCCCGCCCACCTAGCCAACACCGCTGTGAGCTGGCAGCTGAACCCTGCTGGAGATAACCTTTCCCTATTCCTGCAAACATCTAATTTAAGTCTCCACGAGAACCTCATCTTCCACCTCCACTTCACTCTCAGCTCATCGGTAGACTGCTTATCAAGAGAGAAAATAGAAGCAACCTTTGGACTGAAACACGCAGCTTCTCTCTATGAAGCCCATTTACCCACCAACATGCGTATCAATCCTCACCCATGGCACAGGCCCATCTGGTCGAATGGAGGGGCCCTTGTCCCCCAGGTTGGTCCAACCTCTCCACATGGGTGGGCTCTCTGGATCCTCCTCTTCCTGCCCTCTCGGGAGACATACAGTCTTGCTGTAATCTCAGCTGGAACCTCTCAATCATCACTTAAAAACACTCAGTTCTCCCTCAATAGATTAAAACATAAGGATCCTGTGTGGGCCCACATATTCCCTGTCGGCTTCCACTTTGTAGCTCTCCTGTTCACAGACTTCTATATCTTATTGTCTAGTGATAATTTGTTTGTACATTATTTTACTTTCCACTTACTTCTTAACACTCCCCAGTATGCCTTTGACTCCCTTCATTTACCAGTGCCCAATGGCCTTCACATCACAATATTTAACAGAGAAATCTGAGTTCCCACCATATTACAACTCTCAGTATTTGACACAGACTATCTCTCTGATCCCTAAAACTCCCTTCTTTTGACTGCACTAGCAACGTGCTCTGCTGGTCTTGCTTCTCTGGCCATCCTTGAGCCTCCATTGACAGATCATAATTTTGTGCCTGGCTCTCAGATGTTTAGCATCTTTAAGGCTCCATCTCCAGCAGCCCGGTCTTCTCGCTCTTTGCTCTCTCCTTGGGATCACCCATAGTTTAATTGAGCATTCATTTGTCAAGGATTCCAAAACATATATCACCAGCCTGAAACTCCTGACATTTTCTCCAAAGGCACTTCATATTCAATGTGTTCAAAATTGTTTTATGATCTTTCCTTATAAAGCCTTTTTTTTTTTGTTTTCAGCATTCCCAAGCTCTGTTGAAGGTACTACATTTTTTACTTTTTAAATATCTCTCGAATCATTCTCCTCTCTGTGACTCCACAGTCACTACCCTATTCCATTTTCCAGCTGCCGCTGTCTCCAACATGCGCTGGTACAATTCTCTCCAAACTGTTTTTTCCTATATATGCTCATGTCACTGACCCCCAAGCTCCCCACCCCCACACTAAGGTCCTTTCTTTTCAAAGAATCAGAATATTCTTTTGAAAATGTGATTTAGATCATGCATGATTTAGTCTAAGTTCATTAGCTGTCAATTTTTCTTATGATAAAAATCAATACTCTTGACTTACAAGATTTTATATGATCGTTCTCCTATTTCTCTAGGTTTTCTTAAACCATCCTTTATTCCTCACATCCTTTTCTCCAGCTAAATATCTTCTTCTAGGTCTTCCATTCTTCCTACTGCCTCATAGCTTTCTTTTCACAGTATATCTACTATTCCTTCTCTTTAAAATGCTATTCCCTCCACAGTCCCTCATCTTCTTCTAGATATTCCTCTCACCTTTGCAAGCACAGCTCAAAATTCCTTTAGGAATCCTTCCTGATGCTCCAGATTAGGCCCTCCATATGAATTCCCACAGTTTCCTTTATTTCCATTTCAGACTTATTTTGTAATAGATGATTATGATTTTTAAAATTAATATTAGTCTCTATCACTAGACAATAAGATTTAGGAGGTAACTTACACATTTGATTTTGTTCAACAAGTTATCACTAATTCCTGGAACATTTACTGGAATTATACTCAGTAAATAGCATATTGGAAGGATGGGTGGCTGGCTGGCTGGTTGGGTGGATGGAGAAATGTTGAGAAAGGACTTCTAGGTTCAAATTAATTGGGGATATCCTGGATACAACAAATTTTATCAGGCATTTTTTGCTATTTTTCATACTACCGCATATTAGGTTATTTCAGAAAGGGACTATGATAGGCAGATATTGCTCACACACTTGATTTTGGTATTTTTTGAAGAACATTTAGGATAATAATATCTATGCACTGTGCTGTAGGTAAGATCTTATTAAGGAATAATTGGACAAAATATCAATATTTTCTAAATCATAAATATTTGAAAAATCCTAATAAATACTATCAAAGTACACAAAAAGCTGAATATTTTCTAGAATATTTAATTCTACTTTACTATGCAAACAATAGTTTATTTGCATAACTATATGAAAATATTTCAGAAAATACAAAATAAAAAAATTACTCAGTACATTTCCCACCTTAAGAAGAGAAATGATCCTATACTTGTAAAGAAAACTAGAATTTTTTCTTCTTAAATTTGAACTTTCACTTTACAATAAATAATCAATAAATCATTATCTAATTTACGTCCATTTCACATTTCCTACAAAAAATAAACAGGACCACTTCTGTCCTTTGCTGTTTTTGTTCTTTTCACACTATGTATAGCAAATATATAAGAAAGATGTGTTTGATGAAAATTAAAAACTTAATGTCTCATCCTATATTAATACTATATTAATTTAGTATCATAAAAATGTATCATTTCCTTTGACTTTTAAAGAGAGTAAAATGTAAAACAATAATTAACATGTAGTAAATACCATAAGAAGTTCTGAAATCCTAGCAAGGTAGGGTCTTAATTATTTCCTCAACACAATACATGATACTAGTAATAAAGCACTATTAAATTCAATGATGATTGTAAAGCATTTACTTGTATATACAGGACCCATAGTGCATAATGGTGTGATATAAAATGGCTAACCTTTTGGAAGTTTTTCACTTTTATCAAGTGATTTCAGTGTTACAATGGAACCTTCCCGTCTGTATTCTTTGCCATCTTTCACTTCTTTGCCATCTTTCACTTCTTTGCCATCTTTAACTTCTTTTCCATCTTTCACTTCTTTCCCTGGTTCTTTTAATTTGGTATCTACCTCTGTTATTTTGCTCTCAGAGATGGACTCATCCGACAGCTTAAATTCTGGCAATATTTCTTTCAATAGCTCCCAAAGTTCATCCTTATATCCTGGGCTTTGATAAAACACATCAATGTTAATTTTCAAATTAAGCTTTAAACTACACATCAAGAAATTACTGAGAGAAAAAAAAATCAGCTACTATTTTACAAGCTGTCAATAGTTACATCAAATATTAGTTAAAAACACCGTGATGCACTCATCTATTCAAGAAGCTTTGACTGGGTGCCCATGGCGTGCTGGGCTTTGCTGAAAGAAAGAGACCAAACAAGGGGTTCTGGCTCAAGATGGAGACATAGGAGGACCCTGAATTCATCAGTTCCCATGAGCACATTGAATCTACAGGTATATATAGAACAATTGCCTCTGGGGAAAAAAAAACAACCAAAAACTAGCTGAGTTACTCCTACACATCTGGTAAATAAGAAAAAACCTACATTGCTGCCAGTGAGAAAGACTGAGACATAATCTCGCCATAAACCCAGCATGATGACCCACAACTGAAGGATGCTCAGCACCCTGAGCTTCCCCCTGAGGAGGAAAGGGTTTGAAACTCACATCTGGCATCCTGACTCTTAAGACCTTCCCCTGAGAAATGCCCCCAAATATCTAGCTTTGAAAACCCACAGGGACTGCCTCCAAAAAGACCCATGGAGCCGTAGTAAACACAAAAATGGTTCCTGAAGATCTGGCCCAGACTCAGCCGCCCTGGCCCAGTGCAGAGTCCGCAGACTTCGGGGAAGGGTCTTCTTTGCTTATCTTAAAGCATTGGCCTGAGGGGCAGGCTTCTAATTAAAGCCACATACAAAGACCCTGAGGGCAGGCACTGTCTTCATGCACTCCATTTGCCATACATCATCCATTTATGATAAATACTCTGAACAACATGGGTTTAGAGAGAATCTATCCAAACATAAGAGCCATATAAGATAAACCCACAGCTAGCATCCTATTCAATGCTGAAAAGCTGAAAGCTTTTCCTCTAAGATAAATAACAAGACAAGGATGCCCACTATTACTGCTTTTATTAAACAAGTATTCATTATTGAATAAAAGTCCTAGCCAGAGCAATTAGTCAAGAAGGAGAACTAAAAGGCACCCAGATTGGAATGGAAGAAGAATAATTTTCACCACATAGAGATGTTGTGATACTGGTATTATACATAGAAAACCTTAATGACATTAAAAAACTGTTAAAACTAATAAAATGATTTAACAAAAATGCAAAATACAAAATCAATATACAAAAATCTATTGTTTCTATACCCTAATAACAAACTCTCAGGAAGAGAAATTTAAAAAATAATCCCATTTACAATTGCATCAAAAAGAATAAAATACATAGAAATAAATTTAACCAAGGATGTGAAAGATTTACACTTTGAAAACTAAAAAGACACAAATAAATGGAGAGAGATTCTGTGTTCATGGGTTGGAATAATATTATTAAAATGTCTAAACTACTCAAAGCCATGTACAGATTTAATGCAATCTCTAAAAAATTCCAATGGCACTTTAGACAAAAATGGAAAAAAAATCTCATAGTACCACAAAGACCCCGAATAGAAAAAGCAACCTTAAGAAAAAAGAGCAACCTGGAGGCATTATGCATCCTGATTCTAAGCTATATTACAAAGCTATAGTAATCAAAGCAGCATGGTATTGGCATAAAAACAGACACATAGATCAATGGCTCAAAATAGAGTACCCAGAAATAAGCTCACACATATAGAGTCAATTAATTCTTGACAAAAAAAAGCTAAGACTATACAATGTGGAAAGGATAGTCTCTTCAGTCAATGGTGATGGAAAAACTGAACAAAATCATAAAAAAGGATGAAACCAGGTCATTATCTTACACCATGCATAGAAATCAACTCAAATTGTATTAAAGACTTGAACATAAGGTCAGAAACTATAAAAACCCTAGAGAAAACATAGGTGGTGAGCTCTTTGAATTTGTCATAGCATTGAGGTTTTGGATTTGACACCAAAAGCATAGGCAGCAAAAGCAAAAATAAACAAGGGAAACTACGTGAAACTAAAAAGCTTCTGCACAGCAAAGGAAACCATTAAAAAAACAAACAGAGATGGGAGGAAATATTTGTTCATCATATCCCTCATATGGGGTTAATATTCACATTATATAAAGAACACATGCAACTCAACAACAAAAGAACTCCAAACAATTCAATTAATAATGGAAAAGGATCTGAATAGACATTTTTCCAAAGAAGACATACAGATGACCAAAGGGATATGAAAAGGTGCTCAACATTACTATTCATCAAGGAAATGCAAATCAAAACCACAGTGAGATATCATCTCACACCTGTTAGAATAGTTATTATCAAAAAACCAAAAAATAGCAAGTGTTGATGAGGTTGTACATAAAATGGAATGCTTATGGACTGTTAGAGCAATTATAAATTGGTACAGCCAATATGGAAAAGAGCATGGAATTCCCACAAAAAATTAAAAAATAAAACTAGTACATGACTAAGCAATTTTTTAAAATATTATTTTTTAAATTTAATTTATTTTTTAGAGAGAGGCGAAGGGAGAGAGAAAAAGGTCAATGTGAGAGAGGAACATCAGTCCTGCCTTAATCAGGAACCGAAATCAAAACCTAGGCCTGTGCCCTGGCTGGGAATTGAACAGACACCTTTCATTTTGCAGGACGATGGCCCACCAACTGAGCCACGCTGGTCAGGGTTGATTTAGTAATTTTATTTCTGGGTATTTAACTGAAAGAAATTAAGACACTAATTTAAAAAGATATATGCACTCTCATGTTTATTGCACCATACTTTACAATAGCTAAGACATGGAAACAACCTAAGTGTCCATTGGTAAATGAGTGGATAAAGGAAATGTAAATATTTCAATATTCACATTTATCAATACATCGAACAAATATATGTGGATGTAAAATGTGATAAAATGTGGATGAATTAAGCCATATGTTCTTCCTCTGAGTTCCCAGAGAATCTTTACATTTATTGATTTGCAATTATTGAACCATTCTTGCATCCCTGGGATGAATCCCACTTGATCATGGTGGACAATCCCTTTAATGTATTGGTGGATGTGGTTTGCTAATATTTTGCTGAGGATTTTAGCGTCTATGTTTATCAGCGAAATTGGCCTGTAGTTTCTTTCTTTATTGTGTCTTTATCTGGTTTTGGGATTAGGATGATGCTGGCGTCATAAAAAGAGTTTGGGAGTCTTCCCTCTTCTTGGATTTTTTCAAATAATCTGAGAAGGACAGAGGTTAGTTCTTCCTTATATTTTGTAAAATTCTCCTGTGAAACCCTAGTACACTGTTGGTGGGAAGGCAGACTGGTGCAGCCACTGTGGAAAACAGTTTGGAATTTCCTCAAAAAGCCAAAAATGGAACTGTCATTTGACCCAGTGAATCCACTGCTGGGATTATACCCTAAGAATCCCAAAGCACCAATTCAAAAGAACCTATGCACCCCAATGTTCATAGCAGCACAATTTCCAATAGCCAAGTGCTGGAAGCAACCTAAGTGCCCATCAGTAAATGAGTGGATCAAAAAACTATGGTACATTTATTTACACAATGGAATATTATGCAGCAGAAAGAAAGAAAGAGCTACTACCCTTCGCAACAGCATGGATGGAACTGGAGAGCATTGTGCTAAGGGAAATAAGCCAGAGGGCAAAAGACAAATACCATATGGTTTCACCTATAAGCGGAACCTAATCAACAAAACAAACAAGCAAGGAAAATATAACCAGCAACATTGAAAGAAAAAAGAAACCAACAGAGTCAAGAGGGAAGGAGGGGGTGGAGGCAGGGAAGGGAAGGGAAGGGTCAAGTCAAGGAACATGTATAAAGGACCCATGGACAAAGCCAAAGCGGGAAAGGATTGAGGGTGGGAGGAAGAGGGGCAGGGGAAAGTGGTGGTGGGAAAATGGAGACAAATGTATTTGAACAATAAAAAAATAAAATAAAATTTTTAAAAAAGAATAAATAGGCTTCAAATAAAAAATGAAAGACTCTACACACTTCTTACAGCCTCCAAAAATACTTTTTAAATTACTCAGTCAATGCACATTTATTGAGAACATACTGTATGCCATTCATTCAGTGTTATTGTTGTAAAGCACAGATGGCACCATACTGAGCAAGACAAAAAGGGTCCCTACTCTCATGCAACTTCCCATCCCATCCCAGTGGATGGGTATGAGACACAGAGAGAGAGGGAGACAGAGAGAGAGAAAGAATAACAGACAGTGATAACTTCCACAGTGGAAATGAAATAGTAGATGATGGGTTATGACATATCTTGCAGAAAGAATAATTGACATTGAATGGCTAAGAAGGCCTGTCTGAGGAGTTGCTATTTAAGCTCAGTGAAAGCTAACTGTTATGACGTACCCAGTCAAGTGGATATCTGATGGAAGATCATTTGAGGCCTTTAAAAAAAAACAATCTCATGTAAGGACCCTAAAGGACAATGAGTTTAGTATATTTGGGAAACAGAATGAAGGTGTAGGTGGCCAGTGAGTAGTTGCCAACACAGAGGTGCAGTCAAGGATAAGGCTGCAGATCATTCAAAAGTCAGATGGTACAGATCCCTAAAGAAGAGGAGAAAGATTTAAAAACTTCAAGTGTAATGGAAAGGATTTAAGCAAGGCAAATGATATTATTTGCTTTATGTTTTAGAAAATTATTTTGAATGCCTTGTAGAGAAGTAACTAGAGGAGGGAGAGTTAGACGCAGGAGGACCAGTCATGAAGCTAGTACATTACTAATGCATGTGAGCAGTGACGGTGAGTTGACCTAGGACGGTACTAACGGAGATGCAGGAAAAAAATAATAAATTCACTTGTTATGCTTTTCTCTGAGGATAAAAGGAAGGTGAACTGGTTTCCTTATGACTCTGTGATTTGCATGACTGCCTGAGCTGCCACATGCTCATCCTTGGATCCCCAGTGCCTGGCAGGTAGATAGTGGGCATTCAGTATATTTCATTTTTGCATTTAATCCCACAAAAAGCTCTGCAACATAGGTATTACAACCTAATTGAGGTTTAGGAGGTTGTACATTTTTATGCTCTCATACAACTAGCAAATCATATAATCAGGATGCAAGCACAGCTGAGTCCAAAACCCATGTTTTGTTTTTCTTTTCATCTACAATATAAAAAAAATGCTATGCTATGAAAGAGAAATATTCAAATACCACAGGATCTGACCAAATAACTTCTTGGACAGTTAGACTTAAATATTGGGCATGGAGTGCTCTCTTCACAAATGCACTGCACCACGACCAGAGAAGTTCGCTGAGAAAAAGTCATGTGTCTCTTCACTTGGAATTTGACTTCTAATATACACTCACGCATGTCATTCAGGTGTGTTTCTATTTTGCATGGAGAGGAGAGTTATAAGTTTTTTAAAAATGGTATAACTGTCCTAATTGTAAGAAAACATAAAACGCAAACTCAACAACTGCCAATAGAGCAGTGTCTCATGTTGCTACTCCGATGGGAAATTAGAAGAGAATTAAGTCATTTGTTGGAAATGCCACATAACATTTTCTCACCCTTACTGATTTTCCCATGGAAAAAAATTGGAAAATCAGAAGTCAACACAGATTTTGAACTCTAATACCCGAATTCTCTGGACCTCTGCAAAACCATGACCACAACTGGCCCAAGGCCCTCAGACACTTACTCTGCACACCTTAATCCTTCTTAGTAATAGGAACATCCCATTCTTGAATATACCATGGCTTTAATCATATTATTCCCCTGCTTTCAATAGTCTTTTCCTTTCTGTCCTTCACATCAAATGCAGCCAACAATAAAGGTTCAGACCAAGTTAGAACTTTCTCTGCGAAGCTACCCCTTATCCCAGCCTGCACCATTGGCACATGGTGATTGTGCCCATATTTCAACTTAAACATTTCTTGACAATCATTTATGTATTGCTTCATGACATTCTTTTCATTTAAAGCCACATATATACACAGTGAATTAATTTTGTAGTTTTGTAGTATAATATTAAGTTAAAATTATATGAATAATGTGGCAGAATATAAGAAAAAATTCTATAAATTATAATATATCTCAAAGATAGTGTATACTTCTTTACTTTTTCATTGTATTTTGAAGTAAGTTGAAAAGTTTGATGTCTAGGTCATTCCTCACTTATTCTTCTTTAGACTTTTTTTGTTTTGTTTCCAAAGTTGATTTTTAACTATCATATATACTCCTAGATAATAATAAATAACCAGTGGAAGTCAGTAGAGAAGGAAAGAAACTTTCACTAATAATGTCTCTACCATACACTGCCATTTTTTCTGACACTCTCGCCTATTCACTTTATCTTCAGGACACCATATAGGATGGGTTAATGTATCCCCATTTTACATAAGAAGAAATTGGGGCCCAGGGAAGTTCATTACTTACAAAATTCACATAGTTTGAAATTGGAAATGTAAGAATGTAAATCTAGCTACATAGTTCTGAATCCAAAGCTCAAGCTTTTCCTCCTCATATAATTTGCATAGATAATTCATAAACAACCATAAACTCATGCAAATTAAACATCTAAAACCCTATACATTTTTATTAATTATTAAAGTGATCTCCTTAAAATTATGAAAATATATCAATGCCAGTTTTTATGTATGATTCTAGCATGAAACAATTCATGAATTTTAATGAGCTAATTTTATAGTTATAAATTATTCTGATCTATTTCTGAGAGATTTCTGATGATTTCATGTCTCTGGTATGTTTATTGACTACTGTGCAGAGAAAATAAAGGCAAAATTGTAAGCATTCCCTCAACATTGAATACAGAAATTTAGAAAAGTCCATATTTTTAAATCTCATTGTCTCTCTACTTTTCTCCACTAACACTGTCCATATTATATCTGTTTATATTCACCTCTCCTAGGTCTCAGAAAAGGATTTCCCATTAGAAGACATAAAAGTGTGCACCTGAACCTTTCCTAAGATAAAAGCACAAAACCAGCTCTCCTTCAGGAAAGAGGTTCTTCTGGGAGGGTTTCTACTCTTCCATTTTTCTCCCGAAAATATTTATATTTGAACAAAGTACCAGCTAGTTTATCCTGCTAAAAAGATGCTTTAGATGTAGAATCCAAGTTACCAGAGCCTGTCTTCAATCTCCTCTAACCTGGGCCCTGGGGACAGGTAGCTTCCCAACATCAATCAAAGATCAATGATAATTCAAGTTAGTAACTATAGTGTAGCTTTGGCCCTCTTATAAAAATTAACATCTGAATTGGTATGTTCATATTTATTTATATATTCTTTTCTCTGCACTTCAACTTGATTAATTTCCAGTGTAAATAACAGCATGATCAAATTGTGTGTCCATATCTTTTATGTGTGAAATAAAAGTATTTGTGAAAATTTAGGTAAGCCTTAAATGAGCCCTCTCTCTTTGGACATAGATAATGAATCTCTATGTAGCTAGACGCCTATGAGAGAAAGAAACATGGTGGGCTGTGGGCCCAGAAAGACTTAGAGTCAAATTTGTCTCCTCCAGATACATTGCGGGCAAGTTTGGGGAATTTGACCATTCTCACCTTCAGTTTCCTCATTTGTAATGACATATACCTAGCTGATTTCGGACATTTCAGGATTACATTTACACTATATAAAAGAACACATGATTTATCCTGAAATTCTCCAGGGATTTTATATAACATGTTATTCTCCCAAATATTTTTGTAAAATGTAAAATTTCTTGAAATTTTCTTAAAAACTAAAAATGTTTTGGTTAAAGAAACTTTACATGGGAAGAAAAAATATATATAAGAAACTGAATGGTCAGTCAAACCTACCGGAGAGAAATGACTTCTGGTAACCATCCTGTAAGAGCGTGAATAACTGTGAATTCTCCCAGCTCTCTCCTCTCTGCTATATGGATGCTAAAAATGCAAATGCACAACGGTACAGTTAATACAATTTTAAAACACAAAAAGGTATATAAGAAGTAGGAATGTCTAATAAATAGTGATATAATAATAAATGTAGGGGTATACTGGTTATATGTTACAGTATAAGAAAATATTATTCCAGCAGTCATATGACTTGTTAAAGTAGTTCTAATAATAAAATGTCATGTCTATTTACAGAACATGCTTATAAGCTTTATTTTAAAAATATATAAATTAATATATTGCTATAGATTTTTAAATATACATGGTAATCTATATTTTATATATTCCATGGATTATCATGTTGTTCTTTTAAAACTAAAACAGTGTCCTTTATGTTTCTGATTTCAGTAATTATTCTAAGATGCCTATGAAGCTGTGTATTATCAGTTTCATACATGACATGTCAAGATAGGCATCAGGCATTCTTAATTAAATTATTAGGTAATTTCAGAGAAACCAGAAACATCTGTTCTATCCTGTATGAAAGAATGGATTTGCTACCATAGCATAAAGTCAAATGACACTGTAATTGACCAAACATTGCTCTCCTCATTTTAGTGTTTTGCATTTGGATTAATTACAATTCTTCAATGTGTAGGAAAAAAAATGCAGCTACGGTTATCCTGATCATGCTTTTAATGCTTCACTGGCCTTGCAACTCTAATTCTCAGAACTTCAAGTGAGGTTTGACAACTAGGAGCATTTTTTTTTTTTTTTTCAGAATAAACAAGCATAGTTGTCACCAGTGTGAATAGTAGTGCTCAGCTACCTAAAAAGCTCTGGGATGAGTTTTTTTAAAAGACGACTGAAATTACAGACTGCAAGTTGGGTGAAACAAATTTCCCATAGAAAATTGAAGGTTAGTAAGCAAAAGGGAGATGAATAGGATGGCAGGAAGAGTGGTTGTTTGGTTGTGTAGCCTTGGGAGAGAAAAAGGAAGCCGAGCTAAAGAAAACCCACAACAAGCAGACCTAGCTTCTGAATGACACCACTGTTCAGAGAAGGGGACGGGACAGTGTTTTGAGCGGCTGGCAGACGTGATCCGGTAAAGCATGTGTGTGTTCTGTAGGATTCTGAGAGGCTATGGCATACTGGGAGGTGAGGGAGGGTGTCAAAGTCAAGCTGGTGCGCTGCGGATGAGCATTCTCCCACCAAGCAGGGACCCAGAGCTGCCGTGCATTGCCAGCTCAAGCATCTAAGCCTTTCTGCATTGCCAGGGCCGAGGAGGGATGACCACAGGCCTCTGCAGGTGGAATCTAAGAGAATAAACAGAGCAGTAGTGCCTCATCTATGTGGGTGCACAAGTCACACAGGCATATGACACAAGCACACTTCATAAGAACATTGACAAAATAGGAATAATTTTCATCATGAATGTATTAAAAGGGACCTGTGTTACCAAAAGCATGAGAAGCACATTGGTATCCTTCAGCACAGTTTAGGGTTTTCAAGATTGGCAAATTATTGTTGCATATACAGAACCTAAACCTTTAACTGGATTCCAGTACATATCATTCAATGTTTAGGTGAACCAATATTTTCCCCTACAAAAGAACTCTTTTTTCCCATTAAGATGAAATATTATTTTCTGTGATTGAATTTCCAGTTACCGTCAGAGAGCATTGAATATAGAATAGTTTTTTGAGAACTTTCATTAGAGGGAATTTTATTTGATTGCTGGCTAACCCAATACTTCAAATTTGTAGCTTTGGCACATTCACTTTATATAAGAAAACTTATATTGTTTGGAAAGAAGTTTTTTTAAAATTGTTTTAAAAAATAAAGGTATGGAAGATAGACGTGATATAGTTGTTTTTGCTGTGGTTTGCCTTTTTGTTCTTATACCAGTGAGTAACGATTCCCCATTCTACATACTCGACATTTGCCAGCTTAATGATGGCTTTAGACAGAAGCATTGGCCAGAGTTCAAATTCACAAGTTGTAGCTGGAAGCAATAGCTTGTTATCTTCGTCAAAAGGCAGAAAGTCATCAATGGTTATCTTCCTCCAACAACCCTAAAAATGAAACAAGAAGAACACTCCATCAATGATTTATATGGTTTTCACTCATACACTAGTATATGTGGCGGGGGAGGGGGCAAAAGTAGGTTTACAATTGTGAATATGTGAAACAACTGAGTTTATCTTGTATTATTTCTTATGAATCATTGTATTATTTTCCATACAAATAACTGTAACTACTTTTGCCCCACCCGGTATACTTCTGACATTATTATTTATTCTTGTAATTTTGTGGTTTATAATTTTATCTTAATTTCTTATGTCTAAATACTAACATCCTTGTCTTCAATACTACTGCGGCTAGACTACTAGCTTATTATTTTATTTAATGTAATTACAGCACATCCAAATAAGGATGGAGATAAGCATCTGCCTTCATTTAGAGGTCACGTAAGCCCATTCTTGGATGCCCCCTCCTATGTAAAGCAGTAAATTAAACTGTTTGAAACAGCAGAACCAAAGCATTATTTTACCATGAATGAGTTTGGGCATAATTAAATAATTTAATTTAGTTACAATGAAAATTCTCCAAATATAACTTTAGTAATATTATACATTCTGATAAGCTCAATGATCTCATGCTTCCAAGATTATGTTACTCCCACTCATAATTAAATATCTAATTCTTAAATATAATGGTAATTAATATTTTATTTAAGAACATCATATACTCACCTATATGCATATTAATTCATAAATAAAAGGTTGATACATGGTAACATTAATGATTGTAAACTAAAAGTTTTTTAACTTTGGTTTTATATATGAAGTTTATTATGAATTAATTCTTTTACCCAATAAATATTTTCAGCAGTGATACAAGCATTGTAAATCCAAAGACTGACATAACACAGAGCCTATATCACTGAATCTTATAGTTTAGTGAGGTAAGAAATACATGCAAACAATATAAAACAATATAAATACATTATGTTCAAACTGATGTAGGGCCAGAAAAGAAAGGGTAACTAACTGTGTTAATGTCTTCACAAGAAGGTGGTATTTGAACTGAAGCATCAAGGAACAGTATATTTTCCCTATTTAGATAGGAGCAATAGAGTAAAAAATGTTTTCTTTGTATTACACTAGTAACTCTAAATTGACATTGCCTAATTTAATGGTTATACGCATATGTCTTTTTCTTTCCTAATAGATAATAAATCAGAATGGAATCCTATGAAATTTTCTAGAGACTCATGGGAGGACAGGAAAAGGGAATCAAATACAAAGAAAAACATATGTATCAGAGTAAATAATAAAATAGACTTAAATCTTAATTTTATCAAATATAAATTACACAAAAATCAACGTAAAAGACTAAATATATTGATCAACATTAAGAATTTGCATATACAGAGAAAAACAAGTACATATAATTTCACTCACATATGGAATCTAATGAGCAAAATTAACTAACAAACAACAGAAAAATAATTTACATATATTTTGACAGAAAAATTAATTATGCACGTAGAAATCCTAGAAAAAATAGTCATGCATATCGGCAAAAATATATACACAAAGGTGCAATACTATAGCATTATATGTATTAGTAAAACATTAGTCCATAACCTAAATGTCTGTCAATATTAAATCAGCAAAATATATGTAGTCATTCCTACATTCAAACAATGGAGTATAAGGTAGATAAACAGGCATAAAAAATGTCCATGGATAGGAAAAAATACTTTATGGAATAACAACTACTATATGATCTTATTGAAATTATTTATATATAAGGTGTGCATATGTTTATAAGAAAAATGTCTGGGAAAATACACACAAATCATTTACTGTGACTATCTAGGTAGACTCACAGAACTTTCATTGTTCTACTTTAAATATTTTAAGAGTATTTCAGTTTGTTTTACTGAGGGCATGTAAAATGTTAATAATAATAAAATAAGAATAAAACATTTACATTTTGGAAAAAGTAATTGAATGTTTTAAAAATTTGCTGCGGTACATATCTTTTTATACAGTTTAAAGAACAACAAAAATGTCATTGGGTTGGAGTTTGTTTCAAATGCTGACTGCAGGCTCTGCCCAGAGACTGACTCAGGAGTCTGGGGTGGGCATTGGAGGCCCCTAAGCCTTTCAGCTCCCACATGTTAAGAAACTCTGGATTCAGGCTGGGTAGCTCAGTTGGTTAGAATGTTGTCCTGATATGCCAAAGTTGCAGGTTTGATCCTGGTCACGGCACATACAAGAATCAACCAATGAGTACATAAATAAGTTGGACAACAAACCTCTCTCTCTCTCTCTCTTTCTCTCTCTCTCTCTCTCTCTGTTCCTCATCTCTCCTTTCTCTAAAATCAATTAAAAATATAAACTCTGAATTCTACAATAATATTGTCCTTGAAAAGTACCAGGTTTCATCAGAAACAAAATCTAATGCTTTTTTTAATATCAATAATTTGATAACAATTAGAGAAAATTATTGGTCCCAAAGTATGTGTTTTCTGTGTTTATTCAGAGACAAATGATAGCACTGGGACAATCAGAGAAAGGCTGCCAAGAACCATGCATATTTCAAGTGGAAAGTAATAACTTCTTTGTTTCTTTGAAGGAGCCAAAGGAATACTGACATTGGAAAGCACCTGACAAGACCAGCCGCTTCCCAGTGGAGGTATTATCATGCAGGTGAAAGAAGAAAGAGAACGGCTCCGTTTTACAATGCTGTTCTTTATGCTACTCACTACATTCTTGTCTGGCTGAATGCCATTTAATTAGAATCTTGTCTGGAAATAAGGGGAAACTTTTATGGGGAAAAACTGGTGTGAAAATCTGAACTTCGAATGTCATGTAGAGAAGCTCTGAGAGGCCGGGTTGCCTGTAACAAGTAAGGTAATTGCTTCATGGGGCCAGAGGAAAGGGAGACAAGAGGAGAGGGAAAATCCATGTCCAATCAGAAAAAAAGGTAAAAAAGCATCAATAAATTGAAGGAAAAAGAAACAGCGAGGAGGAGACTCTAGAGGAACAAGATGTGACAGGGAAAGGAGAATCGATGTGGGGCAAAGGATGTGTCTCCAGTGTAATATACTGAAGGGATGAAGCAGTAGAAGGAAACAAAGCCTATTTTTATGAACGTGTTTCTTAAATTTTTGCAGTGAAAAGCAAAAGATAGACATTAAATACTGACTTAGAATTGGAAGAGAAAAAAGTAAAAAATTAAATTGTGTATGTCTGAAAAGACACAAAAAGAATAAAAATAACAATATAGTTTTTCTTGTCAGAAAGCTTGTACTCTAATTCTTTCCTACAGCTGATATGCACATAGGTGTTGACTCTGCCCTGTCACCTGGATGGGATCCTGGAGAACTGAGCATTAAAGTTTGGGCACAAGGACCCTAGCAAGGCCACATGCAGAAACCTTCACGCAGAACATAGCCAACAGTCGCCGTATAGCTGCTCCATTTCCACACCCTCACTCAAGAACCACTGCTGGGTGGGTGAGCACCTGGTTAGCTAATCCTGTGCTTTTCCCTGGCTCTGCCAAGGGCCAGGAGGAGACATGACCTGATCCTTTGGCTTCTATAGTCAGAGGTGGCAGTGGGAAAGAGAGAAGGAAGGAAAGCATAAATGAAAGAAGGAAGGAAGCAAATAGTGTCAAAAACCAACTATTTGTCAGGATCTTCACTAGGTTTGTTTACAAAGCAACCACATTTTATCTTCACTTGTTTCTGTCCATGGCATGTTTTCTGTCTCTTATTGAGGAATACGGACCCTTTGCCCCTGTGTTTGAGGGCCCCTGAAGGCCTCTTGTGGCCCAACAATGGATCTAGTAATGTTGAGGGCCAGCAAAGCACTCTCAATGTCGGTGAAGTACGACCACGCACTTCAGCAGCGAGCGCCAGCAAGCTGCCTACCAAAAGAATTCCCATGGAACCAGATGTATCTCACTGCTCAGTAGTCTCGCAGCATCCCCACGAGCCATTCCTTATGTGAGAGCAACGAAGAAACAGAAGCCATTGCACGTGAGGTTCAGTCTTTCTGACTGACTGCCACACGCCTGGCCCTCTTCCCTCAAGGACTAAAGAGATAGGTGACGGAAGGAGACTTGACTTGGGGTGATGAATATAAAATACAGTATATGGATGATACAGAAGTATACACCTGAAACCTATGTGATTTTGTTAACAAATGCCACCCCAGTAAGTTCAATTAAAAAAAACCCAACAACTCCAAAAAAAGGTAGGCTGAATGATTAGGTAAATTTGAGATTTCCAAATTGGACTAAATACCTTTTAAAATTTTTGGCCTGAATCTAAGTATATTTGGGCTTGTGAGGAGTTAGTATAGTTAAAGAGAAATAAATCATATTTTCTTTGCAAGGTAGAATGTAATATTAATAAATGTTGACCCTGTCTGGAAGGAAATTTGAAAAGAAGGAAAGATGTAAGGAAGCAGGGGGTGAAAGAAAATAAGATATTGAAACTAATAGGGTTGTTTTCATGTTCTGCTGATGCTGTTTTCAAATTCTTAATAACATTGAACTCCATCTCAATTCAGGTTCACGTGAATGTGCAGAAGTGAGGGCCAAACACCCAGACCACTGACCCCCTCACTGTCCCACGTTTACTTTTTTCTATCATCCCTCAACTCTGCCTACTGGTGTTCTACTTTCTCAGTTCCATGCCCTCCTTCTCACTCCTCTGCACACATTTAAACCTCTGAATCCAGTCTGCCTAACCTGCACCCTCATTGATGAATAAAGAAGATAAAGGAATTTAAGAAGCTATTTTCTCTTCTAATAACATTTTGACTTTCAAGGTCTATTGTCTTGCTGTGAATATCAAAAACAACCCCAAAATCCTATTGTGGATAGCAGAGGCCAAGGTTACTTTCTCTACCTTTACCTTCCCACTGTAATGATGCTATTAATTCCTAAGCACTGGACTTTTAACATACTGTATTCCAGGAAGATAGATGGCTTGGGCTCATTAAGGAAAAAACGTCATGTTCTTAGACATACAGAATGGAATGGTTAACTTTTCATACTTTTCTCACTCCTTCAAATGGTCAAGAACATTCTTAGTGACTAGGACCAGTTTCACGGGTACATGACCTTCACACAAGGCCCCACGCTCGGAAGGACCTCGTGTTTGGTTTAAAAGTACTGCTATCACTGTCTTGAAATTCCTAATAATTTTTGAACAAGAGGGTGTGCAAATTGCATGGATGGTCTGGCCTGTGACTCTGGGTCTTTAGAAAGAGCATCTTGCCATGGAAAACCCAAGGTGTCTAATATCACCAAGCGTTGCTAAATGTGGTATGAGTCCATATTGCCATATTGATTGAGGGGGTTTTAATTCTCTATTTGTACGTCTTACTATCCCATTTGCTTCTTTTTAGGCAGAGGTAAAACTTTCTGTGTTGCTATACAGTTCGTTCACATGAAAACAAATCTCAAGTTTGGGACAAAATGTTTGGGATCAGGTCCCTCAGCTGAAGCAAATGCCCAGAGACAAGGAGTGGACTACACTCAAGCACGTCCTCCTGCTGTTGACCTTGATATCACACCACAGAGGAAAGAGGAAGGGAGAGAGCCCTGTGCATCCCCCTGCCTGCACGGCCCACCTGTGTCCGAGGGAGAGGCAGCTCAGGGCTACTCTTCCCAGTCCAGGAAGCACCAGTTTAAAGCCAAGGAACTGGTATCACAGGAGAAATGACTGTGTTTCTTAACAATCCCAAATTACATAGGCAGGACCCTTCTCCCAGTAGCTACCTGGCTGATATCCTTAAAACCTTATAAACTGCATCATTTTGTGTTAGTCTAGGTAACAGCCTGTAAGACAAATACATTTCAACATTAAAGACCAATGAATTTTAATGTGCATGAACACGAACTTACCATCCAGTAAAGTTTCACAACATACTTTCCATAGCCATTGAACAAAGGCATGTGACCCTTCACAGCCTTGCACAGAGAATATATGTGTTCCCAGGGCTTCCAGACAAGGAGAGGAAGTTCCCCTGTATTTCCTTTAAAATAGTTGCTCAAAACATCCCCATTGAATATCTTCCACACGGCATAGATTTCACTGATGATCCATCTCATCAGCTAGAGACAAAAAACATTAGTGTTATTTTTCAGTTGTTGGCACTGTAATTTAGGGAAGAAATCAGTTGAAAACCTACTTCCAATGGTAATATTAAATTTTATAGGTAATGTGTTCCACATTTTGATTTCTGACCTGCAGAATAAAGGCATAGACCTTGGTTTTGCTTTCAGGAAATAGTCATATTTCAAGCTATAAAGTGTAACATTAAACAAACTCTTAGCTCAGAGCTGTCTTCAGAGTAAACTGCTGTTGGGAAATGCCCTGCCTGGTTTCAGGGATTGTAGCCTTGCCAACAGGAGAGAGGACCCCAAGGCTGGAAATAATCAAGGAGGCCTTGGGAAAATAGGCTACTGAGGAGATGAAACCTGTCCCCCTGGCAGGGACGCAGCCTGTGCCTTCCTCACATTACCCTGCTTGGCCCTGTGATGGTTGGTTATTGATGACAGGTAAGTTTTCTCACAAGGAGAAACAACCTAAGACAGATATCGGCTGGTATGGGCAGCAGACACGGACGTAGGGGACACGGAGAAAGGGCAAAAAGGCCCGCACCCCTTGGCTCAGCTTGGACAGTGCCAAAGTCTTCACTCTATCTGAAAAAAAGTTTCCTTATCTCTTGGCAACTCTGCCCTGCCCGCCTGGCTCAGGCTTGAAACAATACTGAAGGCAGGTACAGCCCTAAACAGGATCGGGCGGTTCTCCAGTACAATCAGGCCTAGAAGTAAGTTCTTCTAAGCATGCTTTGTTCTTCCCTCAAAAGCGATGACAACCACTTCATACTGGGAAAGAGATTTCCATTATTCATAGACCCTGACCTGGGGCAGATCTCCTGTGTTCCTCCAATTGTTATCCCAGATTTCTGTCTGTTTTCTGTAAACATAGCCTTTTGACATTGACTGATGAGCTTTGCATCCATACCCCTGTGCATATGGTTCTCAACAAAAGCCTTTGGACATGGCTTTTCAGGGCCTTCTCTCTCCTAGAGGGAAGAGCCATATCTTCTCTCCTGGCAAACAGAGAAGTGTTTGCGACGACCCATGTTTATCCCCCCCGTCCGTCCGTCCGTCCGTCCGTGACAACCCTGGGACGGGCTCTGTGGGATTCAGAGCCCCGCTCCCTCCTCAGCTGGCCCCGGACTATAACCCTCAGATCCAGGAGCCCCGTGCTCCACCGTGGCACTCCCTGCAATGCATTACTTCCTGCAACAAACTGTCAATAACCTTTCTTTGACCTTGGCCTTCATTTGAATTCTGTGTGCGCGTGCGTGCGTGTGCGTGTGTGTGTGCATGTGCGTGTGTGTGTGTGTGTGAGAGAAAGAGAGAGAGAGAGAGACCGAATACTTCTGAGAACAATAATTTACTTTGTAATTAACTTATAAAATGAGGGAGCTACTCTTCTGAAAATGTTGAGAAGTCTGAGAGAAAAGATGGTCTCTTTTTTGTCAATAGGATCAATTAGACAAGGAATAAGATGTGAAAAAAATTAAAGTCGCACCCATGCGTAACTATACTCTAAATTCATATTTAATGTGTTGATCTGTAGGTGCAGAAATGCTCTAAGTAAAACTCCCACTTGCAGCATTAAAACTTGCAGGGAGGCACAGTAGGGAGCAGAGCTTTAGAGTAGAAAGAGGCACCATGATTTGAATCCTCCTTCAGATCCTTCCATTCTTGAGCAAGTCACTTCAGCCTTTCTAAATTGCAGTTTTCAGCTTTAAATATAGATTAAACTATCTTTCAGCATTTTTGAAATAGAAACACTGCATAAGAAATCTCTGGGTCACAGTGGGTGTTAAGTGAAGCTCTTACTACCCTCAGCAGTCCTGGATTTTCTGTTGTTGGGAACCCTCATCTCCTGTTTCACCGCCTGGCATGTAAGGAGATTAAATACTTGAGACTGACTTCATAAGGTTTATGTTTTTCCTAATTTGCTTTACCTAGGAACTTTCTTAAATTTTGGTTAAGTTGAAAAAGGCCAATCAGATAACCTCTTGTATATCTGAAAATACCATAGATTATTTTATATTTTTCTTCCCTTGAAAAATAAAAAGGCTAGAGTCTATATATGTATAGGATTCATAAATTTGAAGATAATGTTGTGCTCATATTGGTTAAGATATTAAACATACAAAAGGCAAAGGGTTTGAATCAATAATGACTATGCTCCACCTCTCTAACTGATCTTAAAAGAAAATAATCAAAAATCCCCTGTGTCTGAAATAACTACCTTAGGGAAGTGGAACAAACCTGCTTCTGAGGGAGAAAAGCCAAGCTGGGGAAGTGCACTCCCACAGGAAAGAGGGCTGCTGTGCTGAGTATCTGGCCTATTTAGAGGAGGTGTTGCAATCAAACTGAATGCCATTACTTCCCCCACATTAGCAAATCAAACAGCCTAACACCTTACTCTTACTGGGCGTGTGAATCTGGAGGAGAAATACCTGGATGGCGAGAAGCCAGTTCCCTGGGCAGGAGTAGAGGGATACAAGCAGTTCTGATACTAAGGTTTTCCCACAATTTGTATGCTCAACTCAAAGGAGTTTTGTACCAAAACTTAAAGGTGAGCGAGGGAGAAATGAAACTATGAATTGTTTCAGCCTGTCCAGAAAGCATTTTGCAATGATGCTTTAGTTCACACTTCTGTACATACCTCGCTGCAGAGTAAATGTTCATTTGCTGAAAACAAGTCAAACAAGATTTCATTCTTCACGACGACTGGAGTCTGAAACAAAAAATTTTAAAAAGATATTATTCCTTAGGGAAAATGAAGGAAATGTAGCTCATGTGCATTGACTGGTCAAACTTTATTTCATTTTTCACAACCAGAGAAATTGGAAGAAATAAAAAGTAAGCACATTATTCTTGTTACCGGCATAGGTAACATTAATAATATAATATCTACACAATATTTTAACATACGAATAAAATGTTATAAGATATAATATATGCAGATAAACTTAGCATGCATAAACTGAGAGTTTAAAATTGTGATTTGAAATTTAAATTAACAACTCAAAACTTATGCTCGGTTAACATCTGGTAGCTGAAAAAATATCTTCCTCTTGGATAAAAAATATTAACTGTGACAGCTTTTTAAATTCTTGCCTAACTTTAAATCTTAGGTTTAAACAAATTAATTTGATGGTCATTATTTAATTAATATTATCTATGAATAGTTGCATTTATATATTTGGTCCAGTGAGGAATGAACACATATGGAAAAACATGACTTGTAACTGTTTATAAAAATTAATGATTCGGTCATAAGAAAAAAATGAAATGCTGCTATTTGTGATAGTATGCATGGACTTTAAGAGTATTAAGCAAAATAAGTCACTCATACATGGGATATAAAACTGAAACTCATAGACACAAACAACAGCATGATGTTTACTAGAAGGAAGGCAGTGGGGGATAGTAAAGGGAAAAGGGAGTCAAATATGTGGTGATAGAAGACAATTGGACTGTGGGTGGAGGACACACAATGCAATATACAGATAATGTGTCATAGAAATGTACATTCAGAACCTATGTTATTGTATTAAACAATGTCACATCCACAAATTTAATTTGAAAAGGAAAAAATTAATTATGATTCATGTCAAGCTAATATATTTAATATATTAACATGAAGTGGTTTTGATTATTGAAAGATTTTTATGAAAACTAATGCCATCAATTACTCTAAATCATTTGTACACCTAGCATCTTGAAAATTCAATGAAATATTTTTTACATCTGAGAAAAATTTACCTAAAACAACCTCAAAGGCCCGAACTGACTTCGATGTTCATAATTTATAAACATAGTAAGTTTTAAATTAATTAACTTATTCCTATTTGACAAATTACACTGTGATACTTCTAAAATGTCCATACCTTTCAACAAGTATCAATGTTCATTAAAGTTGACTAACTAAAAATTAATCATAATTGATTATAATTAATCAATTAATTCATTACTTAGAGACTAAGTATTGGATACCTAAAGTTTGAGGGGTTAGACTTAATAGTCACATGCTGACAAATGACAAGGAGGAGCAAACAGCTTGTAAGAGCTGCAAATACGAAGGCAGAGGTCTCTACAATGGTATTTTAGCATCCTTGTTCTCTGTGCCTATATCTGGAACAAGAGAGATCTTTAGACATCTGTTCAGTATAATCAACACTCAAGGGCCTGGGCCACCAACATCTGGTTCTTCGACCTAAACATATCTGCTTAGTCACTCTGTGATCAGGGCATAAAATATATGGTTTATAAAATGCCTTGGTTGGAATGGCCCATGTTGACTCTGATATCTTAAATCTAGGCTTTTAATTTTTTGAATAATTTAGCTACCCTCTGACTTAAAACGTGTCTTCCGACTTAATATTTTTGCTTAGAATATTCTGCGGGTATGTTTTTAGGCTGTACTGTGCTTTTTAAATTGTGGGTTGTAATTATTTACTGATTCATGAAATCATTTTAATCAGGAATACACACACACACACACACACACTTAATTGTCAGGACTGGATCTATCTATTTACCTATCTATCTACAGAATAGAATAGTTTAGAATAGAGTAAATCTTATATAGAAAGGTCATTACTATTTTGCAAAATTTTTCTCTAAACTTTATTTATGTCTATATTTAATGAGTCTCAAAGTAAAATGCATTTTCATGGTAGACCTAATGATTGAAACCTGAAATGCACTATCCAAAGACTTTCCTACATAGCTAGGCTTTCAGTCTGGCTGTTCTGGTTCACACACCAATGTGAAGGGTCAAGAGAAGGAGTCAGTGTACAGGGGAACAGAGGCAGATGGATGGTAATGTTATGATAAATGGTGGTGGAAGTATCATCAACAAAAATGCTTAAGTTTATTGTTAGCATAAGTGTATCTCTCAGAACTAAGTTATGTTAAAAAGAAAAAATACATAGTTTATAAAACTTTTCTACTTATTCAAATTATAACACTCCCATTCATGGAACTCATATCCTTTAATTAAGCAGAGCTTAAATATGAATAATACATTGGTATTAAGTACATTATATTAACATCACAAATTTATATTCTTTATGTCACTGTTATCTGACATTGTAAGTTAAAGGCATGCTTCAGTATATTTGATTTCTTGTATTGAAAATATCTTACAAGTAGACATTCCATAAATGCTCTGATGAAGACAGATGTATCTTTTTGTTTTCTCATTTTAGTGAGTATTTTTGAATTTAGGATTATGTGACTTTCTCAACTAGTAACAGTAATTGGAAAATATTTTGGATAAACTGTATTTTCTTGCATTGGTGGCAGTGCTTATAAAGGATAAAACTTTTAGGAATAAAATCACTTTGTGTAGAAACAGAGATTCAATGGGTTCCAAAATGTATGGAAGAACCAGCTCCATTACAACCATTTGACTAACTAATAGTAACTAATTAAGCCTACTTATTTTCTATGAATTAAATGAAAATAATAAATGATCCAAGAAGGAAGAGGGAAAAGGCATTAGTGATAATTAAGCCCTTGGAAACAACAAATATATTTAAGTGAACATAGCTTTTAGGAGATAGACCTGTGGGTCTGAAGTTTTAATATACATAAGTACTTTTTAAAAGGAAGGTTTCTCAGATGACATCATAGTCAATATGATTCAGGTGGCTAGGCATGGGGTCCACAAGTGAAGATGGCCCTTGGAAAATGCTTCAACAATCCCTAAAATAGAGAAATTCAAGTGCAAATCTCTGGGCTGGAAAATTAATGCTAATAAACACTAAAGTAAACAGACCTTCATGCCATATAAGTTCCTGCTAGAAAACAGAAAGGAAGTCTTTCAGAAATGAAGGAATAACTTCTCACAACCTTTTAGTCTATAATTTGACATCATGGAGAGAAGAAAAAGAAAAATTGAGGAGGCCCTAAACAAAATTTCAATATTCTTTTGGAAATCAGTACAAGAAATATTAAATTGTACCAATAAATTGTTATCACTGAATTCCACAGGAAAAATTACCTTAGATTGTTTAAAATGCAGATTTTCATAATAGTATATTACATCCCACCATTAATATGTATTTTGTTTAATAATAAAAATATATCTTACCCGATTAACTAAAAAATCCTGTGGACGTTTCCAGGAATAAATTTTCAGTGATGGTGGTAACTCAATCTTGCCTTCAGGGTCTTCAAAAAAATGCTACACAAAGATGCAATGAGTTTTATCTCTGTATGGTTTTATTAAAATAAAAAGAACTTAATCTTAATAAAATTAATAAGTGCATAGATTAATAAATAGGCATTTATAGAGAACTGTGTTTGTGTGTGTGTGTGAGTATGTATGTGTGTGTGTGTGTGAGTATGTATGTGTGTGTGTGTGTGTGTGTAGTCCTTTACAAGAAATGACATGAAAAGTTCTAGGGGTACAAAAAAATGCTCAAGAAATATGAATTATCTGTACGAGGGGAAAAGGTAACTAAATATCACCAGAGTGAATAGGGGTGGGGAAAATAAATACTGTTTTGTGACTTTCACAGTAATCATATTTTTACCCCAATGCTGGATTATCGTGAGAAATGGGCTATATTTGAGGGCATTATCTAAACTTTAATCCTACATGTGTATGTGTATCTGGAACATGTGGCTTATTTACACATTTAAGACACTGTAATAATTTGGATGAAGACAACGGTGGTCCAAACATCTAGTCAAAAATGATGAAAGAATGAATCTTTGGACCCATTCTATATTAGATTTCTGGGGTTCCCTCACGTAGTCTTGCTTTTGCAAATATTAATTTAGTTATTTTTAAGTCCTCTATCCAACAATTAAAAGATCAGAGTCACCATGGTTCTGTTTATATTACCCATTTTTTTCCTCTTGGTTTTCAGTTGCTCAGTTCTGTTTCTCTCTATGTCGGGTAAACTTGATCGTATGATATACACTGAACATAAAAGTTTATACAGGCTCTGAATAATGATATCTTCCTTCAAAGAGGAGGATTTTGTTCTCTTCTGGCAAGGAGAGTACAAAATAAAGGCTGGCATAACTTCAATTTGCCCCCTTTCAATGCAGAACATGACAGCCACGGCGTGGTACTCACTGACAGGCTTGAGTGCTTATCAGGGTCCCTGCCTGAAGTCCAGTCTCTCACCATAGCACCGTGGATTTTTTTTCTCATTTATTTAGCCTTCAAGCTACTGCTTTTTACTCATTTTCTTAGCAGCAAAATCTTCACAGACATAGCTTACAAGTTGGGCAAATGTCTCAAAATAAAATTATACGTGAAATTTTCAGATCACTTCTCTATAGTTACCTTAGGATTTCGGGCCAATTCTGGTGACTTTGGCAGCCTTGATAACATCCTCTCTCCCTTCTGATACTAGTCCTAAGACATTACTCTCTACTTGGCCTCTGATTACCATGTTTTAAATTAATAAACGTCCTTGAGAGAAACAAAAAAAACCAAGGCGAATGTGGGGCTCATCTGGGTATGATTTACTTTTCTCCAGGATTTGAGCTGTTCACATTAAACTAGTGGTAATATTTCCATGTCATTTTGCTTTTAGTATATCTCTTATGTCCACCTTACAATGCTTCATCATATATTTTTTCAAGTGTGGTTCACCCACCATTTCTTTTCATTGCCATCACTTAGCTGAAGAAGGGAGACCCAATTCTGGACTTGCAGGGAAGGTTTAGTTCATCTGAGGCTGGTATCCTGATCACTAGCCTCACATTTAAAGAGCTGGCCTTCTGTAAAATTCCAAGGTTGCCTAACTATAGTTCGATGGTTAAGGCAATTAATCCTGGTAAATCATCAACTTTGCAAATCATGGCTAAGAGCTGCTGTGCCAGCATAGCATAGACATGCAATCACAAAGCTTGCAGTGTCCACCGCTCACGCCAGCGGACGGACTTCTACCTCAGGGGCCATGAATGCTGAGGCTGAGGAACAGAACGGGGGTGGGAGTGGGGAGCGAGGTTCCATCCCAGATGGCTCCCCACGGCTCTGCTCTAAGAGCCAGGGTTTGAGCTGGCCCTCAGCTGCTCCACTGAGGGTGGGCACAAACTACCTCTCTGGTGTAAATTCACACATGATCTCCCTAAGTTTTGAATTGCTCTTAAAAATATGTAAAATATGACCACTTTCATTTGAACTCAGAACATTCACAAGCACTCTGCCTCTAGAAGTTCCATAATCACCCTGGGTATGGCACAAACAATGCATTTCTGCACACATTGCTAATGTGAAATTGTTCAAGTACCGAGAGGCAGAAATTAGTTATATGTATTGAATACCTTTTGTAAACAAATTACTGATATGAATCATGCAGTGTGTGATTCTGCATTTTGGGAACAAAATGTAAATGCTATTAAGTATTATTATTTCAGAGTGCTCTATGCATATAAAGACACCAGAATTCAACCCAGCTATTCTGTAACATCGCTCTCTCTCTTTTTTTAAAAATGATCTTTCCTATAATCTCCAAGTGGCAGCTCACAAGTCTGCAGAGTTCTCTCATTTTCTAAACCACCATTCTCAAATGTCAGGTTCCCAATTCTGTCCAAAATCCACCAGTGAACCCATCCTATCAATTTCCCCTGTATTTCATTATGACTTGTTGGTCATTTCTCTCCTCCCATTTACTCGAAAGTGATTCACCAAAGCTCAGGACTTATGCCTGGAAAGACAAGGTGGGATGAGGGAGAAAAGAAACAAAAGCCCTCTTTTGAATGGAGGCTGGGGAACAGAATGAGTACACTCACAGGCTAACGAATCTTATCCCATTGTAAAGTTAAAGGTCACAGTGAAGTCTAGTCACATTCAAGTTTACATACAAACGTAGGGCTTTTTCCTATTTTGTCCTTTTCCTTTCCACCTTTGCCTGCGTCCCACTTTTCAGCATTTATGTCAGCTTCGCTCCATTCTGGCCAGATTGGGAATTTCCTCTTCTTCTGTTCAACAGCACTCGTTTGTGTATTACTACCTAAAGGGTACTGACTAGAAACAGAGGGGGAGAGAGGTGGGTTAGTTTTAATTAAGCCTCTGAGGTAAAATGTTAGATTAATTGCATGACATAAATTTAATTCTTCCATCAATAGGCACGTTAAGCACGTTTTTCAATCTAGTTGTACCTGCGGCCAGATAGCTTGTTAGGGCTCTAAAGACTGAAATATCTAAAACAGACTAGTCCATAAATAAATTTTGAGCATTAGTCCCTACTTACTATTGCAGAACATTCATCAGACACATATAACGTGCCATATAGGGAAATATTTATATACAATTCCCACTTTAAAAAAATCTTTTATGTGTATAACACTAATAGCTTTATGAAGATCAGTAGAAACATAATTTTGATTTTTCCCAATATAGCAGTGTTATGTAATTATTATTTCAAAAGAAAATTTAAAAATATAAATCAGATAAATAAGAAAGGTATACCAAATCCATTCTAGAAACCACTTTAACAACTATCATTTTCTCAGACTAATATAAGAGAAACACAAGAATATATGTCTCTTCTTCAAAAATGACATCATTCAGCGTATTCTTTTTATGGACTGCTTTTTATCCACTCATAAGTATATTATTAATAGTGTTCATGTCAATAAATATTTAGCTAAATATGAATTTAATGATTGCATAATATTTCATTATATGAATATACTGCCTTTCATTTAACTAAGCTTCTATTTTGGAAATTTGAGGGTTTGAATTAATTTTTTTTCACTATTAGAAACAATACTGTAATGGCTATTTGTTGTTAAATATTTGCACATATTATTTATTATTGCTTTAGGATAGCTTTTAATAAAGAGACTTACTCTACTGAAACATGCATATTTAAAGTTTGTGATATATTTTGGCTAATTTTCTACAGAAAAGTTGGACTTGTGCTATACTTTTATTATTAGTGTATTAAAGTTTCATATTTTCAAAATTTAACTTTTTATTTTTTATGAATTTTAAAGACTATGCTGGACATTTTTAATTTCTCGAGTTTTTAATACACATGAGGTTAGAACCCTGCTCTAGACACTGGGCTAAGCAATAAACAAACCAGGCTAAATTCTAACCCCATGGAGTTCATATTCTAGTGGGTGGAAACACAAAATAGACAGCATAAATTAAGTAAAATATATAGCATATTAAAAAGTGAGAAATGTTTAGGGGAAATAAAAAACAGGACAAAGAAACTAAAGAGTTAAGATGCACAATATTTAATACAGTGGTTAAGGGAAGTGTTCTGCAATGGGGTAATATTTAAGTAAATTGTGAAAAAATAAAGGATCAAACTGTATGGATATCTGTGGAAAGAATGTCCTGGACACAAGGAACAGCAAGTATAAACAGCAAGAAAGGCCATTCAGAGAGTATTCTGGTTTATTTGCCTAATAATGAGGTCAGTGTAGCCGAAGGGAAGGTGGAGGGAGACGATTTCAGAGGTAACAGGAGATGCAAAAATTGGAAAGATGATCTAAATTAAAGGAAGGGATATTGGTGTTTGGTCTGAATAATATGGAAAGCCAAAACAGAGTTTTGAACAGATGTATAACATAACATGACTAAAATTTTATAATCATTTGTAAAATGATGCTATGTTGAGAAAAGTTTAAAGAAGACAAGAGAGAAAATTTAGAAGGCTTTGAAATAACAGGTGAGAGCTAGTGGTGGTTTGGATCAGTTAGTAACAGTAGAGGAGGCAAGAAATACTCATATACTTATATGTGTGTGTGTGTGTGTGTGTGTGTGTGTGTGTGTGTGTGCGTGCGCATGTGTAGAGCAAGTAGATTGGGCAAGTAGATTGAGTTGATATTTCCAGATAGACAGAAAAGTGCAGGATGGGGCAATACTGAAATAGGGAATAAAGCAGTATTTCACTTTTGAATGAGTTGTGGTTTAGATGTTTATCACACATCCATGAAGATGTTGAAGAGGCAATTATAGAATTCTGATGTTTGAGAGAAAGAAAGCAAACTAAAAGTACAAATTTAACAGTCGTCAGCATTTGGATGACATTGAAAGCCTTAACACTGAATGAAACTGCAAAGAAAATGCCTATGCATAAGGAAGAGGCACTCCTGGGGACACTGTCTAAAACGCATAACAGCTGGCATGGGATGAGCATTGGCCAACCCAAATGGACGCTGGTCACAAGGCTAGGTCATGTCTTCAAAACTCCCAGCTAAGCCAGGTATTTATTCTTTACTTTAAGTAGTGGGTCAGGTATGTGAGGTACTCAGGGTAGGTCAGGACCCAGGGCAGGAAGCAGAAATGTCTGGGGCTCAGGGTTATTGGTAAGGTTATTATTAATATAAAAATATTTCAGTATTATGACACCAATACAACTGTGTATCTGCCCTGGTATTTCATATTCAAAGTCAGAGAGCGTAGGAAGACAACTGAGAGAAGTGGTCAGTTTGGTAGACAATATAATGCCTCCCTTCCCAAAATAGCCACATTCTAATCCCCGGAAACAGTGGATACATTGACTTCCATGGTGAAAGAGGTTTTGTAGATATTTGTATCTTGAAATGGGGTGATTATTCTGGATTATCTGGGTGGGACCAATGCAATCCCAAGGGTCCTCAAAAGTGGGACAGACAGTAGTACTTGGAGGTGCGGCTCCTGAACAAGGCACAGAGAAACGCAAAACTGCTGGCTGCAAAGACCGAGGAAGGAGGCCGAGGCCATGGCCAAGGATGGTGGATCCCCCTCGGAAGCTGGAAAAGATTATTTCCTTGAGCTTCCAGAAAGGAATGCAGCCCTCCTGACACCTTGACGTTAGCTCAGTGTGATCAATGTGACTGTTTTTGTTTTGTTGAAGGGTTCTTTATTTATTTTTATCTTTTTATTGAATTCATTGGGGTGACATTGGTTAATAAAATCACATAGGTTTTGGGTATACAATTTTACAATACATCATCTGTATATTGTATTGTGTGTTTACAGCCCCGATTTCAGCGAGGCTGATTTTAGACTTCTGACCTCTACAAGTACAAAATCATAAGCTCATATTGTTTTAAGTCATGATGTTTGTGGTATTACATTACAGTAGCAATAAGAAGCAGTGAAGCAGAAAAACAGAACAGAGGGTGTTGCCTTCGAAATCAAGTAAAACCATTTCTTCCAAAAATGAGAGAATGAGCTACTGGTCTAAGTGGTAATATCACCCTCTGGAGTTGGAGGTGGGAAGAACTTTCCTGAACACCCTATTTTATAAAGCAACCCTTATTTCTCTGCATTCTTTTATATTGCTTCATTTCTTTTTTTTTTTCTTTTTAATTCATTTATTTTTAGACAGAGGAGAAGGTGGGGAGAGAGGGAAAGAAACATCAATGTGTGGTTGCCTCTCGCATGCCCCCTTCTGGGGACCTGGCCCAAAACCCAGGCATGTGCCCTGATTAGGAATCGAACCAGTGACCCTTTGGTTCACAGGCTGGCACTCAATCCACTGTGCTACACCAGCCAGGTCATATTGCTTCATTTCTATAGCACTTGAGGATTCTCTCACTAATCCTTCTTTATGTACTTGTATGTTTCCACAGGTAGGGCTTGTATTGTGTACACTGGTAGGAACGTTGTTTTTGTTTTTGTTTTCCTTGTTCACTCCCTCCATCTCCAACAATGGGAAAGCTGTCTGGACAGCACAGACAATCTGTCTCTTTGTCATCTACTTACATTAAGGAATCAATGCCTTTATATTTCTACCATTTCTAACTAACATTGTTTAAATTTTACCTATACGCAGAGATTCAACAGACGCTCACCAACCCTGTTTTCCATTTTCTACATTTCTTGTGCTCCTTTACAGTTTGGTACCTTGAGATGGTGTTTTAGAGAACAGCCTATGGAGAAGGGTGCTGTATCCCACCTTTAGGCTCGTTAAGCATTCTGTGAGATGCTTCCTCACTACCTTCTGGCTTAATCCTCATGAGAAGACCTTCAAAAAGGTAATACCACAAGATGGAAGAAGCAAAGAATGTACATTCATCATATTCTAATGTACCAATAAACTCCTAATCATCTGCGGGCATGAATAAGAAATACCCTTTCTTGTTTAAGGTCACTGAGATCTGGAGATGGTTTGATACACTGAAGTCAGCATTGATAACTTCTTACTTGCTCGCTATTCTGATACTGTAGCTTGCACTGATTTCTAATCTTGACTAATAGAAAGGATGTAATTCTTTTACTGGAATTTGGATATCTTTTTGTCTTTAATCATTCTAAGCATATACATGGTAAATTACATATAGATTATTTTTCTTTTAAAGGCGACGTTTGAGTCTCTGGCTGTGACTTCTCCTTATCTTTTGTATATGTTTGTGTTTTAGGACACTTTTATTGTGAGCTCATCCTTAACAGGGTTTTATTTCCTTCCAATCCCCTTTCCCTAAGGCAACCCTGTGTTAAAAGAATATTTTTCATTGTAATATTGAATTTTGTTCTTTCAGAGATCCCAAATGAATAAGCCACCTAGGAACCCATAGGTGCTTTAAAATCAGATCGCAAGCTTACTTAAATCTCATTTCAAGAGTTTCCATTTCTCAAGGAAGATTTTTTATTTCAGCCAGACATCAGGTGGAGAAAAGCTACCTTTCTCATAATCTCTCTGTGTTTGGGTGCTTTTTTTTCCTTATTCATCTTTTTAAAGAGAATTAAACCCTTGGAAAGCCACGTCTTTACCTAAGGTTGGAGCACTCCCTTTCCTCCTTTGTGTTCAAAACCTTGACCAAAAATTTTTTTTTTTTAATTGCACTTTCATAAGAATGATAAACCTACCCCAGTGAAGCAGCAGCTTCAGCTCAGAGTTATGACATTCTGACCTTAGTTCTCTCCTCATTTCTGAATTCTGGAGATTTTTTTTAATGTAGGCATTATTAGGTATTGTTATTTAAAAAAAAATCTTAACCCAGCATCTTGCTGGAGAAGGAAGTCTGAGACTGTATATACTGTAAAGGACTGTTCCTGAGTAGCACGTAAGAAAATATGAG